ATATAAATACTGGCAAAAGTCAAGCAAAGCTAAAAAGAGACGCTGCCTTACAGCTGCTAAGGAAAACTCCAGTCGTTTTCTTGTTCTTGACTGCCATATATGGGCTATTCCATGACATTTCTGTAATGCTTTGCAGTGTTGCACATCTCATCCCTGAAGAGAAAAGTTGTGTGCAGGTTGACAGGGGTCTCTCCTAAAGAAAGGTAGAATCAGATGCCTTTCCCCCCCTTCATGCTGTCTGGCACCTTGTCCTTTATGTACGGTGCTCTGAGGATAGCCAGAAAAATAGGAACAGCAGGCCCATAAAGCCATCAAGCACAAATTGATAGACAGATGACTCCATCATTCTTAGTGTTTCAGGGGACAGGGAGCAAACAAACACCACCCACTTCCACCTTATTCTGGAAAAAAATCACTGTGTGTTGTGCACTGACAGTGTTCTTGAGGTAAAAGGCTCTTCCCAATACGTAATCTCAACGTTCAAAGATTGCTGCCCTCTTCTGATTATGAACAAATTGGTTCTTTGTCTCTCTCTACATCTTCACTTGGTTTTGGGGGGTTTGATGAGTCACTGTTTTTGTTGATTTGGAAATATTTTGTTTTTTTATGATGTTGGCATTTTTCGGCGGCTTAATGTATCTTTGTGGGTTTGGTTCTGTTGCATGTACAAGTTCATTGATGTGAGCTGTTTTGAAATTGTCTTCTCCAGGGGGGAAAAGTGGGACCTAAGTTTAAAAAAAGAAAGAAAAACAAACCAGCATATTCAGGGAAAGATGGGTGGTGGCGGTGGGCAAGCTGTCTTTCAGCAAAATTCATCTGCCAGAAGTGGCCTAAGCGACAAAGACATTATTAAGTTCTCTAAAGAAACCCAGGGTTCACTGGAACACAGATTGGAAACCACACCGTATAGGACAGAGGTGGATAACCTGTGGCACTAGGTTGCGTGAGGCTTTCGGCCTAATGTCAAAAGCCTTTTTGCAGGCTGTTTAGTTAAGACCTCTGGCAATCTGTCCCACCCCTGGCTGTCTGATGGGTAAGGGCAGGGGAGGGGTTTGAGAAGGAGAGAAAAAAGAGGGTGGTAGAAAGCAAAAGGTTATGCCCTCCTTTCACTGTGGCCATTGGCAGAGTAAAAGCTGCACATCCTGGGTCTAAGGTACCAAATATTCCTAATTGATAGTACAGTGGTACCTCGGGTTACATGCGCTTCAGGTTACATACGCTTCAGGTTACAGAGTCCGCTAAGCCAGAAATATTACCTCAGGTTAAGAACTTTGCTTCAAGATGAGAACAGAAATCGTGCTCCGGCGGTACGGCAGCAGCAGGAGGCCCCATTAGCTAAAGTGGTGCTTCAGGTTAAGAACAATTTCAGGTTAACAACGGACCTCTGGAACGAATTAAGTACAGTGGTACCTCAGGTTAAGAACTTAATTCGTTCTGGAGGTCTGTTCTTAACCTGAAACTGTTGTTAACCTGAAGCACCACTTTAGCTAATGGAGACTCCTGCTGCCACCGCGCCACTGCTGCACGATTTATGTCCTCATCCTGAAGCAAAGTTCTTAACCCGAGGTACTATTTCTGGGTTAGCAGAGTCTGTAACCTGAAGCATATGTAACCCGAGGTACCACTGTACTTAACCTGAGGTACCACTGTAGTAGAAAACGAAGCATAGGTGATAGGTACTGTGTTACCTCTAGTACCCAAGAGCCACTCATTTGTAAAAAGAGAGATGATGCTGTCTTCTTACTTGGTCAGCCTCGTAATGCCTAGCAGAAACAGTCTGTGGTGTGTTATTTGCTTAGTGTGTCTCCCTGTTCCTGCTATCTTACATTACCACAACTAGGAACCCCCCCCCCCACTCTGAAACAGAGTCTAAACACCAAGCTGGATGTGATGCAAAAGTTCCATGACTGGAATGCCCACTTTGTTTTTCCTTTCTGAAAAGTCTGCCATGAAGGACCCTTATCTGAAATATGTACAAAGCACAGGACGGCAGGCCTGTAAGATTCCCCTCCTCTGCATAATTTCCTTGCATCTCTCCCCACCCCCAAACCCTATGCAGTGCTATTTTGCCCTTACTGAGAAAACTTGTGTTGCCCATATTTATTTTTCAAATAAGGGAAAAAAGAACAGCTTGGGGTTTCAGTGGGGAAACAGTATGGAAGGAAAGGTTAAGAACTCTCCTCGTTGCATAAGCCCAGGTCTGGATTGTGCCCTTCCCCTCGGCTGCGTTTTGCAAAAGAAAAAAAAAATGGAAATTCCTTTTACAGAGCTCTCATATATCACTTCTAGTTTGACCCTAAAATATATTATTTTAGCACTCTTTTGGGTCCATAATGTCAAAACATTGTGGGGCATGTATGTGTGTTTGAAATTAACATAGATATTCTAGTGATTTTCTGGGATGTGGTTCTTTTAACTACTGTCATAAAAGTCAAAGTCAAAGAATATGAAGACGCAGCCTCCTTCACACACTGATTCAACAGATTGAAACGGCTTCAAAGGAGCCACTTGTGTGCTGCGCTGTACTGTCAGCAGTGAGCTGTGCCTTTAGAAATGTTAGAACCATTATAAATCCTTTCTGATCTTCAGACTTATTTTTAGTGACATGAGGCAGGTATCATGTTGATCAGCCTCAGCGTGAAGCCTTCCTAGATCTAATGACTTTTGGATTTGATGCAAACTGGTGGGCTGATTTATTTATCGGTGCTTGTAGAAATGATGATGATAATTAATAGGGAAAATCATCTGCGTAAGAAGAACCTACTGGATCCAGGCCAATGGCCCATCGAGTCCAGCATCCTGTTCTCACAGTGGCCACCCATGTGCCTGTGGGAAATGTACAAGCAGGATCAAGGCACAAGAGCCCTCGCCCCTCTGCCAGTTTCCAGGGACTGATTGTTGTTGTTGTTTAGTTGTTTAGTCGTGTCCAACTCTTCGTGACCCAATGGACCAGAGCACGCCAGGCACTCCTGTCTTCCACTGCCTCCCGCAGCTTGGTCAAACTCATGCTGGTAGCTTAAAGAACACTGTCCAACCATCTCGTCCTCTGTCGTCCCCTTCTCCTTGTGCCCGCCATCTTTCCCAACATCAGGGTCTTTTCCAGGGAGTCTTCTCTTCTCATGAGGTGGCCAAAGTATTGGAGCCTCAGCTTCAGGATCTGTCCTTCCAGTGACCACTCAGGGCTGGTTTCCTTAAGAATGGATAGGTTTGTTCTTCTGGCAGTCCATGGGACTCTCAAGAGTCTCCTCCAGCACCATAATTCAAAAGCATCAATTCTTTGGCGATCAGCCTTCTTTATGGTCCAGCTTTCACTTCCATACATCACTACTGGGAAAACCATAGCTTTTACTATATGTGGCTGGTAGCCATCAATAGCTTTTTTTCTCCATGAATTCATGTAATACTCTTAAAAGTCATCCATCACTGCCTCCTGTGGGAGAAACTTCCATAGTTTTAACGATGTGCTGCGTTAAGTACTTTCTTTTATCTGTCCCAAATCTTCCAAAATTCACCTTCCACAAGTTTCAGTGTTTTGAGAGAGGGTGAAAACCATTTTCTATCCACTTTCTCCCTCACATGCATGATTTTATAAACTTCTATCATGTCACCTCTCACTTGCTTTTTCTATAAACCAGGAAGTCCCAAAGGCTGCCGCCTTTTCTCATGGGGAGGGGGTTTTTGTTCCACCCCATCGATCATTTTGGCTGCCCTTTTCTGAACCTTTCCCAAGTGTAAAGGGACCCCTGACCATTAGGTCCAGTCGTGACTGACTCTGGGGTTGCGGCGCTCATCTCGCTTTACTAGCCGAGGGAGCCGGCGTACAGCTTCCGGGACATGTGGCCAGCATGACTAAGCCACTTCTGGCGAACCAGAGCAGCGCACAGAAACGCCGTTTACCTTCTCGCCGGAGCGGTACCTATTTATCTACTTGCCCTTTGACGTGCTTTCAAACTGCTAGGTTGGCAGGAGCTGGGACCGAGCAATGGGAGCTCACCCCGTCATGGGGATTCGAACTGCCGACCTTCTGATCAGCAAGTCCTAGGCTCTGTGGTTTAACCCACAGCGCCACCCGCGTCCCTTTCCCAAGTGTACAAATACCCTTTTCGAGGTGAGGCAACCAGAACTGTATTCAGCACAGTGGTACCTCGGGTTACAGATGCTTCAGGTTACGTGATTTCGGGTTGCGCACTGCACCAAACCCAGAAGTACCAGAACAGGTTACTTCTGGGTTTTGGTCTCACGCATGCGCAGAAACGCCAAACCACGACCCGCATGTGCGCAGACGCAGCGCTGAGGGTTGCGAACGTGCCTCCTGCACGGATCACAATTGCAACTTGAGGTTCCACTGTATCCCAACTGTGCCCCCCTCAAACATTTTAGGGGGGTGGTTTGAAGGGATCTTGACCCCAAGGCGTTGGCTCCTTCCAACTGTCTGACTTCACCCCCAAAGGCGGCGCAGGCTCTTCCATTGTCGCCAGAGACAAACGGACGCCAACAACCTGGTTTCGAGCCCCACTAGGGACGAAAGATTCCTGCGTGGCAGGGGGCTGGACTAGATGCCCCTCGTGGGTCCCCCTTCAAGTCTACGGCGAAGCAAGTTCACCCCACGACCACTTGTCATTTGCCATTGGATTTGGGAGTCACCACCCCGCCAAGCTCCTCCTTCCCCAAGCCTCGACGCCTTGCTTTCTGGCCCGCCTCTCTTCACGTGCTGGGGCCGGAGGGTTGCTGGGGGGGCTGCCTCTCCTCTCCCTCGCGATTAGTCGACACCCCCCAACACCCCCCTCCTCCTCCTCCTCCGCTCCCTCCCACGTCGTCCCAGGGAGTGGGCGCCAGGCGCGCGAGCCACCTTCCCCGCCAACCAGAGCCAGGCGCGCAGGCGAGGAGCTCGCGGCTCTTCCCCTCACGACTTCCTTCCACGGAAAAGAAGCCGCCGCCGCCTCTTTCCCGCCCCTCACGCGGCTCGCTCGGGGTCTCCCTCGCCGCCGGAGAAGCCCTGCATGCTGCTGAAGCAGCTGCCGCTGCTGGTGGCCACGGCAAGAGCCCCGCTGCTTCTTCGCCTCGCCTCGGCGCGCTCGCCTGCCCGGCAGCAGCAGCAGCACCTCAGCCCAGACGCGCCGCGGACGGGAGAGGCGAGGCAAGGAGGAGGAGGAGGCGGCGGCGGCGGGCCAGGGCGCTCCGGACCGGCGGAGGGAACCATGAACAGCGCCAAAGGCGAGCAGGAGCACAGCCCCGCCGAGCCGAACCTGCAGGAGGAAGAGGTACCTGCCGGAGGGGAGGCGGACGGGCCAAAGGCGCTGCCTCCCGGGCTTTCGCTTCGGAGCGCAGGGGCGGCGTGCGTCATGGGCTTGTCCGGGGAGCCCTGGAAAAAGTTTTGGGGGAAGGGGGGGAGCGCTTCCAAGCAGGGCAGCCGCAGAGCTTTTCGGACACCCCCCATCCCTGCCACCCACCAGCCCGTCCCTTAAAACGCGTTGACACCGAAGCTGTTCGCTCCGTCCGCTTTGGGGGCATGGAGAGGTTGCGCAACGCTTGGAAAACGAAAGGCGCGCCGAAGGTTCTCCGAAGCAACTAAGTTTGACCTTAGTTTGAACGGGGAAAGTGGGATGGTTGGTGGTGGGGAAACATGGGAGGCGAACACTGTGTTTTCTCCTTTACTCTCTTGTGGTCGTGCGCTTTCTCCCTGTAACCTAGTTGCCCCCCGACTCCCCACATTAAAAGCAGAGTACTCCTTTTAAAAAAAAAAAAAGCAAGCCAGGCGCTCTGATTAATAGATAACGTATCGGGCGCATTCTTTCCCGATGAGTTAAGATGCAGAGAACTTGCACTTGGGCAAACCTTAATTCAGAGCCACCTTGGGGAAAGGTCGTGGTCAAAAAAAGCAAAGCGTGGCAAAACACGCAAATTAAGTTGGCGATGCGCTTTGGCAATATCGGTAAATGGTTGAACTCAATAATAAAGCAGTGCGAGTGTTTTCCATCGTTAGAGATTGTTGTACAGTACTGTATTGTGTTGCCCATTTATGGTTCAACTCTATATGCTTACTCAGAAGCAAGCCCATACTGTTCAGTGGAAAACACTCCTAGGTAGGGTTGTATATCTCATAGGATTGTATATCTCATAACATATGTAATTTCCTTGAAATACTTGTGAGCTCTTGTAAGTTTGAGGTACTAAGCCATGCTTTATGTCTTAACCACCACATTCCACTTATACTCAATTTAAACCTCCCTGTGTGTGATTTGAATATTACAACCTTATAATGGATAGGTAGCCTGTGAATTTATAACGCCTACAGCATTTCTGTTCACAGTCTTTTTTGCAGGGTGATAAACAGTCAGAACTCAGTGTAGTAGGACCTTAGGCATTTTGTTGGAGGAAACTTTGCTTTTCCTCGAAGTAGACTAGTCCATAAAACCTTAGTGCCGGAATGATATTGTGAGTCTTTAAGGTGCCATAAGACTCTTCGGTGCTGTTGTTGTTTTGCTACACTGCTCTGAAATAAAGAAAGATGGTTACTCTTGAGCAGGGGTCAGCAAACATTTTCATCAGGGGTCTACTCTCCTTCAAACCTTGTGGAGGGCCGGACTATATATTTTTTTCGGGGGGGGGGGGAGAATGAATTCCTATGCCCCACAAATAACCCAGAGATGCATTTTAAATAAAAGGACACATTCTACTAATGTAAAAACACGCTGATTCCTGGACCGTCCGTGGGCCAGATTTAGAAAGCGATTGGGCCAGATCCGGCCCCTGGGCCTTAGTTTGCCTACCCATGCTCTTGAGGCTAGGAACCTGTTTGAGAAAGAATTAAGGCAGTAAACTACCCAGATTAACACTTCAAGCCTATTATGAAGTGCTGCTGATTCACAGATCCTAGAAGGATGAATGGTGGTTGCATGGAACAAAACACATTTTCTTAAAAGAAAAACATTTCCTTGTATCACGTATTCATTCTGCCTATCTGTGGGAATTACCGTATATTTATAGGAAAACGAATATGTAGGTTTCTTCATCTATTACAATATATAGGCTTCTAAGCATCAGTTCAGTTTGTTATAACGTGATAACTTGCCCATATAGGCAAGAATGAAAATTCTAATGTTTGCATTGTTTTTCAGGTTGCCACCAAGTACTAACCAGATAGTGCTTGTGATCTGCAACATAAACCACTATGAAATATGTATATGTATGAACATTAATTACTATACTGATTAATTAATTTTAGGCATGGTTTGGACAAACTTTGAAAATTTTGTATTAGTAGAAGTTTTCTTTTGGAAACTCTTACAATGTGCTTAAACTCGGCATAAGCTTGCCTTGTATTGCAGCCGTGATGTTTGTTAATGGGGTTGGTTGTTGAGACTCTTCATTGCCTATCCCCTTAGTTGAAGGAATAATTTTTAATGATTTAATAATCTTGTTAGCGGCGAAATCTGGTGGTGGCTCGGAAAACATTTATGGTGCAACCTGTTGTCTTGTGATGATGTGCAACGAGGTATTGTAACAACACATTCATACACGGCTTTGATTCTGTGTGTGTCCTTTTTGCTTCTGGTGTCAGCCTTGGGACGTCCTTGGCTCCTGAAGTCCCAATGGAGAGCATTTTCAGCGGGTTTGGGGGGAAAGAAGTTATTGGTGCTGCACTACCTAAGTATTTTCCTGGTCCCTGTCATTTCACCATTGTCAGCAAATAAGTAATGAATGGGAAGCTAAGGATGGAAGGAACATGGGAGTCCACAGTCACTTGTGTTGCATTCACCTACAACCTGTTTTTCATTTGTTTGGTGGTATTAGTTTTCTAAGGACCTTTTAATAGTATTGGGCTTGGGCAGAGGATTACATTAACTTCTGACCCTATTCCAACCTTACAGTTTATCGTTCCAAATATAAACGTGACTTAAATCTTGGCAACCTCACATCTCTTAGAGATCTGTGCTCCCATTTGGAGGTAGTGCTGACATCAGTGCCTCTTTACAGCAGAAGCCTCAAACAAAGAACAAGTTCCTATCTCAAAGAGCTTTCAGCCTAAAGTTTGATGGCAACTGTGCAGCAGGTTCGCAGTGCTTCTGAAACAGAGAACTGTTCAGTATACTGTATCAGTTGTGGATTTTATACTTCTGTGTTTTAAATTCACTTGTACTTAACTTTGTATGTAGAGAAATAGCATTCTGATTTCAGACTGTGGTAAATGGGCAATGTGGGAAAAGGAAGTCGGTGAAAGCGAAAATTGGACATAGCGCTGATGAAGGACCATATTTCCATTAATTATCTCATCCTTCACTTGTACACACCAGCTTGTTTCATTCATATGTTTGCATTCTTCCATTATCCCACTGTTTCTGCGCAATAAGGTGCACACATTTTATTGATATATATTTTATGCAGAGTTTAATTAGTTTATTTCCTTGGGCTAGGGAAATGTAAACGTCTGTGAGGTGGATTGTTGCTTCCACTGAATACAGGGAATGGGAGGACCAAAGTCCATGTTACATGGGAGGTCTGTGATTGGATATCCCAATATATTTTTCTTTACAGTGGTACCTCGGGTTACATACATTTCAGGTTACATACGCTTCAGGTTACAGACTCCGCTAACCCAGAAATAGTACCTCAGGTTAAGAACTTTGCTTCAGGATGAGAACAGAAATCGTGCTCTGGCGGCACGGCAGCAGCAGGAGGCCCCGTTAGCTAAAGTGGTGCTTCAGGTTAAGAACAGACCTCTGGAACAAATTAAGTACTTAACCCGAGGTACCACTGTACTTCGAAACTTCCAGGGTGCGTGTGTTCCTAGTGTGATCCGGGAAATGGTACATGTAGTATTTAACCCTTCCCTGGTACCATTTTGTCAATGTAAACCCCATCGCTCAAACTATTAGCCAAATTGTGGGGGAAGACCTGTTGTCACTGCCCCCCCATAGGGTAATAGCATCTCTGTGTGGTTAAATTGAAGGGTTAAACACACCTTCCCTAGTGGTTCCCAACCTTTTTGGGGGGCTATGCCCCACCTAAGCATCTCTAAAATCCTGATCCCCCCCCCCGGTGACATGTAATTCTTATTACTCAAAAAGTGAACTCCTATTCACATGGAGGAAGCCTAAAAGGCCATTAATTTGGTCTACACAAGCTTCCAAATCCCCCCCCCCCAATATCAAATTGCACCCCTGTGGGGCATGTGCCCCACTTCGGGAACCATGGCTCTGGAGCTATTGCCCTGATCAAATGAAGAACCCTCCTTAATAAGGAGCGGCTGCTTTGAAGTAAACGAAAAGTATAGCAAATCTTCCTCATCTCTTCTACTTTGGCTCTGAGGTGCATTTTTTTTTTTAAACAAGGACAGCTCAGTAAGTTCATGGCTAAGATGTGAGTCCAGGTTTCCAACTCCAGATCCTACCTCTCTTTGCTGAGTCAAATGTCCCTCATAACCTCCAGCATCACTTAACAAACTGAGGAACCTTCAGGCCTGTGGTTGGTGTTATGCACTGAAGTTCTCACCCTGGGCCAGCAGGGGGATACTGTAGATAGTTTTCACTCAGGTCTGCATATGCAAATAAGGAATTGAAAGTGACGTTCAGTGATTGGATAGTTACAGAAAGTTGTTACTGTTGCCATGTAGTTGAGCTCTATATAAGCAGGTTGGCTGAACCACTTCAGCCCTGTTCTGGCCTGTGAATAAACAAGAGCTGTCTGAAGAATCGCTGTGTCGTCTGATATGTTCACCCGCAACTTAACAGTTGGCAACTGTCTTGTTCATGTCTTGCAGTTAGGCTGATAAACTGTTTGTAGAGTTGCCAGAACAGACGTGCAGTCAGAACAGTGCATGTTGAGGAGAGAATAGGGGATTGGCGCCATAAGAACCTTTCATCAAAACTTACGATTTAAAATAGAGCAGAAGGCCGAGACCTGTAGTTATTCTAGCAGCTGAAAAAGAGACTAGTCATTTCTAATCACTGTTCTAAGAAAGGGAGAAATTGCCTGAAATGATGTTTTCTAACCACTGTGTAAGGGACGCGGGTGGCGCTGTGGGTTAAACCACAGAGCCTAGGACTTGCCAGTCAGAAGGTCGGCGGTTCGAATCCCCGCGACGGGGTGAGCTCCCGTTGCTTGGTCCCTGCTCCTGCCAAACTAGCAGTTTGAAAGCACGTCAAAGTGCAAGTAGATAAATAGGTACCGCTCCGGCGGGAAGGTAAACGGCCTTTCCGTGCACTGCTCTGGCTCGCCAGAAGCGGCTTAGTCATTCTGGCCACATGACCCGGAAGCTATACGTCGCCTCCCTTGGCCAATAAAGCGAGATGAGCGCCGCAACCCCAGAGTCGGCCACGACTGGACCTAATGGTCAGGGGTCCCTTTACCTTTACCCTTTTAACCACTGTGTAGTATATAGTTGGTGCCTGAAACATCACTGTTAAGGACTGTTTCTCACGTCAGTGCAAACGGAACTCCCTTCTGATGGAAGGACCAGGTCTTGTTGTGATGATAGCTAGGTATGCTGAGTCAATACAATAGTAACTTACCACCTAATATGGTCTTTTTGTTTATTAAAAACGAGTTACCCTCTGAATTACTGGTATAAGTTTTTACTGCTCTGCGGTTGTCTGCCAGATGGTAAGGCTCTCTGCATGTTGAGTTGGTTGTTGCTGAATGTAGAGCAAAAATGACAGTGGTGTTCCCCAGAGCTGGGTGGCAAACATTCAAGTATATTCTTCAGGTATTGCTAATCTTCCGTATCTTTTCTTGGTGGCATATCAGTTTTTGTTATTTCCAAGTTCTGTTGCTGTTTGAAGTGACTTTACCTTTCTGAGTTGCTATTTAAAAGATTTTTGTGTGTCAGTGCCTGTGCTTAAGCCCCCCCCTCCCCCCCAGATATCAGTCTCGGTGTGTCTGAAGTTGTAATTTTAGCAAGTGTAGATATGAGTGTCATAGGACAGATCTTTACTATACATTGTAAGCGCATCCAGCACACATTTTGTAACTTGTTAAGAGTGCTTAGAATTGTAGATCTGTGGGGGGGGGGGGGAGACTACAGTTCCCAGGATTCTTGGGGGGGGGGAGTCATGTGCCTTAAATGCGCATTTGATGTGCTTTAAAAATATTGTGTGTTCATATTTCATCTTACTATTAATATTGTTTAATAAACAGTGGTAGTTTTCAGTATTTGATTTGGCTTTGAAAAACTCTGCTATGGAGCTAGTTTACACATAGGCGTGAGCAATCTAATTGAATCCAAATTGTGAATGCAGTGGTACCTTGGTACTCAAACAGCTTGGGTCCTGAACAAATCGAAGTGAGTGTTCCAGTTTGCGAACGTTTTTTGGAAGCTGAATGTCCGACTTGGCTTCCACGGCTTACGATTGAGTTCAGGAAGCTCCTGCAGCCAATCGGAAGCTGTGTTTTGGTTTCCGAATGGTTTCGGGAGTCGAATGGACTCCCAGAATGGATTATCGTAAATTCGAGAACCAAGGTACCACTGTAATGTATGATTACACAGTGCGGTAAGGAACCTAGCTATGGCGACCCATATGCATATCTTCTTGGCTGGATCAGAAAGCTTTGGCATGCAGTGGATGCACATTTCAGACAGCTATTCTAGGTCAATGTAGGATTTGCATTCAGGACCTTCACATTCTCTGTAGGTCTTGTTGACTTTTTTTTTTTCAAAGTAGGCAATCCACTTTTTACAAAAAGTCAACAAGACCTATAGAGTTCCAGATGTGGATTTCATAGCAAGCTAAAATGGTGATGATAATGCAATCATCCTATCTCTGCTGTGTTAATTAACACCTGTGCATGGGACGTGAAACCGTTCTCTTGAATCAAGCTTAAACAAAAAGAATCAAACCTCTTGATAAGTTCTGGATGATTTGTGTTTATCACCAATTAATGCTGTTGTGAAAGGTCACGGTATTTACCTTCTGTATTTACAGTATATTACATAGAATTATTGCAAGCTGTACTATTCACATTTCATAGCCATTTTACCTCCCTGTTTTTCTGTTTATACCTCTGTAATATATGCATGTATGTATACACTCTCTTCCCTGGGCCATAGGAGGATTCTCTTTCATGCATCGGATGAAATGAACTCTGTTCATGAAAGCTTGTTCTCAGACTCTTCCTCCCCTTTTAAATGCCTTTTTCTTCTTTTCAGCTCATTGCTCAACAACAGTATCTTCGTGAACATACATTTTCATATTTATTTAACTGCTGTAGTTATTAAAAAATATTTACAGTCTTCCATTCATCTATTCACATACCAGATGGGATACAAAACATAAAAAACACACAACAATAAAAACCCACCATTCAAAATACACAAAAGCAGTTAAAAGCAACAGATCAAGCTGAACAGCCATTAAAATACCTGGGCAAATAATTGAGTTTAAACCTGGTGCTAGAATGATGTCAGCACTAATTGCACCTGTGAGTGAAGGGCATTCCACATTCCCGGTGCCACCACCAAAAAGGCTGTATTCCTCACCATGGGCTCACCCGCAGCAGTCAAATGCTGAGAAAAGCCTTTTAAGACATCATAGTTACAGTCAGCTTAGCATAAGGGAAAGGTGGTCCTTTGGGTATTTTCATCCCAAGCCTTTTCAGGCTTTAGATGCAGGTGCCAGCACTTTGAATTGGATTTGGAAGAGAATAGAATCAGTGGGATAAGATTCCACCCAGCTACACCATTTGAACAGTTCCAGGTAGTCTTCAGTGGCAGCCCCATGTACAGTGCATTGCAGCAATTCCCTTGGGAGGTTACTAGAATGTGGGTCACTGTGAACAAACTGTTCACTGTCAAGGAGCAACTGCAGCTGGCAAAGCAGCCAACTCTGGGGAAAAGCACTCTGTGCCACTGAGGCCACCTGTGTTAATGGTGACAATGCTGGATCCAGGAGTACCTGCACACGGTGTACCTTTTCCTTTAAGGTGAGTACAACCCTATCTGGAAAAAGCTGCCTGCCTGATTCCACAGACATGAGAACCACTTATTCCTTCTCATGATTCATCGTCAGTTTATTGGCTTTCATCCAGCCCATCACCAAATACAAGCCCTAGTTCAGAAACCGCATAGCTTCACTTGACTAAGCTGACAGATGAAAATAGAGTTAGGTTCCATCTGCATCATTAGTGGTCTTGTTCAAGGCTCCAGAAGCCTTGCTTCTGGCAAGGGACACCTTTCCCCTCTTTCCTACTCTCCTGAAATCTTCCACAACTGCGCTGCTTGGTGCTAAACAGCTCAGGATTGGTGCTGGCTCACAGCCCCTGAATCCAAATGCTTTATTTTTGAACAGTAGGGCAGGACTTCCCAAACTGTGGTCTTAAGGATCATAGCGTCACACAGGTGGCTTGCAGCATGTCTGTGAAGAACACTTACCATTTGACTTCTGTGGATTTCAAACTTCAGTACAATAAAATACATACAGTGTAAGAAATCAAGGAAGCAATAAAAATGCGATTGAAAGTCACACAGCTTCTAGCACAGCACATTACAATCGCTGCAGCAGGCTCAAGAATCATTAAGAGGTCTGCTAAGACCATCAGCAATTTTCAGTAGCAGGAGAAGTATAGTATGGGGAAGAGAGGAGGTTTTTTTTATCTTGGTGCACACCATTCCCCTGACTCTTAATGCTCAACTTCTAGGATACTGTTATAGCAGGGGCAGGGGGCCTTTTTGACTCCATAGGCCAAATTCTTATCAGAGTCCTTGTGGGCCAAATTTGACAGGTGTGTGTGGAGAAGGACGATCCTTCTTAGTGTTGGGTTTGGTTGTGTGAGAGAACTCTCACGTTCACCTGGATCAAGCAAATTCACTTTCTCTTCACATCAGCTGAGGCCCTGTGTACCTGAAGGAGTGTCTCCACCCACATTGTTCAGCCCAGACACGGAGGTCCAGTTCCTTCTGGCAGTTTGCTCACTGTGAGAAATAAAGTTACAGAGAACCAGGAAAAGGGCCTTCTTGGTAGTTGTGCCCGCCCTGCGGAACACATTCCCCTCAAATGCCATCATTCCCTATAACAGTGCCTATCAACTTGGAAACAAAATGGAACATCTCCGAAACCAGGTAATGGTTTCTACTCCATTGATATTTTAAATAAAAATCCCCAGTCATCTCAGAATCTTACCTGCTCTGGCTTTGGGACATTGAAATGAGATGTTAAAATTCATCAGAATGGCTGCTGGGTTTGAGAGTTAAGAGTCTAAGAATTTATAAAATAATAATATTAATAATAATAATAGTATGCAAAGCAGGGGGATGGGTTGAGTTATGTTCTGTTGCAGGGGCTGTTACAAAGATGAAGGGAGCAGGCAACATTATATCAACGTACTGGTCATCTGTTTAACTGAGGTATATGTTTGTGTTTGTTGCCTGTACAATTTTGAAACTATTTATGTATATAAATCAGTTCATTTCTTCAATGGTGGTTATGCGTAAACATGACCTGCATGATTCCTGTATTCTCGAAGCTGAGAAATTATGTATGGAAATTCATCCATCTGAGTTTGAACACTAAAAGCAACAACAACCTCTTATAACTACAGCACAGGCCTGTAAAATTGCTGCAGGCCTCTGGCAAGTTACAAGCCTCTCTGAATGGGAGAAAGTTTGATGTCAGACAAGTATCAGTCCTCCGTACCCTTCAATTAGCATGTCAAAAATTGCCAACATAGATCGGGCGTGGGCAATTTGGGGAAGTGTTTTCTTTTTTTCAAAGCCTAGAAATATTGTATGCTTCTTCTTTTTTTGCAGTGTTGCACCAATCTGAAATATGTTCCAGATATGGATTATAGGGCACAAGGATAGTAAAAGGAGGGAAAATTGCATTCCTTTTCCACTAGACTTAATTGTTCATTTAAACCATGGTTGTTGGCATTGTGGATTTTAGTCTTCCGCCCCCCCTGCAGTAGCACTTCTGGAAGTCAGTAGTGTTATTATTTTTTGTAGGACCTTTGGCTGTGATAAATATTGGTTGAGTCCACTTTTTGGTAAGGAAAATAGCATGGAGTTAAGACTTTCAGACCCAAAATGCTTCACTTTAGTGATGTTTTCATAATTCTGTATGTGTCTGTTGGGAAGCAAGCCCCACTGAGTTCAGTGGACTTTTACTTCCGAGGAAGTCACAATACAGTGGTGCCCCGCAAGACGAATGCCTCGCAAGACGGAAAACCCGCTAGACGAAAGGGTTTTCCGTTTTGGAGGTGCTTCGCAAAACGAATTTCCTATGTGCTTGCTCCGCAAGACGAAAATGTATTGCGAGTTCCTGCGGGGTTTTCCCCCCCCCCCCTTTTTCCCAAGCCGCTAAACCGCTTATCAGCTGATGGCTAAGCCGCTTAACAGCTGATGCTAGGCCGCTTATCAGCTGATCGTTAAGCCGCTTATCAGCTGATCGTTAAGCCGCTTATCAGCTGATCGTTAAGCCGCTTATCAGCTGATCTTTAAGCCGGCTAAGCCGCTAATACTGTAGCGCTAAGCCGCTAAACCTCTAATGGGCTTGCTTCGCAAGACGAAAAAACCCGCAAGACGAAGAGACTCGCGGAACAGATTCTTTTCGTCTTGCGAGGCACCACTGTATGACAAACTACAGAATGGCTTGTCTGAGCTGTGCAGTGAGCAGGAGAGAGGCATTTTCATGATGGCACCACAGTTAAGATAGGCGGCTGTGACATGTGAATGAGGCCGCTTCATATGTACATTTGAATTGACTATGAGGGGTGTCATTGTACCTCCACGTAAAGTGAAGTGGCTGCCTTGGGTTTCAGGTCTTGGATACTCTTACAGAAGACAGGGTGGAAAATTGACGCACCTGTCTTGTGAGATATGCTCCTCAAGGCGCATTGAAATGAATGGGAGCAGCTCAAAATCTAGCAAGAATGCTATTAGCTGCAAGATATAGCTTGCTGTGTATGTGCAGTGCTGAAAGCTCCAACTTAAAAAGACCCAACAGACTGCTTTATTTTTTATTACATAATAGAGCTATAATTTTAAAATATGGTTCTTAATGACTTTTTGGTTTTGGCAGAGCTACAGATCTGAATGTTCAAAGCTAGGAAGTAATAGAAGCATGTCAGTGACTTAAAACTCCGTAAGAATCTTTCACTTGTGGAACCAATAAATCATAAAGAAACATGTGCTTTATTGCAATGGTAATGTGACTGGATTTTTAATGACAGATCTAGGGTTGCCATGCGCCCGGAATTTCCTGGACATAGCTGGGATTTGGCCATAAGAAACAATGTCTGAATTTTCACTTTTTGAAATATGGCAACCCTAGACAAATTGGTGAATTCTAGGTCTTGAAGAGATAATTTCTGTGTAGTTGGGAAACTGTATGCTTTCATTTTTGTGGAACTCTATACCAAGCTAACTCTTGGGAAAAACATATTTATTATGTTTGTAATTATTTTAATGCCTTAAAATTACCTTGATGGGCCATGCATTTTACATTTAAACCTTACGGGGTTCTATGGAAACACGATTCCACATGTGTGCTTTTCTTCTGCATCCATGTTCCAAAGAGTTGATGCTTTTCTTGTCAAACCTGTAGATGGAAGGAGTTCATATAATGGAAGGCCCATATAATGGAAGGTCTGATGAGCATTTACTGTTCCCAACCCAAATCCTGTGGAAAGCCATCTAATTCAGATTTTATTTTTATCCTGACTTGTTTTTAAGAGGTGATTTAATTATTGTTTGATTTTATATCAATGTTTATATTTGATGTTAGCCGCCCTGAGACCGGTCTCGGCCGGGGAGGGCAGAATACAAATAAAAATTTAAAATAAAAAAAGTTCATTATTCAGTTCATTAAAAAAATGAACTGGCTTGGTTGGTAGTAATCTGGGCTCTAGATGGCATTAGATTACTTCTGTAGTTGGTATGTATTGCTGTTGAATGATAGGCTAATGCTGCAGGTTAACAAAATTCCAGAGATAAGACGTAAGCTTCCCCTCTGAACCCAAAGAAATCTGAAAGTTTGCTTTGCACTTGCCATGTGTATTGAAGCTTTCATTTACTTTGGATGGTTGTAGAGGAAACAGACATTGGCCAGGAATTCCAAATCAGAAACATTTAATGGTTTACACAGGGTGACATTTTCAAGCTGCAGAACAGCATATAATAATAATAATAATAATAATAATAATAAGTTATTTATACCCCACCCATCTGGCTGGGTTTCCCCAGCCACTCTGGGCGGCTTCCAACAAAATATTAAAATACAATAGTCTATTAAACATTAAAAGCTTCCCTAAACAGGGCTGCCTGCAGATGTCTTCACATAGTGCTTTAGCAAGGACTTGTATCCTTTTTTGCCACGCAATAGTATTCAGAGTTACAAAACAGAGTAAAAGAAAACTTCATTGTTGAAATAATCTAATCTAAATCAGTTTCATTCTACCCAGTCTCTTTGGTAGACAAAAACCAGTTAAAAGATCCATAACTGTTAAGTTGTGGGTGAACATATCAGACGACACAGTGATTCTCCAAACAGCTCTTGTTTATTCACAGGTCAGAACAGAACTGAACTGAAGGGTTCAGCCAGCCTGCTTATATAGAGCTCCAGTACAACGTAACTGTAACAACTTTCTGTAACTATCCAATCACTGAATGTCATTTTCGATCCCTTATTTGCATATGTGGACCTGAACTATCTACAGTACCCCCCTGCTGTCCCAAGGTGAGAACTTCAGTACATAACAATAACTACTTCAGTGATAGTGCTGTATATGAAATAGACTCCGACAGGATGTTCCTAATGGAAGGTGACCAGTAGGAGATCTGTCAGACCTCCTCATCCTTTTTCTGCTCTAAAATGAGGTTGTTTCGCCATTGAGCATTTAACTTTTGGGTTAGTGATAGATATAAATATGTTATGATGCTGTATAAAATGAGTATAATCTCTGTATTGGAGAAAGGAGCTGAGCCTAAATGAACTGTAGCTTGCCTCTTAAGAGTGTCTAGTGAGATATGACTGAGGTGAGATTTGAACTGGAGGATTTCTGGCTCACACCCTTTGGCTGCAATCCCACACTTTCCTGTGAGTAAGTCCCATACACATCAGCGGGGCAATGAACTCAACAGAGTTTACTTCTGAGCAGATATGTATAGGATTTTATCCCACGTCGCTCCACCACCATGAATAAAATATAGGTGGCTGTGAGTTCTCGTAAGTGGAAGTTCATTCGCTCCGAGTATTTTAATTTTTAAAATAAAAGCAGCTAGGAAAAGTATTTGTAACATAAGTTTATCTCTTGTTTATAAAGTAAATTTATCACTTGAAACAGCTCCAAGTTTCCAAAGGCTTGTCATACGTTCTAAGAAGGTATGCTAATCCACAGCAAAAACAAGAGGGAAAACATGAAGGGGGAAGTTCAGAAGATGGGAGATTAACCCCCCCCCCCCAATGTCTTGAAGCTGTTTAGAGTGAACAGAAAAACAGAAAGTGAACAGAAAAAAATTCTAGAAATTCTGAAAATATTCTGGAGAAGCAACTGCAAAACTCAGAGTGCAGCAGGCAAAAACCCTTGCCTCCTTCATTGCTTTTTGGATATTTCCTGTCTTGATTTGTTCTTAATATAGCCCCTGTGCAATCCTGTGCACACTTGAGCACAGAGGTGCTTATTTCTGGATAGACATGTGTCTTGGTTTCTGGCTGTTGTTAATGCAGCCATTCAAGACTTTACTGCTAGACCAGAACTGGAAAAACCCAAGATTATCATCCTGGGATTTAGCTCCTGACATGCAATGCCCTTCCAGCGCCTTTCTTTTGGCTTAAATGATCATAGATAATTAGGATGGCAGGTGGAGAAGGCTATAAACCCATACCACATTGGAAAGTGGCCCCATTGAACTCCTTGGGGCTGACTGACTGTTAAGTAGACATGCATAAAGGTAAAGGGACCCCTGACCATTAGGTCCAGTCGTGGCCGACTCTGGGGTTGCTGCACTCATCCCGCTTTATTGGCCAAGGGAACCGGCGTACAGCTTCCGGGTTATGTGGCCAGGATGACTAAGCGCTTCTGGCAAATCAGAGCAGTGCACGGAAACGCCGTTTACCTTCCCGTCGGAGTGGTCCCTATTTATCTACTTGCACTTTGACATGCTTTCAAACTGCTAGGTTGGCAGGAGCAGGGACCAAGCAACGGGAGCTCACCCTGTCACGGGGATTTGAACCGCCGACCTTCTGATCGGCAAGTCCTAGGCTCTGTGGTTTAACCCACAGCGCCACCCTTAGACATGCATAGAACTGTGCTATTAATCTACCACTTTCTCCCCCACCCCTCGGTTTGTGGGCAAATCCTGGAAATAGAATGGGGGCTAGTTAAATTTGTAGAGGGGCATGTGCATGTATTGAAAAAGAGACTTAAATGTAGCCAGAAATCTGGCCCCTTGTGGTAGCATTTCAGTTGTGTCATGATGACTTCTTAAAAATCTTCCAAGACTGTGGAGGTTTCCCCCCCTTTTTTCTGGTACCCGTCTGTCTTGAGAGACAATGGAGTGTTACTGACTGGCTAAACCAGGTGAGGGTAGTCGATGGGTCTCAGCCCCTCGATGAGTTAGGGACTTCCCCTGTGTGTGAAGACAGTCTCCAGTGGATTGAGGGGACAAGACAAATAGTGGGTCAGATGGTCAAGAAGACAGTTTCAGCACGTGCTGTAGAGGGATCCAATAATTACTAAACAGACAATTAAGAAAAATGTATTTTAAAGCTCATACCAATAAAATAGTTCCATAAAACTCAACTTCAGAGCAGCCTAATCATATCAATACATGTCAGAATATCCATATCATTAAAAAAAAAAGGATACCTCCTTTGAATTCTATAAATTGAAATTAATACATTGGAAATGGAAACTGATTTTTGACCTTCTTTTCCTGTCCCTTTCCCGGTCCTTGAATAAGCTAAGAATACATTTCCCCGCTCACCCACCCCCTTTAAATTTTTCCAAACCCTACAAAGGCAGGAACTGGGAATAATTGTTTTTAAAACTTGGATGATTGTTTGGGTACCAGACATCTGTAGCCTTGGTGACTATATGGTAGAGACCCAGAAACGAGGCTTGTGATGATGACATTATGTTGGAGGGCCTTTTAAGGTCCTTGGCTGAAAGTTTTTGTTTGCTTCAAGTGGGCTTGTGGGATTCCAGCAACCATAAACAGAGCCTGATAATCTAAACCAAGAATGGGGGGGGGGAGGTACAAGCCCTCCAATAATGGAGTTCGTTTTTATGTGGACTTGTTCCAAGAGAGACGGAATGTACCCTACTTGAAAAAAGCAGTGACACACAGAGAGCTATTTGCCTCTGCTGTTTTGGTATGTTGTATGTTGTTTAGCTGTTGTGGTAAAATTGCATTTTCCTCAGGGAGAAGGAAGACTGCAGTCTTAAATTATTGCAAGCCCATGTTGCTTGCCAACATTTCCTTTTAAAATTTTGGAGACTTTTATCTTTCACTCGCTTCAACCCCAAGCATACGTTTTCTGTCCATGTTCTTGACATAATACTTCCTCCTACTTGTGTTTATAAGTTTGTTTTAGTGGCGTGTCTACAGGACCGCTGTTTGTGCGTCCTAGGTGGTTACTGCCTTTGCAATGCTTGCTTGGAAAGCTCTGGTGCCAGGTAAGGAAGAAAAGAAAATGGGAGAGGAGAGGTAAAGGTGATGTAGGATGAGTGAAAGAAAACATAGTTAGGCGTGGTTTCATTTGAAGATAAGAACTTGTATCATTCACTTTAGAGGAAATAAACCAGGTACAGTTAATATTGATGAAGTGACAAGCCAAGTACCGTATTTTTCGCTCCATGACACACTTTTTTCCTTCTAAAAAGTAAGGGGAAATATGAGTGCGTCTTACGGAGCGAATGGCACTGCGCAGAGAGGGAGAACTGTGCAGCGCCCCTTCAGCGACGCACCTGTCCTGCGAAGCCGGAGGAGGAACAGAGGGGACTCCTTCTGTTCCTCCTCCCGCTTCGCAGCGATGTGCCTATCCTGTGAAGGAGAGGCGCTGCACAGAGAGGGAGAACTGCGCAGCGCCCCTTCAGCGATGCGCCTGTCCTGGCTTCTGCCTTAGCCATGCGCAGCCTCTTCCGGGCAGGGCGAGCCTTCATCCCGCTGCCTTGAAGAGGCTTGGCGCAGTTATCCCAGAAGCCAGAACAGCCACACGGTATCCCAGAAGCCAGATCCCTCTTGCTGTTCTGGCTTCTGGGATTCAAAATAATTTTTTCTTGTTTTCCTCCTCCCAAAACTAGATGCACCTTATGGTCTGGTGCGTCTTATGGAGCAAAAAATACGGTAAATTCCGTTTCTAAAGTTCTGTGTTCTGCAAACGCTGCTCCAATGTGACATGGTGACTATTTTTAGGCTCTAGTCATGGACGTCTCCAGAGATCCACAAATACTTTCACTAGAGTGCTTGCGTTTAATTCTGGCGTCCAGAACCCAAAGACTCTAGTGTACTGTGGCACAGAAGCAGGAACACATTAAGAGAGCCCCTCTTTCAAAATGGCGCCAGGCTTCTTTCTTCTGCCGGAACACGCTGTCACTGCCATAGGTTGGAGGGGAGTGGTAGCTGCCCCCGCACATATTATCTGCCCCTTCTCCCATATAAAACTGCCTTGCTGGGCAGTAGATACAAAAAAAGGAGCATGTTTCCTTCTATGGATCAGGAAGCAAGAGCCCAAATTAGTGGCACCTTGCAGTCACCCTTTTAACCTACTAATAAAAAATTAAGAAAACTGTGTTGAGCATGTGTGTGAGGAAGAGTTCTGTTTATGGGTGGGCCCCGAGTTATTTTTTTAATAAAAAGCACTCGGTGAATTGCAATCTCTCACACAATGTGTCTGAATATTTTAAGTTTAGTAGTTTTGTTAGGGAATGTTGAGTAAGCGAGGCCTCTTAACCATATCTTCCTCCTTGTGTTGCAAGTCTTCTAAAAGTGATGAACTCGCAAATCCTTGACAAGAATGTGTACAGCAAATTGAAAACAGGTATTCTCTTGGGTTTCTGAAAACTGCAGAGTAGCTAGGGAGAAGGGAGTTTTCGTTGGGTCAATCAGGTGTCAAATGTTTGCCAAGGACACTAGTGTAGTTGCTTATTTTTGACTTGGAATGTGCTGAGGAAAGCTCTGATAGCAAGGAGACTGGGTGCTTGCAGCCGCAGAACCTTCCTGAAGCCTGAGGTGTAAATCTGACCATGTTCCAATGCAACTATGATTAATGCTTGCACATTCATCGTGTGGTGATAGCAATATCAGGTGATAAGTTTCATGTGTAAATCAGCTATTGCAGAACTTTTGTATTGCCTCAGACCAGAATGCTCTTCTGTGGAGTCAGTTCACACATAGGACTAATCAGTGAGGGAACTTGCATGTTTTATTTTGGATTGTTTTATTTGATGTTTGAATGTGTTGCAAACCACTCTGAGGCTTTTTCTTTAATAAATAATAATAAAAATAAAAATGGTGCCTAGACATTCCGTTGTGGAGACTGTAAGCTAGGCTTAAGGTACCATTAGGTTATTACCTTATATACAGTGGTACCTCGGGTTAAGAACTTAATTCGTTCCGAAGGTCCGTTCTTAACCTGAAACTGTTCTTAACCTGAAGACCACTTTAGCTAATGGAGCCTCCTGCTGCCGCCGCACCGCTGCTGCACAATTTATGTTCTCATCCTGAAGCAAAGTTCTTAACCTGAGGTAATATTTCTGGGTTAGCAGAGTCTGTAACCTGAAGCGTATGTAACCTGAAGCGTATGTAACCTGAGGTACCACTGTATCTGAGTTTCTAACACCGGCCAAAGGGACCTCAGCTTCTGGGAACTGGCTCCAATGATTCACGTTGATCTAGCACCCTTGAGAAAACGGTATTTCCCAGCAGTTCTTTGTAGCCTAGTGATCTGGTGACCAGAAGCAGAGGAAGGAGAAGAGAGAGAAAGCGATTGACCCTTCCTTCCTCCTTTATGCCCATGCTAGTGGAACACCAACCAGGTCAGTGGAGGGGGTTGAGGGGTGGGTGTGAGGTAAGGTTTTATGGGCTGCCTGGGTGAGAGGGGGCTTGGTAGATAACTGTTCTGTTGCTTGGATTAAAATCTGAACCAGGAAAGTACAGTGGTACCTCTGGTTGCGAACGGGATACGTTCCAGAGCCCCATTCGCAACCTGAGCAGAACGCAACCCACGTCTGCGTGGGTCACGATTCACCACTTCTGCGCATGCACGCGACGTCATTTTGAGCGTCTGCGAATGCGCAAGCAGCAAAACCCGGAATTAACCTGTTCCATTACTTCCGGGTCACCGCAGGACACAACCTGAAAAGATTTAACCTGAAGCAAACATAACAAGAGGTATAACTGTATTTCCAGGGCTGTAATGCCTAGCCTTGTATTTGAGGTGAGCATTACGAGCCTCAGGAGACTCATATTTCTGAGCTTGTGGTTTGCAAATAAATGACAGATTATTAGCAGAAGCTTCAGTGTGTGTTTAGCCAAAATTATTACAATTATCTACCTGACATAAGCTGCTGCCCATAGTAGGACTGGGCAAATATTTCAAGGAAAACGGAATAGCCAAGAACTGTTTTCTACTCCCCACATCAGAGGGTTTCTTGCTAACCTTGAGTCGTATGCATCTGTGACCCAGTTAGTGCTGCCCCATTTTGCTTACAAATGTTCTTGTCTCTAGGGCCATCTGCCTCTGACCCTACGTAGAGTTCCTTTCCAACATGAAAATGTTGCTTCCTTTTCTGTTGAGTGACTGGAATCTGGAGTCCTGTGTTTTTTCTGTCTCCTTCCTGCCGTGACCCCATAGATGCTGCCCTTCTTGTGAGATGGCAAGGGGAGATTTGGGCTCAGGCTGCATTAAAAAAAGAAAAGAGCAAAAAAACCTGACTGTATGTAAACAAAATGGGTGGGATTCAACAGAAGAATTTCCCCTTGTGTGATGGAACCTGTTCTCCACCTGCTCCTTTCCCTGCCCCCCCCAAAAATTGGATTGGGGATCAGGAGAACCCCTTCTGGCGAGCTGAAATGTTTGTGCTGACATAACACGAGGTTGAATTCTTCCCAGTGTTTTCAAAACAAGATGCCAACTCATTTCAAACTAGAATTCTTTTTTTTTAAAAATGGAAAGTTCTTTGTTTAGTTTAAAATAAGCTTTGAATTTTGCTGTTCAAGAAGCTATCCATATATATCTTGCACTTTCAACAACCCTTTTACACGAAGGGTGCTCTTTTTAAGAGTTTGAAGCACCTTGTTTTGAAAAAAAAATGCATATGCACCGTTTTTTTCTTCACTGTTTTCGCATTTGGCGTAATGCCCTCCTGTGACGAGACATTGGTTTATCTGCCTGACATGTGGGAGAGCAAAATAAAGTTAGCACTGAGGCCAAATATACCCTGCAGAGTATATCTTTGTGACTGATTATGGAGTAGGACGGTGTATGTTTTTTGTGATTGTAAATTGTTTCTGTTTTTAACATTGTGTTTTAAGTGTTGCGACCTGCCCTGGGATCTTAGGGTGAAGGATGGCAAATTATTATTATTATTATTATTATTATTATTATTATTAATGTATTTGCATTATCAGTGCACATATGCGCATCCTACATATGGAGTCACACATGTGTCCCACTTTCCAAACACAATGTGATCCCAGGAAACTGTTCATTAGGCAAACGTTTGCATAACGAGTTGATGATCTCCATTATTTCCTATGGAAACATTGCTATTCCGTGATCTCTTAACCTCCCTCCATGGTTTCTTCCTAAAATGGCTGCAGCATCTCTTTGGAAAAAGCAGAAGCATAGGTATAGACTTGTGAAGCTTTGGTCCATGTTCTCTCTGCTGCTGAATCCCTGCAAAGGTCTGCACCAGTGTGGGAAAGGAGAAACTGGCTTCCAGGCTAGAGGCTGTGGTTTTTGTGTTTACAGTGGTACCTCGGGTTAAGTACTTAATTCGTTCCAGAGGTCCGTACTTAACCTGAAACTGTTCTTAACCTGAAGCACCACTTTAGCTAATGGGGCCTCCAGCTGCCACCGCGCCGCCTGAGCACGATTTCTGTTCTCATCCTGAAGCAAAGTTCTTAACCTGAAGCACTATTTCTAGGTTAGCAGAGTCTGTAACCTGAAGTGTATGTAACCTGAAGCGTATGTAACCCGAGGTACCACTGTACTTCTGGTTTACTAGAATCTGAATTGGAGAAAAAGTTATCCTTAAAACGCTTATTTATCTCTTTATTATCTTCTAAAATGCTTATTGGTTCACGATCACTGTGCTGTATTACCTCTTTTTAATATATAGAACAACACTTCTTGGCCACCGTTCATCTGTTCACGGCTAGCAAGAGCTCCTTGCACGTCTCTGATTCCCATTGTTGTGTATCTTGAGGGCTTCAGAAAATACAGACAGGCTCGCTTCAGCCTGTGGCTTCGCCAGAATAAGCATTGAGACCTTTATTAAACGAGGAGTTATATAGTTCGTTCGTATTCCCTTTTGTGCAATACTCCTGATCTCAGGAACTAAAAATAGAACTTTTTTTTCAATATAGAAGCCAAATAAGAAGATCCTTGGGGGAAGAAAAGAGTAGAATGCCCTCTCCCATCTCATGCCCCAGCTCACCATTGACTTGACGAAAAGAGCAATAATGTTTTATGGTTTGAAAGTTGGCTGACCTGAGATTCAACTTTTAAGAAAACAAGAATAATTGCTAAGGAGATGACAGTTCTCTTTGAGGCTTGTTTTCAGCTCACTTCTCAGAGCACTTATGTTCGGTACCTGTGATCTCACGGTCAAACATGCTCATCTCTCTCTCTCTCCCCATTATTAATTGTTATTATTTAAATTTGGTTATTGAGTTTCATAATAAAGTATACACTTGTAGGGCTTTTCGTCTTGACACTTGGAAATTTTAATCGAAAACCATGACAGTGTTTTGCAGTTTGGAAATAGGGTACAGATGTTCTAGAGCTGAGCTGCGTGGTCAGCAGAATCGTGTGGTTCATCGCTTCAGACTGCAGGCAGCACACAGTTTCTATGTCTGAACGACTTCTGCCTCTAAACACATCTTCCTGCTCATGGAGAACTAGCAGGTCAGGCAGAAGGCTATGCTTAAGAGCTCTCCTGTTATATTCACTCTATATTTATCCATCACCCCTCACCCAGAGGCTTCTCAGAGCAGCAATAGATATTTCAAAATCTACTGGGCGGAGCTATTGCTACAAGGTCTCTGAGCCCCTTTCATCACTGGACCCTTCCGCTGGGCTTCCATTAAGGTAAAGGTAAAGGGACCCCTGACCATTAGGTCCAGTTGTGACCGACTCTGGGGTTGCGGTGCTCATCTTGCTTTATTGGCCAAGGGAGCCAGCGTACAGGTTCCAAGTCATGTGGCCAGCATGGCTAAGCCACTTCTGGCAAACCAGAGCAGCGCATGGAAATGCCGTTTACCTTCCTGCCGGAGCGGTACCCATTTATCTACTTGCACTTTGACGTGCTTTCGAACTGCTAGGTGGGCAGGAGCAGGGACTGAGCAACGGGAGCTCACCCTGTCGCGGGGATTCGAACCGCCGACCTTCTGATCAGCAAGTCCTAGGCTCTGTGGTTTAACCCACAGCACCACCCGCGTCCCTATCATCTAGTCCTAGCTTACACCAATTTCTTCTTACAGACTTGCCACTAGGACTCTGACTCAAATACCTGTGTTTCTTGTTGCCTTCTTATGTGCTCAGAGTGTGAAGGCTCCATCTGCATCCTTTTTCACCTCTGACCTTTCTTTGGACACTGTTTTCGCAGGCTGTAGCCTCTTACCTCTGTTCCCTTGAACTCCTCACTCTGAGCATGGGGTGGAATGCATATTGATGATTCCCCTCCTGCTTCTCTTTCCTCTTTCTGATTCCTCCTTAAGCCCTTGCCTCAGCGGTTCTGTTTTATCTCTGCACCCTGTGAGGAGAGGCGTGACTTCCACCCTGACCTGATTTATTGCTCGCATGGCTTCCTGCGAAGACTTAACACATTCACAGCAGCAGCAGAGCTGCTTCCTCCTAACACCTTCCTGCTAACAGTCTAGGGGCCAAACTGCATATGACATTAAATGGGTCAGTTGTGTGACTCTATTTTAAAAACTATAAATAGCAGCCACTGGAGGGCCTAACCAAGACCATGTGTGTAGGGGAGAAACCTGTCAGGAAGTTCCCAATCATCCCAGTGGCACTTTTCCTTTCAGGGCTAATAGCAACTTGGGTGTGTATTTGATATTCCCCCCTCCCCTGGCACTATGGCCTGGGAATAAAGACTTAATCCCACTCTCATCACAAACTCGGTTCCGATCAGGCTCTCCATAGTCTGCTCATGGTTTTTAAAAGATTTGTCAGGCAATTGCAACTGATGTAGTTTAGCTGCAGGTCTCTCTGTGCAGAGTTCTTATAATATGAAGGAGAGCATTTGAGCATGTCTAAAGGGGTGCAGTGGGACGTGGGTGGCGCTGTGGGTTAAACCACAGAGCCTAGGACTTGCCGATCAGAAGGTTGGCAGTTCGAATCCCCGCGACGGGGTGAGCTCCCGTTGCTCGGTTCCTGCTCCTGCCAACCTAGCAGTTCAAAAGCACGTCAAAGTGCAAGTAGATAAATAGGTACCACTCTGGCGGGAAGGTAAACGGCGTTTCCGTGCACTGCTCTGGCTTGCCAGAAGCGGCTTAGTCATGCTGGCCACATGACCTGGAAGCTGTACGCTGGCTCCCTCGGCCAGTAAAGCGAGATGAGTGCCGCAGCCCCAGAGTTGGTCACGACTGGACCTAATGGTCGGGGGTCCCTTTCCCTTTACCTAAAGGGGTGCGGGGGAAGAGCTGCAAGAAAAGAGAACACAGTTGTAAAAAGAGGACATGTTATAGTAGTCCAGTATGGATTTTTCCAGAGCATAAATAATGCTGGGGAGGTCAGGAGTAGCCGGGTCCTCCAGGTGTTCCTGGATCTGCAACAGCATGATCAATGGCCAAAGGTGGTGGATATTGTAGTCCAGCACTCATCTGGAGGGCACCTCACTTGGTGGAAGGATGTTTGTGCCACTGATGCCCGTTTGGTATCCAAGTTGCGAATCTGATTCTTTTAGGGGAAGCGTAAGCCCTTTCAGAACAGGTTGAACACCACCATTCCAGTCCACTAAATCATCTACCAGCACTTTACCTGCCTTGTCTGGATTTGCTTTTGCATTCCATTCCTTATTGGGTCCATTTCTGATTCAGATACCGGTTCGCCGCATTCACAGCCTCACTTGGCTCAATGAACACTTTTCTTTCTTACATCTACATATCACCCTTTCGTCCAAGGTGCTCAAGGTGGTGTATAGTCCTCTTCTCTTCTGCCTTTTATTCCTGCAGGAGATAACTAGAACATGTACCACTCTGGTGAGACAGGGCACAGGCAGGTAAGGTCTCGGCCGATGAACCAGATGGAGCTGGTCGACAGCCACCCTGGACACAGAGTTGACCTGTGCCTCCACGGACAGCTGTGAGTCCAAAATGACTCCAAGGCTGTGCAGCTGGTCCTTTAGGGCAGGCATCCCCAACCTACGGCCCTCCAGATGTTTTGGCCTACAACTCCCATGATCCCTAGCTAACAGGACCAGTGGTCAGGGATTATTGGAATTGTAGTCCAAAACATCTGGAGGGCAGAAGGTTGGGGATGCCTGCTTTAGGGTCACAGTGTTGCACTTTTGTATGATAGTCCTAGCTCACTTTATAGGGTTGTTGTAAGTTGTCTACTCTGCCCCATCCCACCCAAACACATTCTGTAGAGCTTTAAATGGGCAGAGTGAGACCTCTGGCTTAACCTCCATTCCCTTTCTTCTGCAGATGTTTTTGCCTGTGTTTCAAGCACCTGGTCAGAGCAACCATTGGAGTTGTTGTGTTCCTGAAGTACCCAACACAGTGCCCTTGGGGTGTTGTTGGAACGCAGCTCCCATCAGCCCCTGCCTTCATGGCTGGTGGTCAAGAATGATGGAAGTTTTAGTCTACAAATATATGTCAGTTGCCCCTGCCATATGCCTTGAGCATGTTTGCAGAGTGGCAATCAGTCTCTTAAAAATGGCTTGTGAATAGTCACTTGTGCAGTTTATCTGTGATGTGAGTGTTAGCACATTTCCTGCAGGCAACTGGGAAAAGATAACTTTGGAGTCACAAATGGGTATGTATAGGCAGCCAGGCTATGAAATATTTTTGTGGTCTTTTCTTTATAAGACAGTCCTGCAAGCATTCATTAAACAGAAGGGAGGGTTAATGTTTTGCTTGCACACTGATTTCAGGTGTGTCAAACTGTGTCTAGTATGCCGAGTCTATAGTAGGCTTTTCCCTCTATTTTTATATAGAAAGTTGGCTGCTTTTCAGTTTGGGAAGTTCGCAACGCAAAGCTTTCTGTCAAATACTGTGCAGAGGCCATTAAGGGAATTGTTTGCAAACAAAACTTTTCATGTCCATAGAGAACCAGTGGAAATAGAAGCCACATCTAAATATTGCAAATAAACAGAGGCCCCAGGCATTGCATGTCACAGTGTCGGGTATCTGATGTGGATTTGGAATGCAGGTTAAAATGACTTGGCCCTGTGCTCATAACCCTTGGAAACTCAACATCTCAGATTAGTGCTGATATACAGATGCGCTGGCATCGGCTCCTTTCTCCATTTATGGGGATTTTGACATCTTGTCCTAAAGTTCTGGTCCCTGGCCAAAGAAATTATAAGAGATTACATGGCTCCAGCTTCTCTTAGTCCCAGGAATCTCTACGCTAGGGGTTTGTTTCCACTGTCCCCTGGTGAACTTTAATGGAGATCTTTGCAACCAGCTCATTCCGGCAGTGTGCGGGACAGATTCTGCCATGTGCTAGTGCAAGTTTTCTTGTGCCCTTTTCCCTTTTTTGCTCATAAGTTTATTGTTCTAGCCAAAGGCCATGACAAACTTAGTACCCTCTTGCTTGTGTGAACAAAGATTTCAGAAAGCAATCTCTTGAGTCTCTATATAAGGGGCAGATTAATGAGTGATGTCTTCACCTGAGCTTGACCACAAATACAAAGTCTTCTGTTGTAGTGGCCATCCAAGATTGCACTGGAGCTAGTTCAAGCAGTTTTGTAGCTTACTGTTATACTCACGTAATGCCTTTGACTAGACTTTACGAAGAGAACAGTACCCAGTAATTCTGGAGAAGCAAAAAAAATGCAATGCATATCTAGACTACAAATACGTTGGTTCTATATAATAATATTTTGTACCTACATAGCACTTCAGAACATTCAGAGCACACACTTTTATAGCTGTTTGCAGGGCAGATGGTCAGGGTTAGAAACTTGGATAGAAAAGCTAGGAGCCAAATGGCTCCTGGGACTTGGGTTTGGGTGCCAAAACAGAATGTCTAGTCGCCATGTTGGGGGGGGGAGTGTTGGCCAGCAACACATTTTATTTATTATTTTGATAAGCATGAACTAATACGCAAGACGCGGGTGGCACTGTGGGTAAAACCTCAGCGCCTAGGACTTGCTGATCGTCAGGTCGGCGGTTCGAATCCCCGCGGCGGGGTGCGCTCCCGTTGCTCGGTCCCAGCGCCTGCCAACCTAGCAGTTCGAAAGCACCCCCGGGTGCAAGTAGATAAATAGGGACTGCTTACTAGCGGGAAGGTAAACAGCGTTTCCGTGTGCTGCGCTGGCTCGCCAGATGCAGCTTGTCACGCTGGCCACGTGACCTGGAAGTGTCTTCGGACAGCGCTGGCCCCTGGCCTCTTAAGCGAGATGGGCGCGCAACCCCAGAGTCGGACACGACTGGCCTGTACGGGCAGGGGTACCTTTACCTTTACCTTAATACACAATTCACATAAGTGACACATTGTTAAGATCACATTTTTAACCGAAATAGTTAATATATGTTTAATTTGGTGTTGACAATAAAAATATTGGCACCATACTTCAGTTTTCAAAACACTCTACTCTTTACTGTATTGTTAAACTTCTTAACTTGTCTATCTTTATCATATACTTTGAGGCTTCAAAGCACACACATTTAAGTAATTCTTGAGTGTCAGCCGGGCACAAAAAATGGCACCCAGACTTTTTGAGGTGCTCGCAAATGGAGAATCTTTAGGCGCAAAATGTGCCTGGCAACCTGCTAATTTTGAACCTTGAAGATGGTATGGTCCCCGCTTCAGCTTTTAAGGCAGTTACAAAGAAGGATAGTTGCTTGTGATGTTCATTCTCACCCCATGTTTCACTATGCTAAATGGAGTTGGGGACACCAAGTGTGTTGGGATGCAACTGCTCTCAAGCCACTTTGAGCTCCCTTTTTAGGCAGTCATACATGACCTTGGTATCATTACAACTGGGATCTTGCAGATAGCTATCATTATTCTCTTTTGCCCTGTCGAAAGGATTCTAGGAGCCCCTGCGAGGAGAGATGCCTGTTGAATCAGGCATCGGTTGCAGAATGAAATGTGACCTTTTCATGTTGGGCTCAGTTGCAACAAATGTGCACAAAGGAGAATTTCCATTGGTCGAGATAGAATCCAGTTGCTTAGATATGTGCAACACATTGTAATAATAATAATAATAATAATAATAATAATAGTAGTAGTAGTAGTAGTAGTAGTAGATTGAAAGTTCACGGTCTGGAGCCCTTGCCTGGAGGTGCCATGGGATCTGCAGACACTAGATTGGTGACCCTACCTTACTGCATGACATATATGGCTGCCTCAGTTATATATCCCTGACTTAAGGGTGAAAATGTCTGTTGGTGATGAGAGAGCCCATTTACTAGTACAGTGGTACCTTGGCTGTCGAACTTAATCCATTCCAGGAGTCTGTTCAACTCGTGGAACCGTTCGAAAACCAAGGTGAGGCTTCCGATTGGCTGCAGGAGCTTTCTGTACTCAATCGGAAGCCGCGTCGGACATTCGGCTTCTGAAAAATGTTCGCAAACCGGAACACTTACTTCTGGGGTTGTGGCATTCAGGAGCCGATTGTTCAGGAGCCACGCCGTTCGACAACCAAGGTACCACTGTACTGGGGCTTGTGCATGTGGAAAGTTATCATATAATTGGAACTAGCTACTTGCTGGCTCTCATTTGGCTCTTGTGTGGACTTCAGCAGAACACAACCTCTTAAGATGTTTGACTCCATTGCGATAAGGGTATATCAGATACCTCTGAAGAGGACCAAACTAAGAGGAAGCCATTGAGCCTTTTGCTCATGTAGGGTTATTTAGACTTGCTGACAGCTGTTAATTATTGACAAGGGTTTAGAGATTAGCTGCCTTGTTTTGAATTGGAGTAAATCATTGAACTGAAGAGAATCTCTTAATAAACCTCCAAAACCAATGTTATTTACTAACATTAACTTACTCTGCCAAGTTGTATGTGTTCTTCATTTTAATTTTATTATTCGTTTATTATACATTACATTTGGTGGAGTCAAAAAGTTGAATAAGTGGAATATGAGGCCGCTTGATGCTGTAGTGAACAAGATCCTAGGCAACATCTGAACTCATACTTTATACAAAATAGGCCAGACAAAAGGCAAATTCTTGGTTTCTCAGTGAAAATCTATTGGAAAACAAGAACTCGCCTTTTTATTTAAAAATAATAATAACAAAAAAGTCATTGCAAACAGCCACAGGCATTTGAAGTCTTTGTTTCTGTCTCTGTTGTACTTCTGGCAGATGTCTAAGGACAAGGGAACATTATACTTTGCTTTCTAGAAAATAACACATGTCTGGAAAAGCTAGATTTAGGGGGCAGCTTTGCCCTTGGCCAGAATACCTCATTAATACCAGAAAGAATAATAAGAGATGAGGGAGGGTAGAGGGTGAAGAACAAAAAAATGCACTTGTAGGAAAAAATGTATTATTTTTAGAAGGCTTTGAAATTCCTTGTGTACTCCTTCACAAAATTGAGGGATCTTGATAGGCTCAAGCACTGGAACGTTGCTGTGTTTAACACTCAGGAATGAGTTGGGGAAAGGGGGGAAACAGTTCAGGTGGTGGGTTTCAGTTGCTGGACTGCCTCTGGCTGCAGTTTGAAATGTGTGTTTTTGGGATAGCAAAGATAGGCTAATTCAAGTGAGGGACACTTTAGGATGTAGAAGGAGACTTCTGAACCATGTGTCTGTAGTGTGGGAAGAAGAAGAAGAAGAGTTTGGATTTGATATCCTGCCTTTCACTCCCTTTAAGGAGTCTCAAAGCGGCTCACATTCTCCTTTCCCTTCCTCCCCCACAACAAACACTCTGTGAGGTGAGTGGGGCTGAGAGACTTCAGAGAAGTGTGACTAGCCCAAGGTCACCCAGCAGCTGCATGTGGAGGAGCGGAGACGCGAACCCAGTTCCCCAGATTACAAGACTACCGCTCTTAACCACTACACCGCACTGGCTCTTAACCACTACACCACACTGGAGAAATGGATCTTGCAGAACCATACCTGTGGCTGGGCGATATCTGGTTTTCAACATCATGATATATCGCCAGCTAAACATTACGGTATACAGCTATATAAAGGTGGAGCTATATAGAGGCATTGGCTGGCTTCGTGGTTTTTACCGCATTGTGATTTTTGAATAGCACACACCTAGGCATCATGATTCACAGTATATCGCCAGGTCAAAAATTATGAAACTGATAGATATCATGATATGGACTTCGAACTGGTTTTGGATGATATATCACATAGCCCTATCTGTGATGTGCTCCTTCACACGATGGGTAATTAACTTACGGACATGAGAACCACAGTCTGAGATGGGCTTAAAAAGTTAAAGGTAAAGGTACCTCTGGGGTTGCGTGCACATCTCACTCTATAGGCTGAGGGAGCTGGCGTTGGTCCACAGACAGCTTCTGGGTCATGTGGCCAGCATGACTAAGCCGCTTCTGGCGAACCAGAGCAGCACATGGAAACGGCGTTTACCTTCCTGCCGGAGTGGTACCTATTTATCTACTTGCACTTTGATGTGCTTCCAAACTGCTAGGTTGGCAGGAGCAGGGACTGAGCAACGGGAGCTCACCCCGTCGCGGGGATTCGAACCGTCGGCCTTCTGATCGGCAAGCCCTAGGCTCTGTGGTTTAGACCACAGCGCCACCCGTGTCCCTTGAGATGGGCTTAGTGGTGGGTAATTTTAAGGCAAATTCATGGAGGAAAGGTCTGTCAATGAAAATTATCCTTCATGATAACTAATGGAGCCTCAGTGTAGGGAGACGGCATAGTCCTGAAGACCAGGTTCTGGGAGCCAATAATGGAGGGCCCTAATTTTAAACTTTGTGAAAGCACGTGGGTGGCTGTTGTGCGCGATGGAATGTCCAGTGACATGGTTCCTTGACTTGAGCCAGCAGGGCTGGATCCTTACTGCATATAAGAATGCTTACACAAGTATAGCTGTGTGGGTGTGTATCCCTATCCCCTTGACTAAAAGGCTATTAATTGCTGATCTCATCTCTCTTTGGTGTTCTTCCATTGAACGCGCCGCTAGACTTTTGCTTCTAAAGAGCAATAGAGCTTGAATTTCACCTTTGCACTGTATAATTTATTTACAGAGAAGAGAACTTGGGTCACTTACTATTTGGACCATGATTACATCAAGCCAGAAGAGACCCTTTGTTGCTCAGTTTTAAGTGCTCTGTATATTCGCTGACTGGAACAGTAGGCTCAAGTTAAGTGTAAATACCCCGCTTAACTAGCACAGAAAAGAGAGAAGACAAAGGCACCCAAATGGAAACAAAAGTCCTCACCTTCTGTCGGGAGCCTCCCCTCTTTTGAGCAAACCTGTTTTGGTCTGTTGTTTGCCTATTACCCTGATGAAGGAATTGCATAAGGCAGGAGATGGGGGACAGTCTTCTCTTGCTGATGATCAAACAAGGTGTTAAAGGGGGGGAGGACTGAATGTACAAATACTTACCAAACCTATCTTCACAGAGGTAAAAGTGGAAACAGTATTGTTATAGATTGGGGGGACCCCCCTAAATCATATAAATTAGGCATGATTTTTGATTATTTGGGATGTGAAGGGAGAAATAAAAGCTGCAGAAGAATTCCTGAGCTAGCCAAAAAGACCTGGCCATTAAGAAACAAGACAGGGCCATTGCCATTGCAAGAGAACTGTCCTCCCCCTTTGCCTTGAGGTATGAACAGAGGCTGGGGTTTGGGAAGGTTGCCAGGGTAACTGGATGTGAGGTGACAGGCAAAGAGAAGGTTTTTTTTAGCAAGGTGTTCTGGGAAGAAGAAGGGGGGAGAAGAAGGACTGAGATCCATCTTTGGCAGGCTGGCTGAAGGCTGACTGGGAGAGATGCCTTGGACTCTGTGGCTGCAGCGCTGAGGGGTACAATCCCCTCTTGGAATGCTGTAAGATCTGGACTCCCTTCATGCAGACTGAAGGTGTAAATAGGCGAACAAACCTTATTTCTTAAAGCTACAACAGTCTCTGCCATGTCTCAATTCTGCAAAGGAACACAGACCCTGGGTGAGTGCCTGGAACCCCCTGGACACTTGCCACCGCTCGTCGGAGAGAGGGGGAGGCACCCAACTTTTGTAACAGTATACACACCACAAGCAGCATTCGCTCTATCGAACTGCCTTCAGACGTCTGGGATGACAAAATCCTTTGCCTCTAGCCATCAAAGTGCCTTTCTGTGAGGTCTCTTTTATGTCCTAGTGAATCCTCAATGATTATCTTTATAGTTGGCAAAAGGCAGAGTCTCAGGACAGCTGGTGATGTCTGTTTAGAGAGGTATGTGTATGTTGGAGAGAGAGAGAGGGATGTTGGGGTCAGAGTCTATATTATCCTGGTCAGAGGGACAAGGGTGGTGCTGTGGTCTAAACCACTGAGCCTCTTGGGCTTGCCGATTGGAAGGTTGGCAGTTCGAATCAGCGCGATGGGATGAGCTCCCATTGCTCTGTCCCAGTTTCTGCCAACCTAGCAGTTCGAAAGCATACCAGTGCAAGTAGATAAGTAGGAGCCACTGTGGCAGAAAGATAAACTGTTTCCATGCGCTCTGGAACTTGTCATGGTGTCTCATTGCGCCAGAAGCGGTTTAGTTATGCTGGCCACATGACCTGGAAAGCTGTCTGTGGACAAACGCCAGCTCCCTTGGCCAGAAAGCCAAGATGAGCAACACACCCCATAGTCACCTTTGGCTGGACTTAACTGTCCAGGGGTCCTTTACCTTTATGTTATCCTGGTCAGTAAACTTTATTTGGCCAACTTTTGATTGGTTGGGGTAGACAGTAGAGTCTCTTTCATATTAGAAAAAGAGTAGCTGTTAACCTCTCCTCCTCTTCCTACTATGAGATGTGAAAAAAATAGAGTGGAAGGCTATGGAGTGGGCACTCATTTCATATTTGCTGAATCAAAAGCAACACATTGCTTTGGGGCAAACTGGTACTGATTTCCTCACGAAGCTGAAGCAAACACATATCTCTTAATGGGAAACAGTACCAGCCAGGCTGAAACATTATGCCTAATGTGCCGATCAGTGCCTTCCTAATCCTTCAGGACCTCTGGCACGCTTCAGAAAATTAATGTTTGGTTTGGTGAAGCATAGGGGTGGACAAACAACAGTTGGGCGCTTTTATCTTACATAGTCAGATATGAGCAGCTCTTTATGAGTCTGGAATAAACTTGCATTTCTAACGTAAGGGAGATCGTACAGTAGATTCCAAATACTGGTTGCAACCCGCGGAAATTATAACACCAGGAAACAGGCTGGGAGTACTTTTTGATGACAGAGCCCTAAACAGAGGACTCGTTTGACAGCCGGCTTTTTTCTTAAACAACAGCAGGTCCTTTGTGCAAGTGATAGGGTAGAAACATTGCAAAACACTGTGACTTGGCATAGGAAGCTTTCATTATTTATCTATAAAAACGTATGAGAGCCTTGCAAAGAAAAGTAGAACTCAAGGTGATTTGCAGCCAGTGCTATTTTTCTAGGAGGTGCTGGAGCTCACCACGAGCCAGTGTGGTGTAGTGGTTAAGAGCGATGGGCTCGTAATCTGGTGAACCGGGTTTGATTCCCCGCTCCTCCACATGCAGCTGCTGGGTGACCTTGGACTTGTCACACTTCTCTGAAGTCTCTCAGCCCCACTCACCTCACAGAGTGTTTGTTGTGGGGAAGGAAGGGAAAGGAGATTGTTAGCCGCTTTGAGACTCCTTAGGGTAGTGATAAAGCGGGATATCAAATCCAAACTCTTCTTCTTCTTCTCCCTTGTTCTCTTAGAATGGCACCAACCTGAGAGGTGCCGGAGCTAAGCTCTGGTGAGGTCCCGCTGAAAAAAAGCCCTGTGTGTAGCCAAAAAAGGAACATCGTATTAAATTCTAGTTTAAAATGCTTTCTTGATATTTCCAAAGCCAGAAGAAATGTAGTAACTCCAATGCAAGTCAGTCCAAAAGAACTTAACAAGGTTAGATGAGGTAGGGGGAGAGAAAAAGAAACGAAAATGCAGGACCTCAGGAGTGTATGGGAATCTGTTCATTAGGGCCAGACATGAATGAAGAGATTCTGGCTCAGCTGTGCCTGAAAAACGTATTTTGAAAGGAGCAGCTTATGCGTTAACAAGCTTATGGACCTGAAGTTACTTAGATGTTTGAAGCCTGATAGAATAGGTAGATTTTCACCAGGCCTCTGAGTGCTAAGAAGGATAACCTGGCAAGCCTCCCTGGAGAGGACATGAAGCAGTTCTTGGCACCACAAATAAGAGTCCTATCTCAGGAGCCCATAAACTGACATCATAAAGAGCTGTATACAGAACAGGGTCTCCCAGATGTGCTTTGGCTAGAGGGAGGTTTCTGTGGGAGATGTTCTCAAAGATACTCTTGAGCTAAGGCCGTTTCTGAAACAGAGTACATGATTGCAGCATACATTTTCTTCTTGCAAAGCATTATTAAGTAACTTTGCATGTGGATATAGACATTGCTAGAGCAGTTTACCATTTACTATGGGTATAAATTTTCCGGATTTGCAGACATCTGCGTTACTTCATATGCATCTGCAAGGAAGCCAACACTTGGTGATAGTTTTTAAGTCATCTGCTTAAAGCTGGGTGGGGGGGTTAATGCTGCTTTAATGGGTAAACATTTATTTATTTCTGGCTAAATAATTGTTGAGAGAAGCTTGAAGTCATGACTTCAGCAAAATATGGCTGTGATCCACCAGCACTCTCTTTCCAGTGCAGAAGAAACAGCTTTAGTATCAGTGTAATTCTGTTGGTTTGTTTTTTTTTAATGTTGCAGGATGTGCAGGAGTTATTATTTGAAATTAACAAACAGGGCTTCAATTGGGAGCCGATTGAAACTAAATCCTTCGAAGACAGAGGTCCTATGGCTGTGTCGGGATGGCATGGGGATGAGGGACCAATTCCCTTCTCTTGTGGGGGCCCAATTAGTGCCATTGCCTTCCGTTAAGAGTTTGGGTGTAATCCTTGACGCCTCCCTTTCCATGGAGGTGCAGGTTACAGCAACAGCCAAGGCGACATTTTTCCACCTTCGCCGCATCAAGCAGTTGGTCCCTTACCTTTCCCGCCCCGACCTGGCCACAGTGATCCATGCGACGGTCACCTCCAGGCTTGACTACTGTAATTCGCTCCACGCGGGGCTGCCCTTGAAGCTGTCCCAGAAACTCCAGCGGGTGCAGAATGCTGCAGCGAGGCTCCTCACGGGGTCTCTGCCATGGGAGCATATTCACCCAGTGCTTTTCAAGCTGCACTGGCTCCCGGTGGTGTACAGGGTCAGATTTAAGGTGCTGGTTTTGACCTTTAAAGCCCTTCACGGCCTAGGACCCTCGTACCTACGGGACCACCTCTCCCGGTATGCCCCACGGAGAGCCTCAAGGTCCATAAATAGCAACACCCTAGTGGTCCCGGGCCCTAAGGAAGTTAGATTAGCTTCAACCAGAGCCAGGGTCTTTTCAACACTGGCCCCGGCCTGGTGGAACACTCTGCCTCATGAGACCAGGGCCCTGCAGGATCTGATTTCTTTCCGCAGGGCTTGTAAGACAGAGTTGTTCCGCCTGGCCTTTGGCTTGGAGCCAATTTGATTCCCTCCCTCCCTTTCTTTTTTTCTTTTCCTTCTCCTCCTGCGATGAGGCTACATTTTAATATTTTAATGTTTCATTATTTTAATGTTGTATTTTAATTTTGTTTTTAAGTTGTAATCATTCAGCTTGTTTTTATTACTGCTTGTAAGCCGCTCTGAGCCCGGCCTTGGCTGGGGAGGGCGGGGTATAAATAAATATTATTATTATTATTAGACCTTCCAGGTTACCTGCAGTAAGTAAGAATCCCTTGTGCTCAGAGATGGGAAGCTTTTGTAAATTCCTGTTGATTTCTCATATACAGCTAACAAGATATGTTTGGGCAGGTAGGCCAGTAATTTTTGTGAACAGACTTTAAAGGTTGAAAAAACTACTATTTGGAACTTCTTCATTTTTTGACAAAAAAAAAGAAGGTTAAGTTGCCTTAATATTCTTGACGTGTGCCCTTTTCGCTTTTGTTTTTGTTAAAGGTACGAACGCTATTTGTCAGCGGCCTGCCTCTGGACATCAAACCCCGGGAACTCTATTTGTTGTTCAGACCATTCAAGGTACCCTGCTATTGAACTTGGAACTGAAGTGCCAGTGTCCTTATTTACGTAAATACTTGTGGTTCGTTTACTGTTTGTCATAGATGGTAAATCGGCGCAATAATATGTAATTGCCTCTTCTGGAGTAGCAGACAGAAATTCAGACGATGCTCCTCAGTATCTGGATTTTGAAAAAAGGTTGGGATGCAGTCTATCATGATATCTTATTTCAAATAAAAACTTGGCTACAATGACTTTCCCATGAAGTGAAAGTTGGCCAAGAGCCCATGAGTAGAGTAATTATAAATAGCATACTGGTGTGATCAGGATTTAAAGTTGTGAATGCTAACCTCTAATGATGATAGGGATTTGGAGTAAGGATTCATAAGAAGGCTGAGCGACGTGTAATAATATGAACACACTTATGTATGCTTCCTGCAAGCATACATGCGCATTCCTGGTTGCTCCTTGGAAGTCCCCCAGCTCCCAGTCCAGGCAACAGAATTCCTACAGCCCAGCCTGGTATATTTTCTGTTGCAGTGCTCATTTCTCTTAGGAAATAAACCCCATCTCCCAAGTTTTAACTACTAGATGTAAAAATGTCCCAACTCCAGACTTCCTCAGTACACATTAGTGTCTTGGCATTATGTATGTAGCAAACTGAATCTGGCTAGCTAATGCTGAAGTACCTTGACTACCTTCATGATCCTGCTTTTGCTAGAGGAAGAGAAATAGAAATGCTTCCCTTTTATACTTCCCAGCAGTTGGCGTTTCTTGGGGTACAGCTACTTTTCTGTTTCCGTTTGTATTAAAATCCAGATGTGCATGTGTCCCATTTTCAGACAGAAAATGAATTGGACTATAGAGTCACTAAATTTGAGTTTCTGGGTCTTACAGACATAATCTGTAATGATTTTAACATCCCATAAGTATTATTTTTGCTTCCAGGGAGCACTGTAAATGTCTCATCACTGCAGAATTTGCATGGAACTATAGCCCTGATTCCCGCTGCTTTAAGAAAACCACCAGTGGCTTTGTGACATATTACTCTTATCCCCACCCTTCCGTCAGACCTGTTTGCATGCCTAAGAAGCATACCTCACATTTAGAAAAGGGGAAAAGCCTGAAGCCTGCCATGCTCAACAGGCCTGGAAGCGAACAGGTCAAGAACGAATTTGAGCAGGACCTACCATAACTAGTGTCTGAAATTGAAAATGGAGAGGCAGCATGGGATTTGGGAAGCAGAGACGGAGGGAAAGGCATCCCAAGGGCAAGAGAGGAAGTAGAGCCCCATGAGAAGAACAAAGCCAACTGGATAGGGAATCTGGGACAGGAACTTGCCCCACCTTTCTCAGCTTCTGCCTATCCTCATGGTTACTTCACACACACACTTAGATACTTTGGTGTGCATCTCACTAGCTGCTTAAGATTTGCATCCTTAGCTTTCCTAGTAAAGCTATTTGAAGAGTCTCTTCCACAAACATTCCCTTTGACCTGCCTTTGCAAATCATCAGCTATGTTCCTTTTATTGCTAGCAGAGCAGGGATATAAATTTTGCTCATCTTTTACATGAAATCCTCAGACACCCATATTTAATTGGGCAGAGTGGACACCTCTTAGACCTGGGGTAGCTAACCTTTTTTGGCCTTCTCTCTGCCTCTTACACCCACGACGCACAAACCCCTATTTGATCACCCCTGTTTTATACCATCCCAGAATCTGTATCACCCTTTATTTACATCTGCAAGTAGACACTAGACTTGAATGTTGATTCTCTTTTAAGGAGTTTTAAAAAAATAAATCGGAATAACTTCTCTAAACATTCAGTGTAGTCATATAGTAAGCCTGGATTTAAGAATGCAGATATGTTACGTTTGAATGTTCCACCAACTGTGTATGTGTATATATTTTTAAACCACCTTCCTTGCATATGTGATGTTGGGGCAAAGAGTTCTAGGTTCTCATATTCTGCCTTGTGTGCAGGTTTGCCATATTCATTTGTTCCCTGAGGCATCTGATTGGTCACTGTGTTTATATGAGAAGGGGGGCATTCAGATGTGTGGTGATCCCAGTTGCAGTGGAAAAGCTTGTACCCAAGCAACAAAACCACAGCCATACTGAAGTACTACTGTAAAATTATGGATATTTTAATAATTCACAGTTTGGATGGGTTTTACAATGCAAAGCTTCATATGTTTACTCAGAAGGAAGCCCTACTGTGCTCAGAATCAATCAATCATTTTATTTGCATGCTCCCTTTCCAAAGTTAAAACCATGCTTAAGGCAGCTTACGACATAAAAAAGTTACATAACTACAAACATAACCAAAGTAGTCATAAACAATAAAACATCAAAAAGTACACAACCAAATTGAACAATTTCCACATAACTTGTAAAAAAAGATACAAAAATTAATATCAATAACAGCAAAAAACTCCAAATAGACTCCAAAGAGTCTGTTCAGCAGCCTCAGCTTTTGTAGCTGGAGTCAGTCCGGGTCCTGCCCTCCCAGACCAGTTGGAAAAATGCCTGTAAGGCAAGGAGCAGGTCTTCCAGGACTTACAGCCAAGATGGTCTCTCAAAAGGGCTTACTTCTAAGTAAGTGTGCAAAGGTTTTCAGGCTTGCTATTTTTGTTTAATTCTTCCCTCTCAAACAAGAACAGTAGGCAACATGTATTTCTAGCAAGAATAAGCACCCTTAAACCATTCTGTTAAGCCCACCTTTAGGAGTTGGGATAGAGAAGGAGAGTTCAGCTCCTACTGTTAATAAGACTTCTGCCTTGGAGCCAAATGAAATACCTTGCATCTTTCCCACAAACCTTCCTCTTAAAGTTTGCTGTTTCTAAGTATAGCCAAATAACAAGTCACTCAGGGAAAAATGTACTGTATCCTGCTTTTATATATTCACATTTATTTATGTAGCATTGATCTTAAATTTTATCTTGGCCAGACTGTAATTTTTATTTCTTCTTGCAGGGTTATGAAGGCTCTCTTATTAAACTCACATCTAAGCAGGTAAGCAGTGTGTGTAAGCACATCTAAGCAGTGAAATTGTTAACGTAAATGTCAGCAGTGTATGGTTAACGTGAGAAATTCTAAACCAAGGAGATGGTATGAAATTTTGGCACAAAGTTTCAAACACCATAAATCTCCTGATTGTATTCAGTCTAGATTCACCTTGGCTGTCTTGTGGGCTATTAAACATTATTTGGGTTTATGTGGAGTTCAGCAAAGATTTTCAAAAGCATCATACAGTAACGTTATAGAACTGCCAACAGGTTGAAGATAATAAAGTGTCTGCCTTTTAACCGAAGGAAAACTAAACCTTTAATGTGTTCATTTCCTTTTAATAGCTTTAAATAGCTATAAAAAACAGGCAATTATACCTTGTACTTCCAAGCTCACCACTTAAAACTGATAATCACCAATGTTCTGTTTGATTAATCTTTTAATTCAGTGGATTACAGTAGCTGCAGCAGTATGTAACTTTTTTATCACTGAAGTGTGAATATTCCTATCCCTGGGTTCTTTATTCATCCTTCAACAATAATTCCCCACCCCCAACCTTTGATTTTCTCGTTTTCTTTCAGCCCGTGGGCTTCGTTAGTTTCGACAGTCGCTCAGAAGCAGAAGCTGCTAAGAATGCTTTGAATGTGAGTATTGGTGCCATATGAAAAGCTTCTGGGTTGTCTTACAGCAGAGCTGCAGTAGCAGCAGAACAGTGTGGTGGAAGGTCTCCTGGCCGTGTAGCACTTGAGACTGCAGATGTGGGGATCCTTAAATGCTCACTCATGTGAAGAACAGAGCATAGGAATTTAAGAGACAGGGACGACAACGAACAAAACACGAGGCAAAGCTGTGCAGAGTATTGTTACGAAGCAGTTCCCGACATAATAAAATCGCACCACGTTTTAAAACTAGAATCGTCCAAAATTAACAGCAGCAGCAACTATAGTGCAGGCAATCCTTAAACCCAGAGCAAGCTTAACCCAAGACCTCCAGATACTGAGAGGACATGATGTGTTTTAGTTAGGTGATGGAAGCCCATCAAGGATGTGGACATCTGTACCATGGTTGTTAGAATGATTGGACTTAGCTGAGATGGCAGAGTTGGCTGTAGCTGGCGAATTGCCTGTAGCTGGAAATAGACAATCCTTGCCATTGATGCCACCTGGGTTTTCAGCGGCACCCCGGCTACATATCTGCTCTTCCAGGGAGAGTGCTGCTCCACCCAGGACAGGCTGAATTCCTGGTTCCCATAACTGAGAACCACCCACCAACAGGACCAAATCTGTCTTAGTGCTGAAACCAGGCCTTAACCAGAAAGGGTCATGAGAATGAGGAAGTGCTGTACATACAGGGGCCACCTCAGTTTTCAGAGGCCTCATTGCGTTGTGTGGAATGAAGCAAACAGGCTGCGAGTGTGAGCCACAGTTGAGAAGGGATGAAACATCACCTCAGACACTACGTTGCCCAAAACAGGAGGGAGCAGTGTCCCTGAGTGTTTGTGTTTTACTTTCACCTGTGTAGATGGGGAGAAATACTGTATTTTTTGCTCTATAAGACTCACTTTTTCCCTCCTAAAAAGTAAGGGGAAATGTGTGTGCGTCGTATGGAGTGAATGCAGGCTGCACAGCTATCCCAGAAGCCAGAACAGCAAGAGGGATTGCTGCTTTCACTGCACAGTGATCCCTCTTGCTGTTCTGGCTTCTGAGATTCAGAATATTTTTTTTCTTGTTTTCCTCCTCCAAAAACTAGGTGCGTCTTGTGGTCTGGTGCGTCTTATAGAGCGAAAAATACGGTAGAATAGTGCATTAGTATTTTCACTTAATAGCTTAATCCCCAGTGAGAGGGATTTTGCAAGAAAGTAAAAACTTTCCTGCATTTTCTGCTACCATCCTCTATCCATCATAGTAAAGGGGACTTTTCGTATTATTAGTCATGGATTATACAGGGCAGAAAATAGCCCTTCTATGCTAGGGTTGAGGAGCAGGAATATTACGCTATTGTGTGATTTTTCTGAACGCCTTTGTCTTCCTTCAGGTAGCATTAGGTGGAGCAGATGTTCCCTTTTGTGTTCTGCCAGCGAGATTGCTCAGATATTGTGGAGTGCAAACAAAGTTCAGCCAAGTTTAATGTACCTTTAAAACGTGTCGGAAAGACACAGGGTTTTTTAAAGTTCTCAGTGCAGGAGGATGGAAATTAGTTCAGAAGAGGACTAACATAGCTGAAGAACCCAATTTGTTATATCTGTAGTGAGGAGTTATCTCTCTCTATAGGAGATTTGACTGGATATTTTACGCTCACACCTTAAGTACAGCATCCTAAAAAACAATTTTGGGGTTCTGTTTGCCAGTCCATATGCAAAATGCTAAAGCATACCTCTAATCCCTGCTGGCAGTGCTTTTCCCCCTAGAAAAATAGGTGCCGGTATTCACCATGAAGTTATCACAGTAAGTGTCACACCTTTTAACAACAACAACAACAGCAACAGCAACAACAACAACAACAACAATAAGGTGTACCCTTGAGTACCCCCTGAAAAACACACACTGCCTGGAGGTATTTTGCCTGAAATTTACAGTCTTTTGACTGAACATGCAGTCCTGTAGAGTGAATTCTCCACCTGAGTAAGCAGGCAGGGATATGTCGATCTTGATTTCAGATGGCTCTGAATTAGTCTGTCTGCAGGTTTGCATAACTAAAGGTACATTGTACCTTTGTTTGTACATTGTACATTGAACAGAAACAAATACAGTGGTACCTCGGGTTACATACGCTTCGGGTTACAGACTCTGCTAACCCAGAAATAGTGCTTCAGGTTAAGAACTTAGCTTCAGGATGAGAACAGAAATCGTGCTCTGGCAGCACGGCGGCAGCGGGAGGCCCCATTAGCTAAAGTGGTGCTTCAGGTTAAGAACAGTTTCAGGTTAAGAACGGACCTCCAGAACGAATTAAGTACTTAACCCAAGGTACCAGTGTAGCGTGCAAAAGTAACACGAACTTTTCAGTCTGCATACGTCATGCAAACTAAGTAAGCTTCCATGCATTTCCTTTTATTTTATGTAATTCTACCTCTGCTACTCATGGTTGCAAACCATTCTGCAAGGCAGAAGAACCCCAAGCCCATCTCCATTGCAAGTCTGCTATAGCGGTTAAGAGTGTTGGACTAGGACCTGGGTCCTAGACATGGGTTCAGCTTCCTGCTCAGCCATGAAGCTCACTGGGTGACCTTGAGCTGTCACCTTCTCTTAGCCTAACCTACCTCACAGGGTTTTGTGAGGATAAAATGTGACAGGAGAGAGCCTTGTTTTCTTGGTACAACCAACTCCCTCTGATGCCGGCTCTCCATGTCTGTCTCTCTGCAGCCTCTCTGGCCCTTCGTCCAATGCACTCTTTCCTGTCTCTCTCTTTTCTACCTCACCTCCTCCCAGGCTGACACTCAGGCTATTCATGGTGACGACCAGGCCTTTTTTTCAGCTGCAACTCACAGGAACTCTGTTCCGGCGCCTCTCAGGTGACGCCATTGCCATTATAAGAGAACAAGGGAGGCGTTCTGGCACCTCTTTTTCTGGAAAAATAGCACCGGTGAGGACTCACCAACGCAAGTATACTACTAGCTTGCCCATGCTCTTGAGTTTGATAGAGGAGCCCTTCTCGGCGTCCCAACTGTAGCGGAAGCTCAGTTGATGGAGACTAGAGAAAGCTGTGCTTTTGTTCTAGAAAAGAAGGTGCTGGTACTGTGTATCCTTGAGTACCCCCAGAAAAAAAGCACTGAGAGAAAGGAACTTGCTCTGTGTCCACACCTAAATTGTGGAACTCCCTTGGTGAGGTTTGTCAGGCCCTCTGTTATTTTTGTGCTTGTTTAGGCTAGCTTTTTTCTGATGGGTCAGATTTTTATTTCTTGGTTTTGTTTAACTGATGTGCCTGTCTCTGTCTTAAGCATATTATATTGTTTTATAGCTGAATTTAATTGTTGTTAGTTGCCTTGAGTAGTGCTGTGAGCACTGAGATTATAAGGAAAGACTGCTGGATCAGGCCAGTGGCCCCATCTAGTCCAGCAACCAGTGGCCACTGGGCAGATGCCCATGGGGAACTGCAAGCAGGACCCAAACGCAGCAGCACTCTCCCCTCCTGTGGTCTTTTGCAACTGGTGGACTAGATCTATATAGCCATTGGAGTTTGTAGCCATTGTTGACCCTATCCTTCATGAACTTGTATAATCCTCCTTTGGGCTGGATCTAGTCTGCCTACCCATGGACTAGGAGGATGGGATGCCAATGCTAGTATAAATAAATACATTCAGAAGAAGATGGGGGATGTCTTTGCTACGTGACTGACTTCAGACCCATTGATTTTAGTAAATCTTATACATGACTAAGCTTTCTGCAGCTCAGGGTCACCGAGTGAGAAGCGCAAATGGCTTTAGGTTTGTGAAACTGCTCCAAGTTATTCTTTTAAATGTTCCTGCGTAGGCTAGCTTGTAGGAATTTTGCCTGATAATGGAGTTGAAACAATGCACCTCATTGATCTTGTCAACATCAGGTTATGGAAGAACGCAGACAGATGTCTAAAATGTAGCTGCCCTGTGCTGGGGGGGGAAACCCATCCATGCCGGATGTGTCAGATGTGAAGATAATCTCTTGGTGTCGTTGCTGTCAAGTGATGACAACTCATATGTGAGTTTTCTCTACACATTGGAAATCCTTTAAGTTGTACCCAGTACTCAGGAAAGCAGTATTATAAAGAAGTGTGTCTCCAAGCATATGAGGAATGAGTTTCCCTCAAAACTGATCACCCCCAGCAACACCTTGTTACTGGGGAGAAGCATTCCTGAAGAGTAGAATGCCTTTGCTCCGACACTGATTTTTGTTCGTTTTAAAGTACAGTGGTACCTCGGGTTACATATGCTTCAGGTTACATACGCTTCAGGTTACAGACTCCGCTAACCCAGAAATAGTGCTTCAGGTTAAGAACTTTGCTTCAGGATGAGAACAGAAATTGTGCTCCGGTGGCGCGGCGGCAGCAGGAGGCCCCATTAGCTAAAGTGGTGCTTGAGGTTAAGAACAGTTTCAGGTTAAGAATGGACCTCCGGAACGAATTAAGTACTTAACCTGAGGTACCACTGTACTGTTTCTTTGTCTTGTGTGGGGTGGGAGGGGAGTTAGCTGCCGGGAAATATAGTTATGTTCTGTGTGTATAGAGTTAACCTCATTATTGATGACCCTCAAGAGCAAAAATATCTTGAGTGCAGGGAACAATTTTTCAGACTAGGATAAAAAGCATGCAGCAAGTACTCTGGTTCCCTAGTCTGTTTTCCTGTCTTCATTTTTTATGTACAATGTCTTCTTGGCTCTGCTAATCTCCGGGGATAAGAGTGAAGCAGAGCAGGATACAGACTGCCTTATATGGTGCTGATACTAAAGATGTTTTAGGAATGTGACTTGCTCTAAAGCCTATGGCCCCAGTTTTTGCTGCCAAACAAATTAGGTCATTTAAACTTCTGAGGTTTTAAAAGGACGTTGGAACTTTAATTTGGAACAAGAAACTGATGTTTTTTTGTTGAATGGCTCAGACTCCCAGGGAGTCTAGGTTTGTAATTTTTTGTCAGGCTTCTTGACTCTTACTTGCTGGTTTCTGGGTGCAATCTTTTTCCCCCTGGTTTAAAGTGAACAGGGAAACTTTTAAGGCAGGGGTCAGCAAACTTTTGCAGCCGGGGGCGGGTCCACTGTCCCTCAGACCTTGTGGGGGGCTGGACTGTATTTTTTTGGGGGGGGAATGAACGAATTCCTATGCCCCACAAATAACCCAGAGATGCATTTTAAATAAAAGGACACATTCTACACATGTAAAAACACACTGATTCCCAGACTGTCTGCGGGCCGGATTTAGAAGGCGATTGGGCAGGATCCAGCCCCCGGGCCTTAGTTTGCCCACCCATGTTTTAAGGCCTGCTAAAAAACATATACTGTATTTTTCGCTCTATAAGACGCACCAGACCACAAGACGCACCTAGTTTTTGGAGAAGGAAAACAAGAAAAAAAATATTCTGCATCTCAGAAGCCAGAACAGCAAGAGGGATCGCTGTGCAGTGAAAGCAGTAATCCCTCTTGCTGTTCTGGCTTCTGGGATAGCTACGCAGCCTGCATTCACTCCATAAGACGCACACACATTTCCCCTTACTTTTTAGGAGGGAAAAAGTGAGTCTTATAGAGCAAAAAATACGGTACGTACTTCAGTTTGCATTAAAATAATACTGGTCCTAGAATACAACACATGTGAGCCTCACAGCTTCACTGGGCATGAACAATGCATCTTGAGGTAAGGTGAAGTTGTACTGTGAAAAGTTAATGTTCCATCACAGTTGGCTCAGGCATCTTTGTCCATGACGGAAGGCTTGCCACATTCAGCCAAATCAAGAAGCAACCACGCTTTCCCTTGGACTGTACCATTTCACGCTGTTACGTATGAATACTTCCTGGTGGTGGTGGTGAGGTCTCTAGAAAATCAGCACATCTCTCTGGGCTGATAGCCACTGGATTGAGAGGTGAGGCAGTGATGCCCACTTTACCAGCCTGATTTGGGATCTATTGCCCCTGGACTCCTCCCTCCCAGATCTCCATTGGTGACCATTCCATGTGTTAATGTATGTAATTTGATTGTACTTGTTGCCATCTTCTTTCTGTGGCATCTGCCACCTTGAACCTTTTCAGAAGCAGGACCCAGGGTCCTCCTTAAAGAGCGCACAGTAGGACCACCTTTTAATCCCAAACTGCCACATGGGACACATTTCAAGCCCACGTTTCTGTTGTAAACGTCTGGAACTCTGTCTGTAAGACAGAAATTCTATCTGTGGGGAGGCAGTTCCAGGTGGAAAGTGGTGTTGCCTTCTCTCATTCGCAATTTCTGCCCTCCTGATGTTGCTTTTCAGTACTTTTAAAGGCTGAAGCTGATGTTAATCTGTATTGTAGAATTAATTAGCTAGTGCCCCGGGTGAAGTCTCCAGAGGGGCGCCATTGAGGCTCCCGGCATATGTGTGTTTGCATTCAAATGCACATGGGTGTTTGTGCGTCAAACTGGGTCTTTGACCCAGGTGAAATAAAGCCTAGTTTTGCCCCTTGCTGAATGCCAAGAGAGAGTTGAGCAATATGTTGCCAGATGTTGCCTCATTATATCTAATTAAAGGGTACCAACAGGGTAGTCTTTTTAATGGGTGGTGGGTTATTGGGTTTTAGACCTAACATGAAATCTCATTTAGCAGTACACATGCAAGGAGGAGCGCTGTCCTTGGATTTACATCCCATGGTCCTCACGCATTGTCTGCTAGTAGGCAGCCATAATCTCAGAAATGAGTCACTGTCCATACAGCCCCAGCATTGCTTACTCCTGACTGGGAGCATCTATCTGTGGTAGAGGTCTTGGAGATGCCCGGGAATAGACCTTTCAAACTTGGCATGCAAAGCATTGTTTTACCATGGAGATATGGCCCCTCCCTATGTTGCCCTCTTTGGGGCAATACTTTGGAAGCATCTCTTGCTGGGGCAGTCAGCTCTGCAAATCTATTATTGTAGGGCTAGTTCTCTTTCAGGCGGGTAAACCTGTATCTGACCTGTATGCCTGCAAGTGGGGAAATCACATGATTGAATTCTTTACGCTATAAAAAAAATGCCTTTGGTGGGAGTTGGGTTTGGGGGTTGTATTTTAAATTACACTAAGCGTCTGCCTCACTGTTGTAGTTATGATTTATTCATCAGGGACCCTTCACTATCTATTACTACAATGGGCAGATTGGGTTCAGAGGTTTCCAGAATCTAGGGTACAGATACATTGGATTTCCATACTGAGCTTTGGTGGCTGAACTGTTCCTGCCTTTTTTCCTCCGTTCAGCATAATGGAACACCAAAGCTTACAGCTGCTTGTTTTTCCCCACAACCTTTATGGACTCTTTATTTTTGTCTGTAGCTTATTTCAAGAATTTGCAAGCCCAGCTAACATAATTGTGCGTGCTTTTAATTAAAAATGAGAGTGAAGATGTTAAGCTTTATTTATTGCCTCATCCCACAAGTTTTCTCTCAATATTTAATTTCCCAGAGTCCGTCTCCCTAAAGATTCACATTTTCATAGGCCTTGTTTATCTTCTCCCACTTCTCTTGTTGTTAATTGAATTCATGACATCAGTCTTATCCACCCACATCAAGTTGCAGCGTTCTGTTGGCAATGTTGTAGTGATGCATAGAAAAATTAGGTCCAAACAGTAGTGTCCTGTTTCTAGGACCAACAAAAATAAAATTCGGAAAGCATAGGGTGTATCATTTCCTACTGAGTCTTATGTTTGGGGCAGCCATACAGAGAACAGCTTGCAGCTCTTGATTCCATCCGGACAGCACAACATATGGAGGTATACTTATTATTTTTTTTGTCAACGCACTAAACAAGCTATTAGTTCATCTCCAGCTTTAATAAACATTCAGAGCTTAAGAGTTTAATTGGACTTGCCATGGAATGTTCACATGAGTCTCCATGCATGTGTGCATATGCAGATGTGTTTTCCATATGGGAAATTTAAGAAGTGGCATCTTAGAACTCAAAAGTGCATTGCTGAAAGAGGTTTAACACTTATGTAAATTTCCTAGAACCTAGTTTTGTGAGGTGGACTGCAAATTCCAGGTTACTTAATGGGAGGAAGCCTTAACACAGTTAAAGCCATGATTGAGGTTTGGCTAGGATTATAGGCATCTGAGCTGTGAGCAAAGAACTCCCTAGTTCAAATCATACTGATCACGAACGCTTGTTTTTGACACCTGCAGTGCAGGCAACTCCCCGTTTACACAGGGGTTGCGTTCTGAGGCACTGTGCATGTTGGTGGGACATGCATAAGCATGCCCTGTTCTGCCCTGCACCCTTCCAGAGCAAAAAATGGTGCATGCATCAATGGACATGAGTGCCATTGGGGAGTTGCCTGTATAGGATAGCAATGCTTATAGGATATTGGACAGACTTATGAAATTATTATTGAATTATTGTTGTCATCCCCCGCTCAGAGTGGCTGAGGAAACTCAGCCAGATGAATGGGGTATAAATATTATCCTGTTGAAACCTAGTTCCTCAAAAGACTAGAAGTGTCTTTCCCCAATATTTTATTGAAAGCCTCCAAAGGAAAATATTGTATACCTTCATTATGGATCTTTATATGTTTTCCTGATGGGTAGTGTCAGGGGTTCAGGGAGAGAGGCACAGGGTAGGCAGGAGATGGAGAGCGATGGGGAGGAATTCCAAGCCAGCGAGGAAGAGGATGACAATGACTCAAGAGATTCCATGAATCTTTCCAGCGAATCAGAGGATTCCCAGAAGGGGGGCGCCGGTGGTCAAGGCCAGGGAGCCCCAGGGGGAAGTGTCAGGAGCAGGGTGCCAGCGGAGGATCCCAAAGTGGCAGCTGGGCGTCAGGACCAGCCTCCCCACCAGAGTGCAGCGAAGGGGTGGAGTTTCCAGTGTGTCAGAGGAAGCAGCTCCAGCAGCAGAGAAAGGAGGGGGTCAGAGCAAGCCACCCTCCCGGAAGGGGAGGGAGCAGTGAAGGGAGTAGTGTAACTGTCAAAAGGAAAGTTAGAGGTTTGGCGCGCGCGCCTAGTTCAAATGTAGAGGCGCGCGGAAGTGCAGGGAGCCCGGAGGAGGGGCCAGGTCCCAAAGCCCGCAGGAGGGGGAAGAGCAGTCTGATTCCGCGTCAGAGGAATCCAGGAGGGGCGAAACCCCAGTGGGCAGAAGGACCCTGCGGAAAAGGAAGGAGAGAAAGAGGTGGAGCAGCGCAAGTCTCTTAAATTGGTGCAGGGGGGGACTGACTCAGAGGGGACTTCAGCGGTCTAGCGTAAGAGACGTAAGGCTGCGCGCCTAGGATGTCAAGCAAACCATGAACTGCAATAAACACCTTTGTATATAAGAAGACATAGGCGTTGGTCTTTTGTGAGCTAAGACTTGAGGCAGCCTTGACAGGTAGCATAAATGATTATCTCTCTGCATTTGTATACCCTTTTAGACAGGGAGAAAAGTTGGTCTTGATCTCTGATAGGCTAACACGTCTTGATTTTTTCAGCCTTTTTGTAATGGATTTGTTTCCTAGGCCATCTACGCCCGTAAATTTCTCGTGAATCAGTTCATCACAATCCTCCTTGGAATTGTGGCGGTTAAACTGAAGAAATGCTGATTCTTAACCGACTCATTTTCGCTGGTGAAGTTTCTCTTACGGAGCCTTTTGAATGCATCCTCCCACCCTATTCTGTCGTATGCCTATTTAAGGCAGTGGCTTTGGGTTTGCATTTCTCAGGAGGATGTTATGCAGACTTGGCACCATGTTTGAGGGTGCCCTGGGCAAAGTGCCCTGGTACACACACACCCCAGTAAAACTTATCAGGTGTTGGGCCAGGAACATTTTGTTCTTTTTTTATATAAAAAGCTTCTTTTACTAGGGCAGACTGTGAAGTGACGTGCTGGCTGAAGCTGCCCACCGTTTCCACTTTCCCGGAATACTTCTGGGTCCTGCTATGTCATGCCTGGTGCTGATCTCAGACCTGATGCCACGCTCCTCTTTCTGGATTTATTTGCTTTGTATGATGCTGCTTCTATTGTATTCTCATGCCGTATGCAGTCTTGTCTGTTACTTTTCAAAAAATTTTGCCTATAATATTTTATTCAAACATTTTCACAATAAGCTTCAAATCAAATACCGTATTTTTCCGTGTATAAGACTAGGTTTTCCCCCTAAAAAATAATGTCCAAAATTTGGGGGCGTCTTATACATGGGGGCCATCTCTCCCTATTTTCTTAAATCTGAGTCCCCCAAAATAGGGGGCGTATTATACATGGGGGCGTCTTATAGATCGAAAAATACGGCAATTACATTGTTTCATAAGCTGACTTTCTTCCCTCCACTGTACATTGTTTTTACTCACACCTTTTCCACCGCATTATGCCTTTTATCTATTACAAAAGGTTTCTCTATTACAGTTAAGTCTTGTCGGTTACTTTCAGTGCAACCGTGATATCGCTGCAGGAAGAACTAACTCTCGTTCTTTCTCTTTCCGCAAAAAGGGAATCCGCTTTGACCCAGAAATTCCCCAGACGCTCCGGCTAGAGTTCGCCAAGGCCAACACGAAGATGGCCAAGAGCAAATTAGTGGGGACGCCAAATCCAAGCACTCCTGCCACCCCCAACACTTTACCTCAGTTCATTACCAGGGAGCCGTGTAAGTATGTGAGTGTGTGTGTCTGTGCTTCGTCATAAAAGAGCAAGCAGTGGTATGTGCCTTAGATAGGAATGCTCGACTTGTTTGCAAATTCCTATATGACCTGTCCTGATCTCCACCTCCTGGACTAATGTGTGGATTGGAGCGTAGTAGTTCTTTGGATTTTGCAGTTTTCACCTGTGGCGAAACAGGAAGTGCCTGTGCTGCCTGCCTCTGGTATTGGAATCAACTTTGAGTGAGATCTTGCCCAAAATTGGTGCCAGTGCCAGCAGCAGGGCAGGCGGGGTACTCTGCCACCCGAGTCAGCGGCCTCACTCTGCCTAATGGCTATGCTGGCCCTGCACTTCTCTGAATTTTCAGCATGTTTATCTACAATATTTAGGGAGCATTTTTAAGGGTGCTGTGGCAACAGTCTCTGTCTTAGAATGTTGGTTGCACCAAGCAGCTATAAAGTGGAGACAGGGGAAAATTCAAGCAAAGCAAAAGGAGTGTGCAGGTGTGAGAGTTTTGAGCCCCTTCTCCCCAAAGAATGCTCCCCCTCCCCTTCTCCCAAGTTGCTTTCCCCATAGCCAGACCCGAAGGCAGTAAATCAGGACTCCATAGGGATGATCTGGAAGGTGGAACATATTTGAACTTCCAAAACGCTTTTGATAAAAGTGCCTTACCATGGACTCCTGAAGACATCTGGCAGTCATGGAATAAGAGAGCAGGTCCACATAAGGCAAAGTCACTGATAATAGGAAGCAGAGGGCAGAATTTTATGTACAGTTGTCTTAGTGGGGGGGGGGGATAAGCAGTGAGACCCCCCCCCAAGCATGTGAACTGGCACTATTTAACTTGTTCATGAACGATCTGGAGTTGGGGCAGCAGTGAAGTTGGCCGATGGACACCAAATTATTGGACATCTGGCAAAGCCTGACTGTGGCTTAAAATTAGGCGAATGAGTAACCAAATGTCAAATGAGAATTTAGTGAAAGTAATAAGTGGTGCATATTGCAGAAAACAAAACAAAATACAAAGCAACTTTTCTGTCTGAAACCTATTATTTCTACTTTTCCACTTCAACCGGCAGCAGAGTTGCACTCAGTGCAGGCCAGTGTCATTCCCGTTTTCCACAAAATGGCCCCAGGAGAATGGAATACTGTTGTTCCCATTGAGCCATGTTGCGTCAAAAGGTTTGGGCTATTCTGCTGTTTCCCCTTATTTACACATGAGTCATTTCCTGAATATCTTGGGAGCACTCCATCTATTCAGAAACATCTGAGGTGGCCCTGATTTGCTGCTGCTCTGATAGGTAGGGGTTGCCAAATTTGCTATTAGATAAACTCACGGTGCGTATCACGTGTGTCATCACATTTGTCCCTTGGCTTGCTCTTTGCTGGAATACGACTGTCATGGCTACGTGACAGACCTGATGTCTTCCTTTCCGAGAGCGCAAGGTAAAACTGCCTGAGAGAGAAAAGCAACATAAATGTGTAACATAATTTTGTATTTTATTTTCTCTGTATGTTTGCTAGAATCATGAAAAAGTAGCTTGAATAAGCATAGGAAATGGAACACATTTGGGATTCCCAATTTTGGAAAAGACTGGTGCAGTTCATATGTCACATTAAACTGTAGTTTACAGCAAACCATGGTTTAATGTGAACGAGCATTATGTGAACGACCCAAAGCAAACTGGTTACTGCTTGTGGTATGTTTCAAGGAAGTAAACTATGAGCCCAGGCTTGGACAACATGTCTTCCAGACAGGCTTGTTTCGTGCGCTGTGTGGAGCATGCACCGGGAAGCTGCTTGGTTACAGGGGTCAGCAGACTTTTTCAGCAGGGGGCCGGTCCACTGTCCCTCAGACCTTGTGGGGGGCCGGACTATATTTTGAAAAAATAATAATGAACGAATTCCTATGCCCCACAAATAATCCAGAAGTGCATTTTAAATAAAAGGACACATTCTACTCACATAAAAACACACTGATTCCCGAACTGTCTGCGGGCTGGATTTAGAAGGCAGTTGGGCCGGATCCGGCCCCTGGGCCTTAGTTTGCCTACCCGTGCGTTAAACCTTGGTTTGTTTTAGGCTATGGTTTGATGTGATATGCAGTTCACCCCTGTATATCTCAAAGATTGAGCAAATGGTCATCACTGTAACACTTTGGCTCATGTTGTGTATGCTTGGAGGCTTGTTCATTTTTGGCCCCAGTATTGTTCCTGGTTCAACAGAGGTTTGCAGTACATTTTAATACTTGAAGAACCTGCAAAATCAGTTTTACTGGAGACAATGGTAGGATGAAGAAAAACAACAACAGCAGCACACACATGTAGACACCACTACCAATAATGATTGTCTTCAACTCTCTTTAGAATAGTTGTCAGTCTCCCAGAGTATTACACCGGATAGGTCATATTTCTCATAAAGGGGTGATTTTGTAGCTGAGCCAATGCGACTTTTTGTTGTTTTGCCTGGCTCAACCCTTTGTTTCCCATTATACATTTCACATGTTGGGAAATGGCCCCTGGGACGCCCAACGATGATAGCATTCCATCTGAACACGTGACACGTCATAGTCCCTGATCCCAAGGAGCTTGCAGCCGAAATGTCAACAGAGAGAAGAGAACAGGGAGAGGACGAAATGCCAGAGGCGCAAAGGGAGCTGAAGGGTATGTGTGGCTGCAAGTGCCCTTTCTGCAAGTTCCAGCAGAGCAGCTTCCGAAAAGAGGGGCCCAGGTTACATGGCAGCGTCCCTTAGTGTTGCATTCTTGCTAAACTCCTCCTGGCTCACATATTTCGGGGAAGGTTCTGGAGCTCTTGCGTGTATTTATAGGCTTGTTGCTCTCTGCTTGAGAATGACCACAAAGCTTAGGAATGAATGGCGGAAGGGAACGTTGTTAGCATTAGCCCTTGCCAACTTTTACTGTTTATCTTGCTTTTAAAACCAACAGGACAAACACTTAATCTCTGCTGTAATTAAAGTGCATCCCTGTCAGCTCCCACTGGGGCTTTGCTTGGATGTTCTCTGCCATCGTGTCTTGTGGGTGGAAGAAGAGGATTTCTTTAAATCTGAGGGTAGTGCGGATGGCTCAAGACTCCTTCAGTGTGATTCCAACCTTCCCTGATGCATTGCCCACCTCCTCTCATACCTGGAAAGAAGCTCAGGGGCACTTGGGCAAAGCAAATCGTGATAGGAGGAGAAGTAACAGGTTGATAGTTGCCAACTCTACCCTTGGGTAGTCAAAACAGCTGGGGAGGGGAGCAGTCCTAGCAGAGGATCACATCCTCTTCTTCTGTCCCTGAGTGGGAGTGAGGGGACAATAAGCCACCCACTTCTCCCTGACTGTTGTGGCACCAGCAGTTGATGCTGGGCTTGTAACAAAGACCAGTTCCACTATATTGGAAGAAATGGATCAAGCCTCTTCTAACCTCAGAAATAATTATTATTATTTATTAAATTTCCATGCCACCCATAATAACATGCACATACCCCAGGCCATGGGGGACGTGGGTGGCGCTGTGGGTTAAACCACAGAGCCTAGGACTTGCTGATCAGAACGTTGGCGGTTCGAATCCCGCGACGGGGTGAGCTCCCGTTGCTCCTGCCAACCTAGCAGTTTGAAAGCACGCCAAAGTGCAAGTAGATAAATAGGTACCGCTCTGGTGGGAAGGTAAACGGCGTTTCCATGCGCTGCTCTGGTTCGCCAGAAGCGGCTTAGTCATGCTGGTCACATGACCTGGAAGCTGTACGCCGGCTCCTTCGGCTAATCAAGCGAGATGAGCGCTGCAACCCCAGAGTCGGTCATGACTGGACCTAATGGTCAGAGGTCCCTTTACCTTTTTACCCCAGGCCATAGATTGTTTAATTAGACAAAGGCCCGGGAGAAGAGAAATGTATTTGCCTGGTGCCTAAAGGTGTATAATGAAGGCACCGCATTCCACAAACGGGGAGCCACTGCAGAAAAGGCCCTACCTCGTGTTGCCGCCCTCCAAACCTCTCATGGAGGAGGCACACATAAATCATTCTGAAATGAAGCCGATTAAGGTTGAGACGCATCTTTCCTCACTACCCACTAGATTAAGTAAAGTGGTAGCTTGTTCACAAGCTCTCAGAGAAGACAGGGAGCTGCACTCCTGCAGCCCAGCATGGCATGTGGATTCTGCTGTTATGGAAATGTTTGGTTCTTGGATGTTTCATATACAGAATGGTGAAGTCTAAGCTGGCAACCGGGAAAGAGGTATTTGGCGCCCGGTGATTGGCTCAGTGTATATTTCAGCTCTGGCATGGTGGTGCTTATGAAAAATTCAAGTTCGGTGCAAGGCATTGTTAGGGAAAAGACTGAAAATAAAAAGCTGCCTGTATGATAATTGCTATTTTAGTAGGATTGCATTTGAAGTGTGTGCTTTTCAGGTGACCTATCCCAAAAGGTGATCTGGAAAAGGCACAGGAAACTGCAACCCAAACAGTCAATGGATAATTGCACCTTTCTTTTTGCAAAGCAAGGATGGAGCTGAAATTATGAGTGGTTATCCTGGCTGCCCTAGATTCGTCTAAACTCTTCAGGGATGGGTGACTAGTGGAGGTAGGGAGAAGCACTGGGTAGGAGGCCTTCATGAATGGTGGCAAAGGAAAGAGGAGGAATATGCTGGTATTGTAACTTAAATAAGGTACCTGAACCACTGATATGTTGTTGTACTGCTGTGAAAGGGTAGAAGATAACCTTCATTATCATATAGACTCTTGATTTTGTTCTGTGCAGAATGGCATTCTGTGTGCCCCCTCTCCCTCCCATTCTTAAGATGACTGGATTGTTCTTCATTGGGGAGACAAATGTAGTGGGGTAGCTGAGACTAACCTCTGAGTTAGGAAGTCCTGAGTTCAAATCTTGACTATGATTGGCAGGCCAAGAACAACCTTGGCTTCACATTGTGGTTTGAAGCAAGCTATGGTCCCTGGTTTAGATGTAACAGGGTACTGTGGTTTGTTGCCTAGGCTCACACCAGGGGAAGAGCGAAGCGGGAGCCACCAAGGCAACCATGGTAAACAGTTAACTATGGCTTACTATGATGTGTATCTAGCTCAGGATGCAAAGTGCCACAGCCATAAGAGTTCATTCGCCCAGAGTCTGTATTCTTTCATCAGAATACTTTTGAGTGGCTCACTTTCCGCCTCTTAACAACAGCTGTAGACTGCCTTGCATTTCTTTCTCCAGCCGACAAAACGCCCAGTTTCCTTTCGGACAATAACCCTTTTCCTTAACGTAAGTTGCAGACTTTGGCGCCCTAACTCACAGCAGAATTTTTGTACCTGCTCTTCGGATTCCGTTTCCTAAGGAGAAGGCAGAGGGAGTCGGAGGGACCTCCTTGAGCTCTGCTTGTGTTTGCCGTTTTGTTTCCTGCATTTGCTGTTTTTATAACCATGAACTCTCCTTATTCTTCTCTTGCAGATGAGCTCACAGTGCCTGCACTTTACCCCAGTAGCCCTGAAGTGTGGGCGCCGTACCCTCTCTACCCAGCGGAGTTAGCACCTGCTCTACCCCCGCCTGCTTTCACCTACCCTGCTTCACTGCATGCCCAGGTAATTTATACCAATCAGTCACACCTTCACCCACGTTATACCACCTGATCCTCTCCAGTGCACCCCAAACGACTAACACCTGTCTGGCTAACAGGCACCCCAGAGAGATATTAATGACCACATCTCGATCAAGCTGACGCATTCTCCTTGGGACTACTGGGGAACGGACTTAGGAAAAATTGACAGCACCCCACTGCCTGATAGAACCGTGAACACCTTTCTCCTCTCGAGTAATTTCACTTCCGTTCACACGAGGCAGCGAGAAATATCTGCCGGGTCTTTGCACACATATATACCCCCTTGTATATATGGACTCTGCTTCCCAGGCTTGCCTTTGCCACAGTTTTGCTTCAAAGTTCCAAGGCTAAATTGTCTTTACAACGGATAAGGGGAAGGTGTGCAAGAGCGTGTTTATGTACACGTGTGTTTCTAAAGCCAGAGAGAAGGGAGGTAGACGGAGCAAAAGTCTGGCCTCTTAAGTCACATGGGGGAATTTGCATTGTGAGCAGTTACCATATTTTTTGCTCTATAAGACGCACCAGACCACAAGACGCACCTAGTTTTTGGAGGAGGAAAACAAGAAAAATATTCTGAATCTCAGAAGCCAGAACAGCAAGAGGGATCGCTGCGCAGTGAAAGCAGCAATCCCTCTTGCTGTTCTGGCTTCTGGGATAGCTGTGCAGCCTGCATTCGCTCCATAAGACGCACACACACATTTCCCCTTACTTTTTAGGAGGGAAAAAGTGAGTCTTATAGAGCAAAAAATACGGTACTTCATACACGTTCTGAACTGTAGCAAAACGAAGTTACCGAGCAAAAACTTAACTGCGATGTGCATATGACCACTTGTAATCCAGTTGCCTGAATTGTTCTCCGTTCCCAGCGAGTCAGAGAAAATCCTGAATTGTTGCTTGGACATGATGTTGGGCTACAGAAGAGCTAATGAAGCAGCGCTTAACCCAGATAATATGAGATGCTGACAATAGGCCTGCTGAGCTGGGAAGGAGCGTTCAGGCTGTTTTTCGATGCGGGTCACACTCCGTCAGGAAAAGCAGGTTTACAGCTTATTCCCTTTGATCCTGCTTTTGTTACTTGATACTCAGAGGTCATTGGCAGCAAGGAGTGCCTTTTTTCCAGCTCCATGTTGGCTAGCTGTTCTCTTTTCTAGTGGCTAAAGAAATAAGTCATGGGGCGTTCTTGCAGGCTTGGATATTGCAGTGTGCTCTATGGGGGCAACCTTTTGATAAATGTCTGAAAGTTACAGCTGCAGAAAATAGGCTCTTGTCCAGGAGTGGAGATTATTACACCCATTAAAGAGCTGCATTGGTTCTCGGTATCTGGCCCATTTCAGAGTGCCGGTACTGACCTTCTAAAGCCTTAAAGAGCCTGGATATTCAGAGGTTTGCCTATCTTAAGACATGATGGGGAAACATACAGATGTGCAACTGAGATACTGCTTTGTGAACCTAGTTAGTGGAGGCGTGGGCGATGGCAGTGAGATTTAGAGTCTGCCTTGAGAGGCCTGCGTGGCTGACACTGCCCTTTCCCAGCTTTTAGGAAACATGTTAAGGTCTTCCTGCTTGAGTGGCCCTTTTTGGTTCTCTGGAGTTGGAGGAAGAAGTTGCTTTTGTTTCTCTGCAGTTCTGCTTGGTTGGTTTCAGGCTCTGTTGTTGCTATGGGGTGTTCTGTGTTCACTGAAGTGATGATTTCATTGCCACTTCAAGAGGCCGACAGGGCTGATTAAGCAGAGTATACATTTTTAAATATATCTCTGTGCCAAGAGCTTTGAATTTTATTGCATGGTTTCACCCAGTCAGAAATCTAGGAAGGAAAACCCCCTTGCCTCTTGGCAAGCTAGTCTTTGTAACATTCTTTTGAGGGATCTTATGTACACTTTGTTAAATTCCCACCTGGTGAATGGCTTTCCAGCTATTGTGGGGCAGCTCACAACCCCCCTCCCCCCTTTTTGGCAAGTGCTGAAACAAACATGTCAATAAGTAAACTGAAAATTCTGAAGAAGTGTGCATGCACATGAAAGCTTATACCCAGAACAAACTTAGTTGGTCTCTAAGGTGCTACTGGACAATTTTTTAATTTTTTAATTTATTTTGACTGCGTCAGACCAGCACGGCTACCTACCTGACTGTGGGATAATGTAACACATGATGCATTAACACAAGGATCAGACATATTTTAGAGTCGGTATATGGGTCAATTGAACATTTCTCGGTAAGGAGATCCATTTTCCTGCCTGTAACTCAGTACCACCTTGGTTCTTGTTCCGGAAGTCCATTCAAGTTCTGTAAACGTTCGCAAACCAAGGCTTCCTGCACTCAATCAGAAGCTGCAGAAGCAACGTCCAACGTTTGGGTTCCAAAGAACGTTCGCAAACCAAAACACTCACTTCCGGGTTTGCGGCATTTGGGAGCCAAAACGTTCGAGTCGCAAGGCGGTTGACAACCAAGGTACGACTGTAGTTTTAAATTCTAGTAGGAGGATGTTAGGACACTTTCGTGAGGACTGAACACAACATAACCACTAGGTTAGGTTGGGGGGGGGGCATGGAGCAGGTTTTCACATAGAGATCAAATACGGTTCTAAAACAGAGAACTTTAGGAAACCTCAAGTAAATATCTCATCCCCTAAATCCCGACTAGGTGTTGTGTTTATTCCAGCCTCAGGAATTATGATCAAGTCCTAGTGTTTACAACTTGATGAGAGCTCTTAATCTTCTTTAGTGCCTGGATTCATGGACCTTGGTAAATTCTGTGGCTACATGGACCATAGTTAAGATAGCCTGACCTCATTCTGTATGGTGAAGCATGATAATATCATCTGATGCTTCTTTAATCCAGGCCATATCTCTTCTTAAAGTCCATCACTGGTAATCGGCCTGAATGTACCCAGTGCTGTATAGCATTGTTGAAACTTAAGTGACCTGACTTGGGAGGCCAGCGCAAGTTGCTCAGTGCTCTTGGAAAAGAAGTATGCAGTGTGCATTATTAAAAGACAGGAATAAAGGTTTGGCCAGGCTAGCTGATGCCAAGGAACCACATGATTGATTGACTGATGTTGCAATGTGCATAATTTCTGGCCATACCTGTAAAGATTACAAGGAGATAATACAACTTTAAATCTTTCGAATGGAATGCCTTCTGGCAGTTTTTTTGTCTCCCATGAATATTGTCTGTGGCTAAACCAGTTCATCCTACATGAGTGCAAAAGGGCAGGTCCCTACCCAGATAGTTTACAATCTGTAATTTGTCATGAGGAAACCACAGAGGAAGGGGAGGAAAGTGGAGGCAGGACTTAACAAGGGGAAGAATGTGTCTTATTTCAATGGCGAAGCCTTGGGCTTAGTTACAGTGGCATGTGAGGACCAGGGGTTTTCTGAAGCTTTCTCTGGAACAGTAGTCCTGAACTAGGGCATTTAGGCAAGGGCTTAGCTTTGAAGGCACATGAAGCGATTGCTAATCAGTTGTGTGTGCGTGGTTAAAAAAAGAATCTTACAGCAGTAGTCAAACTTATTTGAAGTTAGGCACCATCATTCTGCTTTGCTTGTTTCTCGTAGAACAGAGGTGGTTAACTCCCAAGAGACTGCGATCTACTCACAGAATTAGGAACTGGCAGTGATCTACCCCCTTTTTGGGGGTTCAGGTCAAAGTTGTTGAGCCTTTTTTACCAGTAGATCACGATCGACCTGTTGGACATCCCTGTCATAGAACACTACATTTTCTTACCTTAATTGAAAATCTAGTGGAAGACAAGATGCTTGAAAATGTCCCTTTCCTAAAATTTCCCCACTCTGAAGCCTGAGTCTCTCTTCTTGGTTAAAAGTAGCAAGCACCCTTTTTATTTTTTGAGAGGCACTTTTGTTGCTGGAGAGGCAGCCACCTAGGAGGCCACTAGGTTCTCTGAGTGGTCCTTGGCGCATCGTCTGTGGCTAAACCAGTTCATCCTATAAGATGGGCAGGTCCCGAACCTGCAAGATACACACCAAGAAGCAGATATCTTATTCTTTTCTGGCACATTAGATAGGTCAGGTTCTCGTGTCAGCTGGCTGGGCTGGAAGTCACAGGGCAAGTCTCGCAACCCTCTTTTTCAGGGATGGCCCCAGCTTTGCGGAGGCGGGGATGGTGTGTATTCTCCTCCGCAATTTTCCAGCCGGGTTGTGCTAACGTAAAATTCAAAACTGAACATGAAGACGGGAGTATGATGGCATTCTGGAGCAAATGAAACCTTTGCCCAAGCAACAGCCTTCCTCCTCTTAAAAGGGAATAAAAGTTACAGCCTGAAAACTTGGGGAAAGAATAAATGAGAACGCAACCAGAGCTTGAGGAAAACAGTTTCTGACATGGAGGGAAAGGGGAAATAAGCTTCAAGTGGAACACTATCTTTTATTCACGACCTGCAGTGGGGCGGACTGCGAGCGCAGGACTGAAAATAACCCCCCCAAGCTCCACACCTCTCTGGCAAAGTGGGAGGCAAGAATGCCAAGTAATGTATGTTCTGTCACAAGGACTTTTTCTGCTCGCTGAACCTTGCTGCCTGGGACTCCTAATGGCCCCTGAGAGCTGGCGCACTCTAGTTAAAAATTAACAAACAAAGGGAGGGAAAAGTAATTAAATATGGATGGCGGTAATCGCTGAGGAGCATGTCTGGCCCGAACTGCTGCACGCTTGAGCGCTCCCGTGCAGCTCGGCACATCCTGCAAGTTTAGAAGAACCCTGCGGTGAGCTTCCCGGGAAGATTTGCCCATTAAATCTTCGAGGAGGGGCGGCTGCGCTAGTAGGGGATGGGCGAGAGCGCAAGGCTTTCAGGTGGACACAATGGGAGACCTGTGGCACAAGCTTGAGGAGTGATGGAATGGCGGCCAGGGAGGAATTTAAAAGGGCAGGTCCTTCTTGGCATCATCTTTCCTCAAAATAAAAGGCTTTCCGTAAGGTGTTGCAGATCCCTTGCATTGCATTGTAAGGGCTGCAGAGTCAACATGCATTGCAAAACTGGGTGTGTGAGTGTTTACTGTGGATCGCCGTGCTGCAAACTTCTTGTCTTTATCAGGTTTGGTTTGTTCTTCCTCCTCCTGGAAGTATTCCATTACTGAAGGATTTGTCTCTTCTCAAGCCCACCACTTTCCAATCTCTCTTTTTTGACTTTCCCTTCTGCCTTCTCCACTCCACACTTAATTTTTTTACATGCGTGAACGTCCTCAGCCCCACACGATCCCTAAATGCACAACTGTTGAGCTGCTCTAGGCAGCAAAACAAACTAATCCGTAACTTGCACTTTCTAAGAGCTCTGAACATTCAGGTGACAAGGCGTGCGGTTTGTAGTGCTTCTGATTTCCACACGCCAGGCCATATTAGGGTACTTTGAACTGTGATCTCCCTCCACCACAGGCCCACACTGACGACAAAGATTCTAGCTGGGTGGTTTCCTGCCTGTGCTGAGAATGGGAGCTTGGAATTGCTTGGGAAGAGAACACTTTTGACTTCCTGGGTAGACAGCAGTTTTAGCACCTAATGCACTTTCCCAAACACTTGAGATTTTTGCATGTAGCTGCGTGTCATTTACATTTTACCTTTACCCTGTAGCAATGGTGAGGCTTAGCATCACAGCTGTCAGTCTTCCACCCAAGGTGGGCTGTTAATGCATCAAGTACAAGATGTATTGACAGCCTGTGCTGCCTTAGTGCTCAGACCTGGCCTGGATATGAAATTGAATCCACAGTGAAGTCCAAATCAGAGAGATGTAATCATGTCATTTGCATGTTGCTGGTAGATCTAAATGTACGTATTGTGGAGTTGCTGAGATTTCTTTATAGATGTAAAACTGGAGTAAAGGTAAAGGGACCCCTGACCATTAGGTCCAGTCACGGACGACTCTGGGGTTGCAAGGGGAGCCGGCATACAGCTTCTGGGTCATGTGGCCAGCATGACTAAGCTGCTTCTGGCGAACCAGAGCAGCGCATGGAAACGCCGTTTACCTTCCCGCTGGAGCGGTACCTATTTATCTACTTGCACTTTGACGTGCTTTCGAACTGCTAGGTTAGCAGGAAAACTGGAATAGTACTATTCAAAGTACATTTCACACTGGATATGTTCCTGCTTTGTTTTCTTCCTGTTTTTAGCCCTACCTACCGCATTTCTCATGATGTCATTTCAGTTGCCATTTCATACATTGTCATCACATGTGGATATTTGCTGTTCTGTCCAAAATGACTCCCTGAGCGTCATGCAATTCATAAATTGTAGTCTTGGAAGGGACCGCAAGGATCATCAAAGTTTCCATTCAAGAGCAATTGGGCTGCGATAGATGGCTTGTAGGTGTTAGATTGGGCAGGCCATGTGCTGTTGTTAGTCCAAGTGCCAGAAAGGTATTTTGTGCTGGCCTCCTGGCACTGCAAGCCACTATGTCTTAATCTGCTTTAGCACTTTGAAAGCACGTTTGGCGTAAGATGGAAGCAACAAACTCAAAGAAGAGGTGCTTTCTATTGAGAAATTTGGGCACAGCAATGGCTGCGTTGGTTGTGCCGATCCTTCCAATGTGCCTGGATTAGCAGTGGTTGGTATCCTGAATGTTGCAGGCACTGGCAGCCCACAACCAGAGCACCAGATAACCCCCAAAACCCATGTGGTCCTCTGCCGTAGAATCTGTTGACAAACCAAGTGATGCCACAGCTAGTTATTACTGTGGTGAGTGGTGGGATATGAACAAGAATAGTCCACTACAAACTAGGCTGTACCATCGATGGGTGGGTGGAATTGAGAGGGGGAGTAAGGGCAAGCTTGCACAGCGCCATGTGGGTCTTTCTTGCAAGACAGGCCTTCTGCGCCATAATAGTTGAGCAAATCTATAGGCAACTCGCCATTTGCGCAGGGATTGCATTTGAGATCATCCCATGCATTGGCGGACTGTGCCCACCCACCCCTTTCTGCCCCATTTTTGGGCCGCTTCCAGGTCCACAGTGATGACCATGCGTCAATCAGATGCGTGTAAAAAGGTTGCTGCCTGTTTCCTTGTTGTTTGGGCAGCCCAGGACCTCCAAACACTCTAGTACGTTTCCGAGCACAATTCAAAGTATTGGTGTTGACCTTTAAAGCTCTAAACGGCCTCAGCCCAGTAAACCTGAAGGAGCGTCTCCACCCCCATCATTCTGCCCGGACACTGAGGTCCAGCGCCGAGGGCCTTCTGGCGGTTCCCTCATTGCGAGAAGCAAAGCTACAGGGAACCAGGCAGAGGGCCTTCTCGGTAGTAGCGCCCGCCCTGTGGAACGCCCTCCCATCAGATGTCAAAGAGATAAACAACTACCTGACATTCAGAAGACATCTTAAGGCAGCCCTGTTCAGGGAAGTTTTTAATGTGTGACATCTTAGTGTATTTTTGGTCTTTGTGGAAGCCACCCAGAGTGGCTAGGGAAAGCCAGCCAGATAGGCGGGGTACAAATAATAAATTATTATTATTATTACCCACACTTGTGCCCTGGGGAGGTTACTTTGGGGCTGCTAACACAACAAAAGCAATGTGGAAGGCAACAGTTACAAGTTCCCGGTCTTAGCAGCCACAGCAGGCTTTCAGATTCTCCAGCGGTTTAACTTCCTTCCTGGAGGCGCCCCCGTTATCTTCCATTACAGAAGAATGTGAACAGCTAACGTTGAGAGGTGGACGTCAGAAAACAGAAATAAAATTCAAAATGGTCTTGATAGAATGGTAAACTGCCATTTTTTATGTGTGGGGAGTTCAATCCTCCTCAGTTTGCACATGCAAAAGGTTTTCCCGTGTACCCAAATGCTGCAAGAAGCAGGACTGAACTCCCTGCAAATCAGCCAGTGTGTGAGGAATTCAGTCCTGCTTGGTCATTGTCTGCTGTTACCCAACTCCTGTGGGCCAACACTGACAGATGGATGGTACCACTCACACACCACACCCATCCCCTGATGTCATTATGATGTCAGATGATTGACTGGTGAGTGGTTCTGCCCTCTTGTCAAAGTTTGCCCAAGGGGAAAGTGAGGGAGAGATAAAGCCGAAAGCTTCCCTACCCCTGCGATGAGAGGTAATAGTTCAATTTGACTGTGCCCTAGTCAAATCTTATCTGGACTCTGCTGCATCCAGTTCTGGGCACCAAACTTGGAGACAAACTGGAATTATTTCAAAGGGAGCAGTGAAGATGGCTGGTGGGAAAGCAATCCTGTGCAGAAAGATTGAAGGAGAGAAGCCTTGAGGAGACATGTCAGAGCACTATTCAAAAATACTTGAATGGCTCTTACATACAGAAGAAAGACTCATTCAAGACTAGATTTGATGTTGCTTAACTTACAAGGGATGGGACGCGGGTGGCGCTGTGGGTTAAACCACAGAGCCTAGGACTTGCCGATCAGAAGGTCGGTGGTTCCCACGACGCGATGAGCTCCCATTGCTCAGTCCCTGCTCTTGCCAACCTAGCAGTTCGAAAGCACGTCAATGTGCAAGTAGATAAATAGGTACCGCTCCAGCGGGAAGGTAAACGGCGTTTCCGTGCGCTGCTCTGGTAACGCCAGAAGCGGCTTAGTCATGCTGGCCACATGACCCGGAAGCTGTACGCCGGCTCCCTAAGCCAATAAAGCGAGATGAGCGCCGCAACCCCAGAGTCGGCCACGACTGGACCTAATGGTCAGGGGTCCCCTTTACCTTTACCTAACTTACAAGGGTGTAAATTTGGCTTGAATATTAGGAGAAACTTGCTGATGGTAAGAGCAGCTAAAAATCGAAACTTCTTAGAAGTCAGGGGGGCAGGGCTCTTCCTTGCCTGAGGTTTTAAAACAAGCTGGATGGTCACTGGCTGGGGATGCTTCCCCCCAGTTGTACTGCAGGGTTGGAGTGGGATTCAAATGGTGCTGTTTAAGGACAGATGAGCATTCATATTCACACTTGTTCCATATCTTCTGTCTCCTTTCCTCCCCACTCTCCCTGCTTCTCAAGTACTGGGTTTGTAATATTTTTAATCAGGCAAATTAATCTATTTTTAAAACTTTTGATCAAGTAACAAGGTTCCCTGATTAACTAGGCAAACATAAGTGTATTTAATTTTTTTAAAAAAACCACACACCATTTTAGGGAAGTTGTTCACCGTTTTCTTGAACACACGAGGAGATGCCTCTTTGATTAATTAAGGATGGTGCTTGCTGCTTCATCTAAAAGCATACATTGCCCCTCAAAACTATTTTTATCCCTTCGCTCACATGGGCACATTTAATTCTCATTGGATTCCTTTAAGTTGTTGACAAGTCCTGTCAGATGTACAGATCGTACAGTATTGACTGGCCCAACAGACCTAGAGGCAGAAAACTCTGTAGGTAAAGGCCTCCTCATAATGTTTTTTCCTCACTTTGCATTTCTTCAGTGAAACTGAGTTGGAAAAGGGTCAGCTGGTGGTTCAGGACACTGTAGCAGTTTCTGCCAGGACTGCTTTGCACGCTGCACCATTAAGCATAGCCTTTAAGACTTCTGAAGCATGAACGAGACAAGCAAATGTTTTGAAAAGACTTGTGTGTCACGCAGGACTGGCTCGCTTCCCTGTCAAATCTACATGTGGGTCTGTTCCTGGGTGTAGTGGGGAATAGCCCCAAGGAATTATGGGAGTTACTTGGGTTCTGTACAACCTCTTGGTCAGAGACTTCAGGGATACGGTTTACGTCAAGGTGTAAAGAAGCCCTCTTTCCCCGCCATTTCACTTGCGTACATGACCTCCCACGCCAACACCACTGTTCAGTTAAATAGGTGGCTGTTCTTCTAAACTAGGCTGCCGCTTGCCTTGTCTTACCAAGCAGAAAAATCATGGAACTTACTCATGGTAGTTACAAAGGTGTAAGAGAGGGGGGTGTAGGTGCTGGTGGAGGAACTACATTGTGTTCTTTCTCTGAGGTGTAGCTGCCAGAGAAAGACGCATGTTGGGTTGGGAGCAGAACAGAAGGGGTACCATGTTCAGAACTCTTTCCCTAGGCATGTTTGCATGGCACTGTCATTACAATTTTTAGGGCCCAGGTGAATCCCTCTTTGCCATGTGAATTTTTGACAGCATTTAAGATCCTTGTGGACTTTCGCTATTTTTGTGTTGCAGTGGCAACTAGGACCGCTCCATTTGCTTGCTACATTGCACTGCTGTTGCAGTGAAGTAATGCTTTTGTCCCAGAAGTCTTTTGTTTGTTTGTTTGCTTGTTTGAAATGAGAGACAGAGATAGTTTAAATGTTCACTTGTCTTTCACCACTGTATTTGTACATGACCCCTATCTTTAAGAAAAGAATCATCTGCACAAGTCTTAGGTTGCAATCCTACACACTCCTGAGATTGAATTCCAGTGTTGAAGCCAGTGAGACATGCATCTGAATAGAAGGCGCACCTAAGATTTCACCATGGGTGTGTTTGGAATTAGGCACCCAAACCATAGTATGGCTTTGAATTCATTAATAATAATATTTTATTTTTTTTAATTTTTATTTATACCCTGCCCATCTGGCTGGGTTGCCTCAGCCACTCTGGGTGGATTCCAACACATATAAAAACATAATAAAATGCCAAACATCAATGCTAGCAATCTAATCCAGTATAAAAAGTCACAATAACTTTAAACAGCTTATATCAAACAAAGCAACATTCAACAATCCACCAGAATCTAATAGTAAAACCGTAGAGTTAAACATCAGCACATAATAATCAGTTTACACTTATCAACCACAATAGAGAATTGCCAATCTATAATCAATAAAAATAACAGCAAATTGCAATGCATAAAATACCACAAAAGATACAAAAAGGGTAAAATTGTGACAAGGACACACAACTTATAAAACTATTTTTTTAAAAATATACCTGAACTCCTCTCCTCAGCTGCTGCTGCTGTTCTCAAACTCATGGTCTGGGAAAGGCTTCCAGGGCTGGAGTGTGGGCAGGGCAGATGGAAACACCATTGCCTGGTGAAGAATTCATTAATGTCTGCAGTTTCAGAGCAAGGTGAAGCGGGTGGGGGGGGGGGAATGACTGCGAGAGCTCCCTCTTGTGGTGAACTGAATTCTGCCCCAATTGATTCTGCGGCCATAGTGATGAAGGTTTGGGATTATAGCACTCTTTCCCAAACCAATTGAACTTGGCTCTTTGGAACTTGCTGTATGTTACCCCCACACTTCTAATTGCTACGTGATAAAAGATAATCTTAGCAGCAGTCTCTGGCTTTGCTTTGCCCCTGCCCTCTTGCCTGACTTACTCATTTGCGCACTGAACTCAGAAGAGGCCAGCTGCTCTAAATGGGAGAGCAGGCTTTGTGCAGCTTGGAAAAAGATGGTGCAAGGAGGTAATTGGGCTTGTCATCTAGGTATTGACTTGTAGGGCAGGAGCTCTTCTTGGTCCTGTTTAGGTGTCTTGTAGGGTTTGCTTAAGGGATGCAGGCGGCGCTGTGGGTTAAACCACAGAGCCTAGGACTTGCTGATCAGAAGGTTGGCGGTTCGAATCCCTGTGACGGGTGAGCTCCCGTTGCTCGGTCCCTGCTCCTGCCAACCTAGCAGTTCAAAAGCATGTCAAAGTGCAAGTAGATAAATAGGTACCGCTCCGGCGGGAAGGTAAACAGCGTTTCCGTGTGCTGCTCTGGTTCGCCAGAAGCGGCTTAGTCATGCTGGTCACATGACCCGGAAGCTGTACGCCGGCTCCCTCGGCCAATAAAGCGAGATGAGCGCCGCAACCCCAGAGTCATCTGTTGGTTTCTATTTCCCTCACTGAGCAGCAACTGCAGTCACAAGACATTGTTTTGCATTCCACAGTCAGAGTTACTGTTGGAGTTTCTCACGGGAAAGGGAGACTGGATGTGACGTACACTGGTTTCCTGTTTTTCACTGTGATTCTCTCCGAGCTGAGAGAGGAGAGAGGATGCATTTTTCTGCTTCGGCAGAGGCATGATGTCTTTCTGTAATATACCAGCTTTGAACTGTAAATAAAGCAATATAGAGTATGTAACACATTTTCCTCATCCTTCCGCTGGGCACGACAGACTCTGCTTTAAATCAACACGTGGTTATGGGCTCCAGGAGTCGAATCGGAGTGCCGGCAAAGGATCGGAATGCAGAGGGACGGATCGGAAAGGAATCTGCTCTGCGCGTAGAAGTGATTGATGAGGTATGTGCTACTGCTCCGGGCAGCCTGCCAGCTTCAAGATAATGGCTTTATGGCTGGACTTTGAACTTTTAAAGCCGGTTTTGCAAATAGGCAAAAGGCTCCCAGGCACAAGTCACTATGCTGGGGAAATCGAAAGTAACTTTTAAGTGTGCCTTTGTAATGAAGCAGCTGCAGCAGTGACGCAGCAAGATTTAAAGCAGCATATGACGCTGAAGGCTAATGCCAGAGTCATGATGGCCCTTCAGGATGCTTGTAGGATTCCTAAGCTCAACAAGAATAATTACAGCGACTGGGTTCAGTATGCAGAGGCAATTCTGCGGAAAGAGGGTTTGTTTGAGGTGATTACAGGAACCCCCAGTTCCAGTTACAGATGCATGGGAAGCTAAGGATTCCAAAGCAAGGGAACTCTTACATTGATAGTATCCCCAGAAGAGCTCTGTCTATTGCGTGATAAGACCTCAGCCAGAGAAATTTGGGACGCTCTGAAAGAGGCTCACTTAAGGACAGAAGCTGGATCCACTATGTTTTATTTTAACAAGCTGCATAATATGGCTCTTGCTGAAGGTGGAGATGTGCGTTTACATCTGATGGAGATGCAAAATCTGAGACATGAGCTGCAACAGAGAGGACTCAACTTTCCAGAGGCTGTGTATTCTTTCATGATACTACAATCTTTGGGTTCAGGTTGGGAGTCTGTTGCAACCCAGATTGCTGTGCAACCAACTGCTCAGCTGACAGTGGACTTTGTTACTGCCGTGATTTTAAATGAAGCAGATCGCCGGGGTGCTAGCTGCATGGGCAAGGAGAGTCTTCACAGACGTCATCCCATAGTGCAGTGGAACCACCAGATGGCGCCAAAGCTTTGAAGGCAGTGAAATGCTACTCATGTGGACGTCTAGGCCATATGAAGAGGGAATGCAGACATCCCAGGGCCAAGACAGAGCAGCGCAGCGAAGCTCATCGCGCGGAAAAGGCCGAGGCAAAGGCAAAGGTCCGGTGTCTAGGACAACGCAGCACAAGGCTATGGTTTCACGCTTCACTCCAAAGGTTGCAGAGGTCCAGAAGACGTCTAGATCTTTCTTCGTTGTTGATTCAGCGGCCACCCACCACATGTGCAACGATAAGAAACTGTTTGTGTCTTTTACACCGCAGGAAGGTGCGATTCACCAGGCGGATGACCACACTATTCCCAGTAAAGGCTACGGAACTGTTGTTCTTCACAGTTTGGACTTATCGATACAGAATGTGCTTTACGTGCCAGACGCCAAACATAATCTGCTCAGCGTTGGACAGCTGAATGAGCGGAACATTGACGTTTCCTTCAAGAACAAGAAGTGCATCATCACAAAGAAAAATGATTATGTATTGCATGCAGAATATGTTGATCATTTGTTTGTTTTGTATTATGATGATGTGGTGCAGGATGACACTTGTTGCATTGCAGGTTCTAACAAAAGTTTGCATGCAGAATGTATTCACGATTTTCATCGCAAATTTGGTCATTTGCATTTTGAGGCAGTATCTAAAATGCCTGCCTTGGTTGAAGGTATGACTATTAAACCCTGCAGGTACCACATGAAGTGCAAAGCATGCGCAGCAAACAAGGTGAAAATGGCTGCGAAAGGTAAGGTGTCTAGTAGGAAAGCTACAGAACCATACCAGGTTGTTCATGCTGATTTGGTTGGACCACTTGCGCCCTCTTTGGGTGGAAATAGATACTTCATGGTTCTCATTGATGCATTTTCTAGATATATTTTTGTGTACAATCTCAAGCAGAAATCGGAGGCTTTTCCTAGGTTCAAGGAATTCTGTGCTTGGTTGGAAAATGTGCATGGTAAGAAGATAAAGACTCTTTTCAGTGATCGCGGGGAATTCACTTCTCAGCAGTTTGAAGCTTTTCTGACTGAGAAAGGAATTCAACACGATTTGTCTAGTCCTCGCTCGCCATGGCAGAATGGACTTGCGGAGCGGGCAAATCAGACATTGCTTCAAGGTCTAAAAACCTTGCTGCATGATGCCAATCTTCCAGAGAGTTATTGGGCCGAATCTCTCTCGTGTTTTGTTTACAGTTACAATCGCAGATTATCTTCAGCGATTGGTTGTACCCCCTATGAGAAGATGTTTGGCAAGAAGCCATACATCAAACACATGAAGATTTTGGTTCTGACATGTGGGTTCACTCACCACAAAACTCCAAGTTAGACAAGCGTGGATTGCATGGTATCTTTCTAGGTTATCAGAAAGGGTCTTACAGAATAATGATGACTGACTCTAAGACAATTAAGCTCACGAGAAGTGTTGAGTACAATGCAAAGTGGGGGAGAATGTGGGAATTTTCCAATGTTATCCTGATGACGGTGATGAGACTGAGGATAGTCAAAAGCAACCACAACAGCCCACACCCACTGATGAAGGTTCTGAGTCTGAATCTGAAACTGAATCGGGTGATTCAGAGGATTTCAAGAGTGCGAAAGCCTCTATGCGACCCTCTGAAAGCTCTGATCAAGAATTGGAGGAACCATTGTTCACAATAGGTCGTTTTTCTCCTAAGAAGGAAGAGGAGAGTGTTGAAGACTTAAGGATAATTCGTAGGTCACAGAGAGCCACAAAAGGCAAACCTCCAAAGAGATTTGCTGATGAGTTTGCTAAGATAGCAGTAACAGCTGTTAAAAGCTCCAAGAAGGTATTTGAACCTTCAAGTTTCCAAGAAATCCAGGGTTTGGATTCAAAGGAAGCTGAGCCATGGTTAAATGCCATGAAGGCTGAGCTTGATTCCTTAGAAAGGAACAAAACATGGGAGCTAGTTCCAGTAGTTCCAGGAATGAAACTGCTTGGAAGCAAATGGGTCTTCAAAGCGAAGACAGATCAAAATGGCAAGATAGTCAGACACAAAGCCAGATTGGTAGCCAGAGGTTTTGCACAGGTACCAGGTGAAGACTATCACGAGACCTATTCACCCACAGTGAGATATGAAAGCATTAGGCTTATGCTCAAGCTAGCTGCAGAGGAAAATCTACACATTAGTCACCATGATATTAATACAGCTTTTCTGTACGGATCTCTAGATGAATCACTTTATATGCTTCCACCTGATGGCGTACAGGTAAAACAGGGATTTGTTTGTGCTCTGAAGAAATCCCTTTATGGTCTCAAACAAAGTGCACGGTGTTGGCACACAAAACTCACTGAAGTATTGTTTTCTCTAGGTTTTCAGCAAGGGAAAGCTGATCCATGTGTATTTGTCAAAGAGGAGGGGCAAAAGAAACTGTACTGTTTGTTTTATGTTGATGATTTATTATTCTTTTGGAAAGATGTTGCAATGTACAATAGCGCCCTAGCTCAACTGAAAGAGCACTTTGACATGAAAGATCTTGGTGAGGTAAACAACTACCTATCTCTGGAAATAGAGAGAGATCAAGATGGTAACATTCTAGTACACCAGTCACGGAAAATTGCTGATGTGTTAAGCAAACTAAATCTGATGGATGCTAACCCTGTAGACACACCGATGACAACAGGTTATCAGGTAGATGACACTGAAGAAGCATTTTCTGACACTACACTGTACAGGAGTGTGCTAGGCAAGCTAAACTTCATTGCCAGATGTTCAAGACCAGACATTGCTGTTAGCTGTAATTTGCTAAGCAGACAAGTCAACAATCCTAGTGTCAAGGATTGGAAAGCTCTGAAACGCATAGCGCGGTATTTGAAAGGCACTATGCATTACAGACTGAGATTTAACAATCAGAAGTCTGGTGGTCTTGAGATATTTGCAGATGCAAGTTTTGGAAGTGACGCTACAGACAGGAAAAGTACGTCTGGAGTTTGCTACATGTACAATCAGAGTCTGTTTGATTGGTCATGCAAGAAGCAAACAACAGTTAGCTTAAGTACTTGTGAAGCTGAACTGAATGCACTGTCTTATTCACTTAAGGATTGTGAATGGTTAGTACAATTGTGCAAAGATATGAAAATTCCTGTCAAATGTCCAATCCAGGTTTACCAGGACAACAAAGCATGTTTGGCTTTGCTGAAGTCTGAAGGTTGTAAGCAAAGCACAAAGCACTTACAATTAAAGTTGCAGCATGCTAGGGAATGTATTCAGAAGGGACTCGTAACGGTGTCCTATATGCCAGGTAATGAAATTCCTGCTGATGTATTGTCCAAGATTGTATCAAGGGATCAACACTGTACCTATGTGCAGAAGTTGGGTTTGTACTGATATTGTGCAAACACGCTGCCCAGTGATGTTCACAGAAAGGGGAGGATGTTGGTTTCTATTTCCCTCACTGAGCAGCAACTGCAGTCACAAGACATTGTTTTGCATTCCACAGTCAGAGTTACTGTTGGAGTTTCTCACGGGAAAGGGAGACTGGATGTGACGTACACTGGTTTCCTGTTTTTCACTGTGATTCTCTCCGAGCTGAGAGAGGAGAGAGGATGCATTTTCTGCTCCTGCAGAGGCAAGATGTCTTTCTGTAATATACCAGCTTTGAACTGTAAATAAAGCAATATAGAGTATGTAACACATTTTCCTCATCCTTCCGCTGGGCACGACAGACTCTGCTTTAAATCAACATCATCCACAACTGGACCTAATGGTCAGGGGTCCCTTTACCTTTACTAGGGCTTGCTTCCGGTAAGGCACCCCCTTTCCCAGAGTCCTTATGAGTCCTCTTCCCCCACCAACCTTCTTGTCTGGTAGTTGAGAATCTTCAGAGTATACTGTTGAAAAGTTAGTGGTAGTCAGACTGGATGTTTAAGTATATGTAACTGCTTTCATTCCCCCCCCCCAAAAAAAATATCACACATGAGAATTGCTAAGGGTCTTGCTAGACCACTTCCTTTTGTAGCAATTGCAATACACTGTGCTAGATGCTGTTTGGTTTTAATTTTATTTCTATTGCTTCTTATATTTTGTATCTTGCTGCATTACCATTTGAATTCCATAGCTTCCCAAGTGTAATAAGATAAGTGAGAAGTGGTAAAATACAACGAAAAACCAGTGCGAATTAATGTGATAGTTGATGTGCCATCTCCTGCCTTCAGCCACAAATCCACAGACTTGTCGTGGACCACCTGAACGATGCTTGTGGACAACTGGTGGTCCGTGGGCCAGTTTGGCAGCCCTTCCACTATATGATCTCGGTGAAACTTTCAGTAGATGGACTCATACAAATAAAAATGAACGTGCCTGTTTTGTTTAAAATAAGGAGGCAAGGCATATTGCATGCCCACAAATTTTATAATGAACATTTGTCTTCTTAAAAATCCTTGCTTCTGGAAATGTTTGTGTGTACACATGCGATAGAGAATATATATATATATCACACTCTGAAATTAGCATAGCCCTACTGACACCACCAGCACAACTTGAAGGCTCTGATTCATTTTGGCTGCTTTCTCACTTAATGCAACACTTGCATCTGTTTTGATGGGATGGCTGGTGTCAATTGCCAGGAAATGTCTAAATTTATAAGTATTGTTGGGGTCTGGATGGGCTGGGTATAGCATCTGAAGAATGTTTGGTCTAGTTCAGCTCTCAAATCCACTCCGATTTCCCCGATAGTGACCCAGGGACTAGAGGTGTTTTGCTGCAAAATCTGACAACTTTCCATGGGTGGTGTGGCTCGGGAATAGAGTTGGTGTCTTTATCTCTCTTTTGGGGTTTTGTATATAAAATGTAGAAAAAAATTATCCTATAATAATTTAAAGCTATTTTGCTGTATGAGTGGAACTGTGGGTGCCTGTTGTGCCCTATCTTGATTTGAAAACTTAATTAGGAACTCTCCTGCGGCACTTGGGGACCTGTGATCTTTGTCTCCATTCTAGAAAATATTGAGAGGGGCATGTTCTTGCATGTGCCCAGTGATCTTCCATCTGGTCCCACTAGAACAGACTTCCTCAACCTGGTGTCTTCCAGTTGTTGCTGGACTCCAACTCCCACCAGCCTCAGCCAGCATGGCCAATGGTCAGGAATGATGGGAGCTGTTGCCCAACAACATCGGAGGGCACCAGGTTGTGGAGAAGCTGTTCAAGGTAAGAGGCACAGTACGAAAGTGGGTCATGTCAGGACAGACACCTGCCATTTCCCTTGAGCTTCTAATGGTATTGGGTTGCTCTTGATTGCATCTATTCAGTTTTAAAGCTACAATAGTGTGTGTGTGTGTGTGTGTGTGTGTGTGTTTATTTTTATTATAAGAGATAAAAAGGAAACACACACACACACAAAGTAACAGTGCCAAAAGGAAACAGTGGAGACATCAAAATGAACTTTTAGGTAGCCGGGGAAACAAAGCCAGATGGACGGGGTATTAATATAATATAATATGATGATAATGTTGTCCTCAGGACACTGGGACACGATCGAATAACACTAAAAATTGCAGACAAAATAAATGCTTAATAAAGGATAAATGATAAAAAAGACTTTACATAATTATAGGGGTGGGAAAAAATTAAATATTACAGAACAGCCGTGTACAAGGCTTCTTCCGTCTCCAGATTTACGATGTCCCCTGATGCTCTAGAGACAAGTGTAAAACTTACAGAATCCATGTATTCTGTATGAACAGGTGCCTTTCTAATCTCACATTATCATAGTGGAGAGTCCAGTAGTTAATAAAACAATTCCATCTCTCTACTAGCTTGTCTGCTCCTTCGTCCTTCCCTCCTCCTTACCAGGTCTGTCAGTTTATCCATAAGGCCAGTGTGATACATTTTGTTAACATTCTGTTGTTGTTATGGTATTCTGTTGTTAATCTTCCTGCTTTGCTTAGCTGCCTTGGGGCATCTGCAAGAAGGTGGGGTGTAAATTTCAAATTTAGATGAAAGAACGCGTTGCTTGAGATTCAAAGGTGAGTCGTGCATCCGGGGCCGCTCTTATAAATGCCTTCCAAGTCTTGTCTCTCACTTTTGTTTTGATTTCTTCTCTCTCTCCAGATGCGCTGGCTCCCTCCCTCAGAGGCTACTTCTCAGGGCTGGAAGTCCCGTCAGTTCTGCTGAATACTGTGTAAGTGGATGAGAAAGACCTTGTGAAAATGCTCCAGATTAGCACAAGAGGGAGCCCGAGCGCTGTGTTGTTTTTGTTTTCTTCACTTCCTCTGTCTCATATGGATTGGTGGGAGGCTTGTGGCTACTTTCATTCTCTGCTTGTCATGCAGTCTTGGGCCTGAAATTGGTCCTTCTGTACTGGTTGCAGGTAGTCTCTCTCCGTGTCGCCACCCCCCTACTCCCTGCAATCCCCTTTCTGAGAATAAATATTCAACTTTTTTAGAACAAAAGGGAGCTGGTTCATGCTGTTGACCAAACTCTTTCATCGTTTTCTGTACCCCCTTCTCCCACAAACACATTTAAAAGAGTATAGGATGTCAGTCAGCCCAAGGCCTGGTTGAAGACGAACATTTTTGCCTGGCTCCTAAAGGTGTATAATGAAGGTGCCAGCCGAACCTCCCTGGGGAGAGCATTCTGCAGGGAGCCACTGCAGAGAAGGCCCCGTTCTTGTGTCGCCACCCTCCAGACCACTCGAGGAAGAGGCACACGAAGAAGGGCCTCAGAATATGATATCAGGGGCTGGATAAGTTCACATGGAGAGAGGCGGTCCTTGACGTATTGTGGTCCTGAGCCATTTAAGGTGTTCTACATCAAATCCAACGCTTTGAATCGATGTTCCCCTTGCCTTGGGTGGCAGCGATTAGTGTCTGCATAATCACACATCACCCACCTCTACCATTTCTTTCCGGGGCATAAATAATACCCTAAGTGTAGATGAAGAAGCATTTGGATTTGATACCCCGTTTTATCACTACCCTAAGGAGTCTCAAAGCAGCTAACATTCTCCTTTCCCTTCCTCCCCCACAACAAACACTCTGTGAGGTGAGTGGGGCTGAGAGACTTCAGAGAAGTGTGACTAGCCCAAGGTCACCCAGCAGCTGCATCTGGAGGAGCGCGGAAGCAAACCCGGTTCACCAGATTACGAGACTACCGCTCTTAACCACTACACCACACTGGCTGAATTTATTTGTCTCTTTCCTCCTGTGATATGTGGGAGGGATCCTCAAGAGTCTGGGAGTGACCCCAGAGTCTGATTGGATAGCTGATTGAGCAGTAAAAATACACTGCATGGGGTTTGTGTCCAAAACAGAAAAAACTCCTTTGACCCTCTGAAGGTAAAAGCAACCAACATGCAGCCTCTCTGTCTCCTCCTGCTTTTCTGTAAAGCAGCAGAGAGCAATAGACCAATAATCTTCCCTCCCTGTTTTTCGTCCCATTTCAGCCAAAGAAAACAAATCTGCTGTTCTTAAAAATTAATGAAAACTTCACTGGCCGCACATCAAAGTTGGAGAGCTGTAAATCAGTGGGGTTATTAAAGGACATGAGTTTTGAGGGTGAAAGATGCATGCGGAGCTGCATGCTGCAAATAGGTTGGGATGACTTAAAAACTAAACCAGCAAGGACAGAAAGTAGTGAGGCTGAACTGATGGGAGAGAACTGCAAAACTTGTTCCCTTACAGAATGCTGGTTCCAGAACCTCAGGAAGCACTTCATACCCCAAAGTTCTGATTGCTCTAGAACAGTGTTCTTCAAACCTTCTATTGGCAGAGAACACTGTCCATATCAGCTGGGTCTCGCTGTGTGTTGCAGAGAACTCTGGGGCATGTCCTAAGTACACCGTCCATTCAGCCAGAGTACTAGCTGTATACCTATTGGGCTTCATTGTCACACATTCTCGGCAGAATATACATGAGATCTCTCCCAACACACTCATTATCTGTTCATTCAAGGGAATATGAGCAGCGAAGGGCACATACACCTTGTTGTTGTTGTTGTTTAGTCGTTCAGTCGTGTCCGACTCTTCGTGACCCCATGGACCAGAGCACTCCAGGCACTCCTGTCTTCCACTGCCTCCCGCAGTTTGGTCAAACTCATGCTGGTAGCTTCGAGAACACTGTCCAACCATCTCGTCCTCTGCTGTCCCCTTCTCCTTGTGCCCTCCATCTTTCCCAGCATCAGGGTCTTTTCCAGGGAGTCTTCTCTTCTCATGAGGTGGCCAAAGTATTGGAGCCTCAGCTTCACGATCTGTCCTTCCAGTGAGCACTCAGGGCTGATTTCCTTAAGAATGGATTGGTTTGATCTTCTTGCAGTCCATGGGACTCTCAAGAGTCTCCTCCAGCACCATAATTCAAAAGCATCCATTCTTCGGCGATCAGCCTTCTTTATGGTCCAGCTCTCACTTCCATACATCACTACTGGGAAAACCATAGCTTTTACTATACGGACCTTAGGGCAAGCAGTATGTGATGCCAATAAAGGTTTGATTATGATGGCAAGCAGTGTTCAGTGAAACTCAACTCATATTCTGATTTATTAGCTCAAGAAATACATACCCAACTGCCACCCCAGAAAGTTTTGAAATTGTTCAGCATCACAGGACAATAGGTGCCTGCTTTAACATAGATACCAACTATTGCACTGTGATGCTGAATAATTTCAAAATTTCGTCTCATATCTGCACTCACAAATCCATTTAATCTTCTGACATCTGAAAACCCAAACCTCATTGTGTCTGGTTAGCAGTACAATGTGCTGCTGTTTTCCTTTAAGAATAAACTCAGCAAATGGCCTTTCCCTAATATAGTGATTTTATCTTCCAAAGCCCAAATTTATCTAGGATTATTGGATTGTTGGTGGTTGTTTTTTTCCCCCTAGAGAGAGGGAGCCAATGAGTTGTTTTCATACCAGCGTATCAGAGTGAGCAAGAGATGCATGCAAAAATGAGGCTTGAGGCCTTGTGGATTGTTCTCCTCCTTCCAGATGCACGCACAGCCATATTTGGGAACAGTTCCCTCAGCTGCAAGCTGGCTGCTGCAATAGGAAAACCTCAGTGAAGAAAGAAAGAAAGAGTTCACCTCCGATGATTTTGCATGTTACATGAACAATAAGAGAAGACAAAAGGCTTCTATTTTAAGAAGTGCTGAGACTGATGTAACAAGTCAAGCACCTGCCTCTCTAAGCATTATTAACATGTTTCAACATGTATACATGATGCACTGGCCATAAGAATTTGCTCCCTTGCATGTAGCATTAGTAAACTAGAGACGCAGGTGTCCTCAGCGGCTATGAGTGTCTTTTACCAGCTTCACCTGGTAAGGCAGATGCAGCCGTTCCTGGAGGACAGCTGGACCACAGTTGTCTGTTATTGGAAACCTCAAAGTTGGATTACTACAGTGCTCTTGGGGGGCGGGAGGCTACCCTTGAGGCTGCAGTTTCAGCTAGGCTGCTTATGGGAGCAAACCTACTCCCAGCTGCCAATCCTGCTACTGAACCAAGTTCAAGATTGAGACTACCTTTTCTCTTACATACCAAGTAGGTCACTGTGTTCCGCAGGGGAGTTTTTCCTCAAAGTCCCCCAAATATCAGAAACTTTCTGCACAGTAACTGAAAGGAAGGCTTTCAGTGGGGCTGCCCTTGTTTTGTGACAGGAGCACACTTAACCTGTACTTTACAGAAACAGTAGAAGACTTTGTTTTGTTTTGACAAACTTACCCATTTGGATGAAAAGGTCTTTGCTTTAGATTTAAAAACTATGCAAAATGAACATCTGCCTTTAGCTGTTGTTTCTGTACTGTTGTTCAAACGATTTTTAGCTGTGTTTTACGGCATGTTCGTAAATTGCCTTTAGACAAATGCAAAAGGAGACTGGCAAATAAATAAATCACCATAACCTCACCCAAAAGGCATTCAGTGGAAAGAGTAGCCATTGAGCGGCCTATCCTTTGGTTTATTTATTGGCTATACTAGCCAAATATAATGACCGTCCCTTGATGTGCAGAGGTAGACTTCCAGAATCCAGATACTGAGGGAAGAAAGGAGGAATAGCCATGGTGTGTTGCTTGTGACCTTCTCAGAAGTATCGAGATACCCTTTTTATTTAAAACAATGTTTTGGGTGTTGGAGCTGGGATGCTGGTCAGATTGGGTGAAGGGAGGCTTCTCATGTGCTTTGAAAAACAGGTCAAACTTCAGCAAAACTGGGGCACTTTAAAGAAAACATAGTTAATAAAGCTACTGTGCAACTGGGAACACCAGATGGAGGAAGGATTTGATGGGAGTTCAGCTTAGTTGTGGCTTTGGCTGCATAGGAGCATTCTAACCCTGTCCCTAAGATGGACTGTTGTTATTGTGTCATTTGCAAAAGTGGGGCTTTTCAAGCTAGAAAACAATTGAACACTGCTGAGGTTGTCATAGAAAAGAAAAAGATGAGGAAAAAGAAGCAAAGGGACAAATGTGGTATTGTTGGTGTACAGTCAGCATTGTTTGAAAGTCGCTGTCAAGAGTAAAGGCTCAGTAGGTTTTCACCCTGAAATTATAATTCCTCATGCACATAGCACAGTGGATCCAGGGCAAACCGCTGCTTATATTCTTGATGTCTAATTAGTTCGGCTACAGCTGTTGTGGTTTAGCAGATTTGTATGTTGCGGTTGTGCTGAGAACTCTCTCCAATCTCCAACACTATTATAAATGGATTTTCCTAGATAGAGGCAATCTTCAGATTTCACTATTAAACACAGAAGCTAAGGTGTCCCAATCTCTGTCATTTGTCCAGTCAGGGTACTCACTGGGAAAGAAGGCCCTATGTATTTTATATATCCAAGGGCCTATGCAGTGCTGTTTTTCTAGAAAAAGAGCTGCTGGAACTCACTCATTCTCTTAGAATGGCAATGGTGCCCATCTGAGAGGTGCCAGAACTGATTTCTGGTGAGTTCCCCCTGAAAAAAAAAAGCCCTGGCTATCTATTGTGTATTTTTCTTTATTGTAAATTGCTTGGAGAGCTTTGGGTGACAAGCAGCTATTAAGTTTAATAAATAAACAAACAAACAATCCTATAATGTACCAACTTTTTTCAATAAGGAGATATTCATATTAAGAATCTTTGTATCCATTATGGGGAATAATACCAACTGTCCCACAGATGAATACAATGCTAAAGTTTTAAGATGATGATTGTGGCAGTATTTCTGGTAACATAACTCTTTGTGTGTTGTGCATCTACTCTCTTGCAATTTGAAGACATGATTTCATATCTCCCTTTAACATCTTTAGAGATGGTCCTCGTCATATTACCCATTTCATTCTACAGAAGCATGAATGTTTCTGACAGCGCATGTACCTTTCTGTTGTGCAGGTACCAGGTGTGTGATGGCGGCTACAATCTGTCTTGTGGGTATTAATGCGTTCTTCCTAAGTCGCTACTGGTATCTTACCTCCATCTTCAAATTTGCAGTGTGGTGGGTAAGTGAAGACCTGGTTGTGAAAATATGCTTTAATTTGATGGGCCAAACAGTTTAAGCAGCGCAGCCAAAAGCCTTAGACCCTCCATTTTCATCTTGGATCATCTTGACTTTGAGCCAAGAGACTCTGCTGAATAAATGCTGTTTATATGCATCTTCCCTGGCATATAACCAAGCTGGCAGTGCTAGCTGGAAATAACCTTGCACTGAAAAGCCACCAGTTGGCTGCTGCTGTGGGCGATCAGTATATAGCAGGGGTTGGCACCTAAGGCCCATGAGCCACAAGCGGCTCATGGGGGTCGTTTAACTGGTCCATGGACCCCCGCTGCCTGCTCGGTTGGCTCCCATGCGCTGCACTAAACCAGCATGGAGCAGAGTGGAGACTGCCTTCTGCAACGCTGGCCCGCTTCCCATTGGCTGCAGGGAGCTCCAGGGCAGAAAGCCCAGCCAGCAGCCAAACGAAGCCTCAAGCAGTGGTTCCCACAGCGCAGCAACCTGGCAAAGGGGATGCAGCAAGGAAAACCATCGTCACCTCTCCACTGGGAAGTGCTGAGCAAAGACAAGTCCCCAGGCAACGCGGCTGATTTGATTGGCACAAGGCATGCAAGCTCCACCCCCCCAGTCGTTCTTAGACTCCTTATTGGATGAGCAACGCAGCCAAGCAACACAGTTGGAGCCTCCCTCCTCCCTGGCCGGCAGGGAGGGAGGGAGAGGAGCTGCTTCCTTTGAAACCCGGGAAATTTAAGGGACATCATCAATAAGGGACAGCAGTGGGACACAGTGCTGGGGTAAGGGACTTTCCGCCAAATAAGGGACGGTTGACAGCTATGCCGTAGCGTCTGCGGGACCGTGAACCGGCCCAAGCCACAAAAACTTTGCCGACCCCTGATATATAGCATAGCTTCAGAAGGCAAAGCTTTTGTTCATACAAGAGCTCTGTTTTGCGTTTGGCCGCACTGAAGCTTTCTTTGAGATAGCAGCTTGCTAATTCAATTGGCTTGAGCTCAGCAGTAACACTTGGTGTTGCTTTTCCTTTTGGAATCAGTCAGAAGCATGCCTCTCTCACTGCCAAGGAGTGAGAAATGCATACACAGGAAGAGGCACCCCCAGAGCCCATGCATACAGTGAAATCAGTGTGCAAATCCAAACAGAGGGTCCTGCGACACAAGAAAGTTAAAGAATTCCTGTACATAATTTAATCCACCCTCACCTTCTTTCTATTCTGTTTTGCCCTGTGTTCACACATTATTCTTTGAGTGCTAAAGGTTCTGTTCTGCTCTTAAGAGAAGGTCTTGAGCAGAACTGTCAATTTCTCCACTAGCAGATTCCATAGAGGGGAGGGGTATCCTACTTGTCAGCACTGCATCTCTTTCAGCAAGCTGCTCCCTATGTTCTTACTGAGGGGCCCTGTGCCTTGTGCCTGAAACCCCCTGGCCTAGAGGCCTAGGTGTCCATATGTACGTGAGCACCCACAGACTCTTCCACTTTCTCATCGTTCCAAGATTGTGATTGCCTTTTTCTAACTGATGCATCTTGCCTTTCTTACAGGCTTGAAAAAACCTCACACAAGGATGGATTCCTTCAAGACTTTGCCACAGCCTCTATCACACATCTGCTCTTTCAGAAGTAAAGTAAAAATACTGAGTAATAATAATGTTTTCCTCTTCTATGCTGTATAAAATTGTAAGGAAGAGTGCGAATTCTAAAAAGCATGGCTGAACATCTGGTTTGAAAGAGTTATTTTCAAACAAAGCAACAAAGAGAACCAAGTATTTTTATACTAAGCATTTTAAGTAGAAAGATCTTACGCTGGGTTGGATCACTGATTACGTTCTTGACTTTTTGAATGCGTGTAATTGAAATTTCTCTTTCCCTGTCCTTTTAAGCTGCATGTTCAAGGCATGTTTTTAAATCTTGTTCAGATTTTTTAAAAGTGTATTGTTAAATTGTATAGACTCTTTGGCTATCCTGACGGGGAGCCTGAGAGGATGTGTGTTGAACATATGAAGTATTCCTGTGGTACGTGCTTCTCCCAGTTGTGCCAAATTATATCAAGCAAGACAATCAGATATGCAAATGTCTTTGTAACTTTGGGATATATTACCGTGTGCTGAACAGTATACTGGCAGTTCTGACAGCTGGTTTATGCTGTATTTTATCTGTGGTCACATATTTTGATATAAAACTATATGGGGGAGATGTGCTTTTTTTCTATGGCTTTCTACTGTGCACTAAGACCATTTTCATAATTACAACAGCTAGAAAAAGTGCAGTCATCACAATAAAATGACTGCAGCTACCTCTGCATACTGTATTCATTCAGACACATAGTTCCCAACATGCCGTTGTGTAACCAGTAGGATTCCTTGGTAAAAGAGAAAAGGAAAAGCATCTAGTTGGGCTATGGGAACCAGTCTTGAATGGCAGAGCCACGGAGGAAATGTCTTCTGTAAAGTAGGTTCATAGCATTCCTAGTCTACTTGTTTTAAAATAAGGGTACATTTGCATGCCTTTGCTCCATGTACAGGAAGGATTGGTTCTGCTAAGGTGGTGGTGGTTGTTAGCCGGTAATGCTGCTGTCTGTGAAGCTGACTGAAACATTGAGCAGTAAAGCTTAAGTTCATTTCATGCCATTATCCCATATGCATGCAGAAAACCAAAGGCCTTCTCTGTCACTGGATCCAGATCTAAGGCTCTTCTTCTGTACAGATTTTCTAGGAAGTGCCAAACTTGGATACAACAGTTGACCTTCCAATGTCGCCACTAACATCCTCCATGTGTCTGCAAGGCTGCCAGGTTGTGTGAAACTCACATAAAAAGAGCCAACTCAGCGCCATTGTTCTATTAGTTTGATGTCTGCCCTCTGTCTATACACAGACATTTCTGGTATAGAGGAATTCAGCAGCCCCTGTGTACCTACTTTTGTATAAGGTGCTGCTCCACCAGTGCCAAGATGAATACCAGGATCCCTTGAGGTCTTGGGAGAGAGTACCAGCTTGATTTTGCATGCAAACGTCTCTCTTACTGAACAACTACTTGGATTGCTTGGCCGTCAACTGGGGTGTGGACACAATGGATTCAATTAGTCATCTGCCTTCTCAAGCCTGATTCATGCCACCATTTTCAAGTGTGATATGTGGGTTGAGTGAATACAGCTTGTACGCTGTCCTCTGACCTGCTAATGAAGTTGGTTACATGACTTAGGCACCATTGGACAACCTGCCTGTAAATCAGTCAATCAGGATATCTGTCTATAGTGATGTAACAAAAACAGTTGCTTCACAAAAGGCAGAGAAGTAAAAAAAAAATTAAAAAAATAGAATTGACCTTGTCGTCAAAAGATGATTATGTGAACCAGTCCCTCTGAGTACCATGATGTGGCGAGAAGGCCAGGGCTCCTGGATCATTTATTGGTGGAGAAGACAAAACTTCCAACAGACGAGCTTCCTTCTTTCCTGAATGATATGCTCCACATGCCAGATTCTTGCTTCCTATCCTCCTTTGTAATCTAGTCATGATACAGCTATACGGTTACTTCCATAACAATACTGGTAGTTCTGACTAAACAAGGAAACTGTTTTAATATGGTTAAATCTTTCCAAATGGGCTTCCCCGAGTATTGTTAATTCTCCTGAGAACAAATGACTTCATTGTCTTAAAGAGAATGCAGTATTTTGCAGGGAATACAAGTGACAAATGTCAAGCAGTCAGAGGCTTTAAAATTGCAGGGGAAAGGGGGTAGGTAAAAACCTATTCTTAAAACTAAATGGAAGACTTGAGAACAGAATTAAAATGTGACAGCGGGTGGCTGAATAACAGAATTGTGTTGGACTTTGTCAGCAAAAAACTTGATTTTTCCATATCTCCTCCTATTGGCAATAGCAGAAACAGAAGATGCTTCCAATTTATGGTTTTGTTTTTTAAAAAATAATGTTGTTAAAGGTACTTTTCTATTGTAATTTTCTAAAAATAAAGAAACAATGATTATAACTTATGCCTAAATAACAGTGGCCTCTGTTACAGTGTCTCCTTATCTGATTACCTGTTTGAGGAAATACAAGTTGCCTATGAGAATAAATTGCTTTCTAGGTGTGTTGATCCTGCTAGTGATCTCTGTGTGAGGTCAGGGTGTGTAACCTCTCATAGTATCAAGGAAACAGGATTTAAAACATCTCTGGCCTGGATCATGCAGGCATGTGCAATACATTGCCATCCTTTCGCTTGGTAGTTCCCACATTCTGCAGTGTTGAGTAAACTGTTTTAAAAACTAATTATTTGAGCAGACACCAGGTAAGAAGAAACCTAATTCTCAGGTCTGTGGTGATTAGTCTGTGATGGCTCATTTATACTTGCAAGTTATCATGCAAAGCATTGCACGTGCCAAAGGGAGAGATGTCCCTGTGTCAAGAATAATTCCAGTTCAGTTGTAATAATAATCATTTAAAAAATTATCATCTATACTTCACCCATCTGGCTGGGTTGCCCAGGCCACTCTGGGTGGCTTCCAAGCCACATAAATACATAACAACTTCCTGACACAGGGCTGCCTTCAGATGTCTTCTAAAAGTTGTCTTCAGCCCTCTGCCTGAAATAATATCTTGCCCGGCTTCAAAGCTACCTGCTTGAGGAATATATCTGTATTTGAAGCAAGCTTAGAATCCTGGATAATTAACAATTCTTGTCTCACCTCAGGTTCTTCTTGGGGTAACTGCTTATGTTAAACATTGTCCATCTTGGGCATGCAAAAGTAGCTTGAAATCCAGTTAGCATGAGCAGAGATTGGGGAATGGACCAAGATACTGAGAACAGGTTAACTACTTTTTAGACTCCTGGCATGAAAAAACAGTATGTTTATTATTCATTCAGATAGGTCTGATTAAGTCACTAAGGCTTGTATTGTTAAGATCTTTTATTTTTTTTAATAAGATATTTATTAAAATTTTCAAAGTGTTACAAAATAAAATAAAAGCAGAAGAAAGTACAAAATAAAAATAGTTAACAAAGTAGAAAAAGAAAAAGAACAAACCCCTTCCAACCATATGAATACAAATTCAAAAATAAAAAAAAGTGACAGGGAAAAAAATACATCACAAACAATTAAAAACATTTAAAGACAAATTCATTATTTTCAAATCCTCAACTGTCATTGCCTTCTTTCTTTGACCTCCTCCTCCTCCCTTTCTTTGTATCCTAATTATTAATTATCCCAGCAAATCCTTTCCATATTTCATAATATTCTGTCATTACATTACCCTAAACTGTTTTAATCTTATCTTTCTATAATAAAATAAACCTTAAAGCTTAAAACTTAAATCTTATCCTTACCAACTTCTCATAACCATAATATTCTTTCATAATTCTTTAAACATCTTTACTAAAGCCAAGTATTTTCATTCCAACATTTTTCTGACATTCATCAATTTTATAAAACAGTTCTAATGGTAGAGAAAAGAGATACAAACAGGTCCAATCTTCATCCAACGTCCCTTCCTCCTGGTTCCGGGTTTTGTCAGTCCTTATTATCCCGTTGATCTAGCCCATTAACCTGGCAACCTTATATCCGAGGCCCTCAAGTCTCTTCCATGTCCCTTCTGCAGCTCTTCTTCATATTTGTAACTGTATTTTCCCTTGTCTCCTGCTCGTGGTAACTCCAGCTTGGCAATGTTTTTAGCCCTTCTCGACAGATCAGCCCCCTTTTCCATATTCAACACTGAATTCCATATGGTATTTAAAAGCATGTTTCAAAGGCCCTCCAGAATTAAGAGCCCCCACAATCCCAAACATCTCACGGCCCATTGCCAGATTTGAAAAGTCCAAACATCCCAGCATAGGGGGGGTCAATCCAGCCCCCCATTTCCAAGCCAAACCAAACGTTTTCTTTCCAAATCTGGCTTTTTCCAAGTTCATTTGTCAAATCCGAAAACTCATATTCCTGTTGGGCCTGTTCTGTCAGGACACACTCCTGATTTAATTTCTGAGTGGGCTCCACATATTTTCCCACTGTCTGTTCAAAATTTCCCACTGCCTGTTCAAAATTTCTAGTCGAAGTCGCCATAAAATTCACCTTCTCATGTAACTCTTCCAGTAGGGCATTTGTTTTATAGAAAGCACACAACAAAGCTTCTGAATACATTGTCCTGCAAGGTCAAATGCCTGTTCCCACAATTGTAATCTGTAACAGCTGCCGGCTCCCTGGAGTTGGTTACAGTTTCACGGTCTCCCTCTAGGGGGGAAACTTCTATTTGTTCTTGCAACAAAGTTTCCCTTTTTGAGATACTTTGTCAATATTTGTTCCTTTAAAATGCGAAGGGAAACAGTGGAATACTATGTTTCTCTTCTTTCAGCTATCTGTCAAAAACGCTTGTCTCTGGTCAATGAACTTCAAACGTGAGTCCTGACACCCCTCTCCAGGATCAGGATGGAGGAAAGTTACTTTACTTTAAACTCACTTTAAGCAGTCCGAAAAAGATCCCCCCCCCTCTCCTGCTGTCGAAGGGGGGTTCCACAATTTTAAATGATGAAATTCAATCCTTTAAAGGCGGTTTTCTGAGCTCTAGTTTACGTTGTCTTTGCTTTATTCTGTTTACAAAAGAACGGAAGGCTGACTTCCTGTTTAGACCTTCCCGTTCCATACCGAATTAAAATAGGTTTTTAAGATCCAATTCTTTTCTGCTCGCAAGTCCTTATTTAATGTCCAGTTGTTCAAAGTCTAAGTACTCATGGGTGCTTATTTTAAAGTCCAAATTGTCCCAGGAAAAAGGCAGCGCTCTCCGGCAACGGCTATGCGGCTTCGCTCCACGGAAATAGCAGTTGACTCACAGCACCGCGCCACTTCCCCCCTCTTCACTTCGGAGCCCGTTAGTGGGTTCCTTAGTGAGTTGGGGGGGCGCTAAGGGTGCCCGCCGAGTCCCATGGTCACAGGCTTCATCCGCCTGTGATTTTTGAGTGGGTCCCCGCTTCGCTGTAGCGGTAAAGACCCGTTTCCCGTGGAGCTGGTCCCTCCAGTTCAGAGGGAATCCGCCATTGCCGATGGCGCCATCCCGGAAGTCCTCTAGTGTTAAGATCTTTTATAAAGGAGCTCTTTAACTCAATGGAACTGAAGACACAACTATAGGTTATTGGTTGGTCTTGCCACTATTCCAAACTCTTTATCCAGATTTATATACGTTGAGGGCCAGTTTTTTGTTGCGTAAGAATTAATCATCTGCTTCAATATTTCTTGGCAACAGTGAGGTATAAGGCTTGTGTTGTAAACTAAGGCTGCAATCCTGTATTTACTTACCTAGGAGTACCTATGTCTACTCAGAGGTATTTGGGTGATCCTTTTAAGGCTTGCTGGTCATGACAAGGGCTATTTGGTGAAGCCAAGTAAAGGCAAATGGAACTCGGGCCCACTGAAAGTTCCCAGTAAGAATGAAGGAGCCAAGATCGTGAGAACAGCATCCATAGAATGCCACGCTGTTAAAACACCTGCCCATCCACAAATGGAGAAAACATTATTTCCAGCAAAAATGTCAGGACTGCATTGCATGTTAATAAATTGGTGAAATGTTCACCACAAACAAGGGGGAAGTGAGCATGGCTCATAGTACAGGGGGAAATGAATAACTTAAATGGAAAATCCTACTGATAACTGGAGCTCATGGAAACAAATGGGTGCAGGATAGGCATCTAATAGATATGTGAAGCCACACAAAACCTGCTAAATAAGCAGGAATCGTCACAGGGCAGTATCCTAAGATCTGAAAACACCCAAACAGGGCTCTATGAACCACCACTTTGGATGAAATGAGCTGCAATGCACACGTGCAATGCTTGAGTCTCCCTTATTAATCTCCATGTACAGTTACAGTGTTCTGTGCCATGACATATCAAAACTGGCATCACATTTGTCACCAGCACTTCATCTTAGCAAGTGATACTTGTCTGTTGTCATAAATTTCTCTCAATAAGCAGTTAAGTGCCTGTTTTATTTTTATTTCATATTTTACTTTTATGCTTTTTTATTGCATTTTTAAACTGAATAATGACCTCGATAGTGGAGTTCTACATCCTGTGTCGGAGACAGTATGCCTCTTGGATACCAATTACTGGGAATTGCAGGTGGGGAGGATGTTGTTGCACTCAGGCCCTGTTTACGGGTTTCCTATAGTCATCTGGCAACTGAGAACAGAATGCGAAACTCTTATTTCCTTGAATATATATATGAAGTAGTAAGTTAGCTCCCCTATGCAGAAAAATCGCTCACCTCTACAATTTCCTTTCACCCCCTTTCATTCATGGTGGGCACCAGCATGATCTTATCAACTCAACACTCTCAACAGCTTTCTGCCTAGGTATCATTCTCAAATTATACTGCAGAATCATCAATAGGAATTGGTGCCTGAATCTCTCATGAACTAGTCTGATTTTACATCTCTCAACCGTGAGACTTAATGGAGGCCACATTTAGTTTGGTGGGTCACAAATGCAGGAAGCCAGCCTAATGGAACTTGGAACAAGTCAATAGTGGTGCTGTGCTGGCATAGCTGAAGTCAACCACCTCATCTCCCACCTCCCAACACACCTATTTCACTCCCTTGATGTGTTGCAGATGTTGCATAGGCTCCCCTCCTAAAGCAGTTTAAGAGGCTGGGAGCTAGCTGAGGAATGAGCATTCCTTACACATATGCCACTTCCTTCTCTCAGGGGTGAATTTTCTCTTCCCATCTTAATAATAGTTACTGTTAATGAAACTTCCAATTTCTAGCTTCTGAAACCAAGAGGTAACCTGTTGTACCAGGCACCGCTAATAGTAGAAAGAAGAATCCTAACTTGACTGATGGCATCCGTTGGTGAAAAACACCTATTTTTAATCAAGCCAAGGATATGCCTGCTGCTAGTCTCTAGGCAACAGCACACCAAGGAATCCGATCCAGCATATTAGCAGCTACCTCCGTGTGAGCCATGCAGCTGTAAGTAATTGGATGTCACTGCCATCACTATCTCCATGGTTATCCCTAACCTCGAATCCCTTTCCATCAGCAGGCAGCAAGAGCTTGCCACTCCCCTGTGTCATACCACCATCTGCCTGCACTTATAGAAAGTGACAGGGAAAGCCAAATGGGCATTCTTTACACAATTTGTCTAAGCTCACTTGCCTTTTTCTCCTCCGTTCTCTAAAAGCCTGGAAGGATTGCGATGAATTATAGATCAAATGCATTACAAACTACTTCATGTCAGTTCTCTCAGGCAACCATGCAAAATCCTGCTGCTACTTCCTTTTATTCTGTTTTCCCTTTCCCCCCTCTTCCCTTGCCTATAGTTATAAATATCAGGGGAGGAAATAAAATTACCCTTCTGTTACACCAATTTGTGGAGCAGCATCAAACAGATCTGTATTTGTATTGCCGACCCAATAAACTTCCAAAATTACACTCTCAATTTGTGATGCCCAAGCTTTTAAGGGTGGCAAGGGACAGACAGCAAGTTGAATCTATGATTGGTTGTAGACCTCTAAGCCCAGTTTTTAACATTCAAAGCTAAATGGATTGGGTCCTTTGTACCTCGAAGAATACATGCCCGATACAAGCCTCTCCTTTACCGTAAGTTCATTTGAAGAGGCATTACTGCACGTGACAATTCCTTATCTAAGGTCAGAACTGGCAGTGGCACCATCCTCAATCTCAACTGCAAACACCACTGCAAGAACAGACAGGCTTTGCCTCACTGTCTTGCAGGTTTTCTAGATTGGGACACACACACTTTATTCATTTTAATTATGTAAATTAGGGCAGAGGTTTAAGAAAAATACTCTTACCTTCATTTATTTCTGTTTCCCACACAGCCAACAGGCAGAACAGGCAAGATGTTCCTAATCACTCCATAACTGCTGTAGGTCAGATGATTAGGTAGAGAAGAGACCAAGCTCTTCTGAGAAATAATTCAGTTTTAAACTGCAAATAATACAGAGCTAAGGAACAGACTTTCATTAAATTAGTATATTGGTTGTCAAAACAGGAGGATGCCTGCTCTCTGAAGAGTGTAAAAAATTGCTAGAGAAGGCAAGAATACCTGATTCCTCACCTTCCATACACACAGTTTTTATTTGAGTCCTGAGGTGGATCAATGATTTTTTTAGAAAAAGAAAAAGAATGCCACCATGTCCCATTCTTTTTGCAGTGCAGTTAAGATGGAAGGAGGAGGCTGGAGCTTGAGCCATGAAGCTCTCCAAATGATTTTGGCCCAGTCAGTCTCTTAGCCTAACCTACCTCGCAGGGTTATTATTTGGATAAAATGAGGATAAGGAGAACCATAATTCATCACTCTGAGCTCCTTGGAGGAAATGTAAGATATAAATGTAGGAAACATAAAAATACGTAAAAACCTATTATTAGCATGGATATAGCATGCTAGACAAAATGATTTTGGGGATTGGTTTTGCCTGGCATATGAGATGCAGCTTTCCAACACAGGCTGAACTGTAGAAATGACTCAACCCAGTAAACTGCTTACCCTCCATAATCTGAGTGGAGCTGCTGGCACAGGTGACCAATTGAAACTCTGGACTAAAAATTAATGGAGGTTTCCAGGGTCTTTGTGAAATAATAAATAAGGAGAATGACCCATGAAAAAAATACATTGTGAACATGGAGGACCATTTTAAATTGTATCCTAACACTTCCACCCCCACTCATTTTTATTTCTGCAAGACAGAAAGCATCAGCTTTTATTGTAGTTCAGTTAACAGGCAAGGAAATACACCCCAGAAGAAATGCCTTATCTTTCTAGTTTTTATTATAAACATGTTTCCTTGAGAGATAAAACAAACATTCCATTTTATCTCTAAGTCAACCCCGATGAATAAAAGAAAATACCCACAGAACCCCCCAAAAAAATTCAAAGAAGACTTAAATGGTGAATACGAACCTTGGCACTACATGCTGAATATATTTAACTCCAATACCGGAGGTCTATTGACAGTGAACAGCTCTGATCCATGTTCATATTAGCCAATAAGATAAATATAGATGAACAGTTCATCCTTTATCTCAAGAGCTGGTTCTTCTTGGCTGCTGCAGGACTGGGAGGGGGTAGAACCACTTAACATTATACACAGGACACTCGTCCCTCAGAGCTACTGAGCATCTGCATCAAAGCTCACAACTGTTCCTTCCAGAAGGTCCTCTACTTGCCCGGAACCACATCAGAGTAATCCTTCAAAACTCCAGCTAAATGGTCATTGTGAGTCTTGAACCTCCGTTTCTTCTGAGAAGCAGGCTTCTTTCTCCTTTGAATTGGAGCCTAAAAGGAAAAAATAAGGAATAATCATAATCCTGTTAAAACATTTTCTGCAAACAGCCTTGCAGGATCAGACCAAAGGCCTATCTAACCCAGCATCCTCTCTTGCCAGCAGTGGCCAGATGGCGACCTCTAAGAAGCTCACAAACAGGGCATGACAGCAATACTTATCTCTGATGGATGCCCGGCTTCTGATAACCAGAAACGCAGTATCACTGAACATGACATTTTCTTTTTATCTATCATGGCTAACGGAAGTTGAAATATCAATTCTCCATGAATTTGATTGCCTGAGAAACACACCAAAACTAAACCATGACTTAGTGCAGGAGTGGGGAACTTCTGGACTGCAGACCAATCGTGGCCCTCCAGGCTATCCCGTATTTGGCTGTGGAGGCCATTTTGGGGGAGTCACACCCACACCACCCCTGATGTCATACATCAGCTAGTGGGCGAGTGGGACCACGCCTTCAAATTCCCCGCACTTCTTCAGACCTCCATGATTTGAAGGAAAAGTGGAGGGGATGCATGAAGGTGTGCTGATGGGTGGTACAAGTGTGTGCTTTGCTCAAAGTTTCTGAACACACTCCCTTCATTATTTCTCCTTTAAACCTCCATGTATGTACATGGTAACATAGTCATAATAAATGATTTTGAACAAAATGAGGACTTTGTACATGGATGAAAGAAATGCTACATTTTGACCCGGCTATAGTGAAATAAGGAACAGCCTTAAAAAGTTCCCACCACTGGGGGGCCACTAAGGGCGCATCGGAAGATGGCTGACAATAACATCTCTCCGACCCACACAAGGTAATTAAGAGGCTGTGATGGGAGTAAACAGCCTCCTGCCCCCCCCCCCCAAGCGTGTGTGGGGGACTGCCCTTGCCTGCTGTGCCCTATACCACCCCCGAATTTGAGGGGGTGGGGGCACTAGGCAGAAAGCCCTTGTGCGGATTTCGGCGCTCCTGGACGCTGTCTCTGATTCGCGCCTCTAGCTGCAGCAACTTCAAAAGAAACAATTAGGAGGAAGCTAATGCACATATTTCAAGGAAGAATGGGGAGTAAAGACTGCTAACTGAAGAGATCTCTGATAAACAAGATGGGTCGGAGGAACAGGAATAAATCATGAGAAGACACACCAAGGCTCGGTATGTTCGGCAACGGGACTGGATGGGGGGGGGGGAACTTTCCTTTCTTTTCTCTATGTGATTAACCAAGAATTCCCCCCCCCACACAAGTCACAAGTCAGAAATGCCGCTTAAATGACTTAAGCTGAGGACTTAAGACTGTGTGGAGATAATTTTCTAACCAAAGCAAGTTTTAAGGAGATCGTGGAAAGCATAAGAGCTTTGGAATGACGCAGCAAAAAATAGCGTCGCCATTTTGGCAAGTTCTGCCGAAAGACTTATGTCTGGGAGGAGGAACAGATCTGTTTTCATATTGTGGGTGAGCCTCCTCAGAGGGACTAAAGAAGGCGACAGATTTGCAAGACTAATGATGGAAAGAGTGCTTTTATTTATGAAAGTGATGATATATGGAAACCATCTCGACATGATGATTGGACGAACGGAAAAATTCACACAGGATTATAACTGGTGTTTATCTGCTTAAGGAGATTATCAGAAGAGATCATAAAGAAAAAAAGAAAAATATACGAACAAGATGAGATGTGGGAACAGCAAGATAGGACTGGATAGAATTATGAACATTATTTGGACAGAACTGTGGATATTAACGCAGTAGCAAGAAGATGATTGGAATCCCCTTCGGAACTTGAAATATGGGTCCCCCCAACAAAAAAATTAAAATTCGGCTTTGTAATTCGGAATTTATGTGATGTGATTTGATTGGTCGGTTAATAAAAATTATTTAAAAAAAAAGAAAGAAAAGTTCCCAGCACTAATCTTATAATCAAGCCTAATTCTAATGTCATGGCACCATGCAAAAATAATGAATTTTACTGAGTCCATAAAGGGATCAAATTGCTGTAACCATTTGCCAGATCTCAGGCAAGCATTCCTAATGGTAGGAGAAGAGCAAAGAAGCCTGGGGAGAAGAAGAGAAAGACAACTACCTCATTTATTAGTTGCAAGACAAATACTGATCGTTGTCCTGTAACCTGATTATTTTAAGGGTAACAAAGCATTAATTCTGTCCAGATTAAGTTCTCCTTAACTGACTCAATACTAGAGCAAAGCAAGGAAAAATGGCAATTTTCTTACTATTTTCTTTGGTCCAGCCTCCTGCATGGAAGAAATTCCCTGGCGTTTCAGATACTCTTCTATCTTCTCTTCATCCATGGAATCCACAGGAACACTCCTCCACAGTTTCTGAAATTCTAAAATGCCAAAATAAGAATACTTAATTAGACACGGCACTGGATAAACAAACAGGAAATGTTTCTCATTGCATTCACAATGCAAAACTTGCAGACTTTTAAGCAGTGTGAAAAACTGCTTTGCCAGATTGTCAATGACACGGCAGACAAACCATAAGGTTTTAAATTACAGTAGTGAATTGAAAGGTCAGTGATGAACACTCCTGGAAGCTGGTTAGAGGGTCACTTCAGCACAACTGCTTTCAGAAAAGTATCCCAACCTTTCCAGGATTTCTTTTTCGTCATAAGAAATGCATATGCACTTATGCTTAGTGAGTATCAGTTCAGTACATTCTAATGATTGGTACCATACGTTTTTCTTTAATGTACGTGGCCTTAAAACTAGACAGCTGCTGCACCAGCATCTCCTCCCACTGACATCCCAGTAACTTCAAGTGAAAGATAAGTGATGTGAAGTCACTGCATTTTGTGCCTTCACATCTCCCACAATGAGGTGGACTGGAGACAGAACGCATTGTTCTCATGTGTTTTCCTTCCGTAGGTACAGCTGGGGAGAGATGGGTTGGCAGCAGACACACATTTCCTAGTTTGAGCCTAAAGGAAATGATTAACAAATCAAAAGATACATCATGCTTCTATCCAAGTCTCATTAGTGTTGTTTTTTAACACACTTTTAAAACCAAAAAGCTATCTTGGCCTATGGGTCACAGAAAATGAAGAAGAGGCCCAAAGCTTCAAAGAGCAGCAATGGTCTGATAACCTGCATGCAACCTGCCTCCATATATCGTTTTAAGTGCTTTCCTGGAATGCCTTTATCAAGGCTGTGACTGGTACAATTCCACTTCCCTTCATTCCATGGTAATTAACTTCGGTAGTGCCTGTCAACAGACCCAGTGAACAACCC